ATTAAAATCGTTCTGCATAATATTCTGTGTCATTTAAAAACAGTGGCACCGCAGTTGCGCCTGACAAGCAAACCTCAAGCAGAGCGATAAGAGGCGCATCATTCCACTCGAATCGTTGATAAGCGGATTATCGGCGAACGAAACGACTTGGCTGTCGACTCGCGCCCGAATTTCATTCGACTAATGAACTTCCACTCGATGAATAAGCGTTTCGTAATTTTGCACCGATAATTGCAACGACCAAACGTTCTTTAACCTGACTGATGCCAGATGAATAGATCACGGTTAGATCAGACGCCTAAAGATGATGTATTCTCAAGGAAATATCGGAGGAAGAATTTCCTTCCATTAAAGCAGGACTAACGGAGCGTGACGTCAAATGCTATAAGTGTTCGGCCAATTTTAGTATCGCGAATAGTGGCAGATCGGCAATCACACAACATTTGCAGATACCAAGATAACATTTTTAGATGACATAGTGAAACAGTTCACGCTAAAAGCGCATCTTGATGTTATTCCGTGCAACATAATCACGAATCTCGGTCGAACATCAAAATAAATCAAGAAAGGTTACGAGGAAAAATAGTCTCGTGCCAAAACGAAACCGGAAGTGAGCATTTACAATGTTTTCGGTTCACGGTCCGTTGCTTTCACTGAGGTAAATTATGTTGCTATTTATACAGAGTGTTCCATTAATGGAAACATTAAATTGAGCAACTAGAAAATTAGTTGCGAATAAAATCCTTAGGATGGTCGCTAAGCAACAAGTAAGGTTGGAGGTAGTAGCGGGAATAGACTGTACAGGGCTACTACTTATTAGATTTCGGTTATCTCGATCATTGGACGGATTTTCAGTTCCGATTTCCTGCGATAAACGAGGTTCCAGGGTACTTCCGTCGGATGTACTCCCGTTAAAAAATGGAAAAAAAAATAAAATAGAAGAGTCGTAGCTGCAACTACACGAAGTTCTTGCAACAAGTTTGTTGCAACGACCCTGAATTATTACAATAATCGTGATATGGCAATATTACACGAGCACGCGTAGGCGGTTACAGAATTAGAAGTTCAGAGAACGAATCGATTCCTCGAGGATGAAGACCCTGGGTCGCGGTCAAGGCAAGAGAGCTTCGGTAACAACTATGCTCTCTCCGTTTTCGCAGCGAGTTTATCCAATAAAAGAAAGCGCAATAACGAGTCGGCATAATAACGTCGCGACTATCACCCGGCTAATTTAGGAACGACGTTCCTTCGCTCCGAACGTCTCGAGTATCCTGTTATGTGTTCGCCAACGGCGCTTCGAATTGCTTCATCTCTGCTCGTCATCTTTGGCTCGTGGATTTCTCCGCGCTTAAAGCTTTAATGGTATATTCCCACTCGTGCAATTACGAATAATGTTTCAGAATCTGTAAAAAAATAAAAGTTGACGGTTAGATCTTTGTCGGCCGTTGTCACGTGCGCGTGACTTCGCTGATTCGGTGTCAACGTCATCGTCTACTTATTACGATCGCTCGTTACCGTATCTCTAGAAAGCTGCTCCAAGCTGCGTTAAATCGATCGACGAATCGTCTGTCGAAAGCAGTTGTTGGTCGAACGAGTTAAATTGACGCAAGTCGACCCGTAAATTTCGATGTACATAAGTATGTGTGCTGCGAGCCATCGGTATGTCTGGTATTGAAAATATGGCGGATGTACGTACGGCTAATATGGACAGATCGAATAGACCGTGTCTGGCGATAAACGAATACAAGAAAGGAAAGTAATCGAGCAGCTGCTATTGCGTATTCATTTTTCGAAGCAAAAATCGCACGTAAGAGATTATAGCCTGTTTCGCGCATTGTCCAAGGTTAGGGGCTGGCCCGGCTCTCCGATGACGTCACCGACGCGTCTCGTGGCCACAAACTTCCACCCCCACTACCGGCGTGTTCCGAAAGCCGATGATTACACGGCGCGTTCCTTGCAAAAGCAGACAACACAGCTACGCGACCGCGGTAGCCTAATGGCAGGCGCCCCGCCGTGTTTCGTCATTAGATAAGAAACCTACCGAGGCTTTTTCACGGACAATAACAAGATCGATCAAAAAACCCGTGGGATTACCTGTTACTATACCGTACCAACCCTCCAACCTTCGTATTAATAATCGAACAAGAACAATCTCGATGATTTTGGAACCATTGCGTCGTTCTCGACGATCGACAAAAAGATAGCACATCTTATAAAACTGAATATCATCCGCGGTATTTACTTCAACGGAATTCCAGGAATTAAAACGGTGCAACAATTCTATAAATCTTTACCAAACAGATTCATTGAAATTATTAGATGCAAAGGAGGTTCTACGAAAATCATTAATTGTTTTACGTTTAAAGTTTTTCGTTAAGTATGTTGTCATTTTGTCCCTCTATATCTTGTAAATAATTGTATTTCTTTAAATAAAAATAGATAGATTAAGGAATGTTCGTTTCATTTTATCTATATGTATCAACAAGGACAGCCTGAAAAGCTGAATTCGTAATGTTTAATAAACGATAGTTACAATAATTTGGAAGTGTGGTATCTTTTTGTCCCGGAGTGTACATGCTCCCCGAACCCCCTGTATAACGAGGATTTGGACGCACTCGGTTCATACGTGCCAGGCGAGCACGTGTACGCGCGATCATCGCGCGCAATTTCGCTACGGTAACGAAGGTGCGAAGAGCGAGAGAGAGAGAGAGAATTAAAACGAAGCAAGACCTTCGTTGAGAGCGCGTGTCTACATACGCGCGAACACGGCCTTCGCAATGGTACTTGAACGCTGCTCGAACGCACTCTTTCCTGTCTCGCAAACATCGACGGTTACTTTGAAATATCACCCCCACCCCCTCCCCCCCCAGAAAAATGTAACAGATTTTACGAATGCTCGTCTCGGACGAGAAACACCGATCCTAACCTCGCGGTATCGAAAATAGCACGAACGAGAAACGCCTTCGTCGCGAAAATAAATCCATCTTCGCCAGAAATGGGAATCCATAAAGGCTCAAGTGTTCGTGGCTAAACGGAGGTTTGAGCCTTCGACTCGTAACGGATTTGAAAGCTTCTCTAACTCAAGGTAAAAGAGTCAAGGGTCCGAAAATATCGGGTGACGCATCCACGCGACGAATATTTTTTTTATCAGCTTTCCAAAGGTCGGCTCTACTCCACCGACTCTTCCCGTCGACGATCCACCATTTTATTTCCACGGCAGCGTCGAGGCCTGTCCTATACGCCTCTCGATGAAAATTAATTGTAACATTAGTTTACGATCAATTTTAAATTAAATAATATCTTTGATAATTAATGGTAATTTTTTAAACGAATTATCTGTGTTCTTACGTTTCACGCGCTAAAACCGAAATCAAACGTCCACGCAGTTATCGTTCGCAAGGGCAAACGATAAAATCGGCCAATATTTGTTCCACGGAACATCGTTTTATCGACGCTGACACGGATCGAGTTCAAGAACGCGTCAGTGACGATGTCGGTACACGCGTTCGTCGAAAGGCTAAGTAAAATCAGAGCGAACGAGACGAGATTCCACAGTCCTCTTGTTCCTTGAGCACGTGGAATTGCGTAAGACCGGTATTGCGTGGGCGTAGATGCGTATGAGAGCGGCTTTAATGCCTCCGAGCGACCAGACACCATGCCTACAAGTCACGACACACACACAATTACGAGAGCCCCCATAGTTTACGAATAATTGCCATAAAAGCATAATTTAACGTGACCAGATTTACAGAACGTCAATGAAAGACAGTACAAACCAAATTATAACCTCCAAAGATTGACTTTCTCGAAAATCGTGCACGCAAGAACTCTCTCTTACCGCCACTTCCGTAAACGGTAAAAACTATAAGGAAACATGCACGATATTTTACGCTCGATAAACGTAGCTGTCTTCGTTATCGGTAAAGTATGCGTTAACGATCCTGGAACGGGGCTGGAAAGAGAATCGACGATCAAAACATCGAAGACTTTTCGAACGATCAAGATTATTGACAGTCTGACGTAAAACTGTTATTTTATCAGTTATCGTCGAAATCGATTTGTATATCAACGTGTGCAAAATTCAATTATCGCAAAATAATCATCGTGACTCCTTTTCTTTTTACATTTCGAGGAACAGTTGAACGAAGTTCATATACGGGTGTTTTAACGGGAAATAAATCAAAGTAAGCTTCGTGGAAATTTGCTCTAAAATCGAGTAGAAACGACAGAAAATTAACTAAACTTCGCAAGGAACGAGTAATTTGCTGGAACCGTGAAGAAAAAAAAGGGTATCCGGTAAGAATTTCTAGGCTCGAGTCGCCTGTTCAGGTGTTTGGTGCCATCAAAACAAACAAGTTTGTCATTCCAACATTCGTGCGCGTCGAGCGTTCAAAACATTTCAGCTCCTATCCTACCGTTATGGAACGTATTCGAGCACGCTACGCTTAATCGTCTAATTTTACCGGCTCGCGAATTCGGCTGTTCGTCAAACGAAAACGCAGATCCAACATCGGATCACCGGTAACGTTAAAAAAGCCGGGGCATGCCTGGAAAAACGATCGGCGAGCCACAAGAGATTGATTACCTAACAGACACGTCGTAACGTAATAACCGAGTTGTCGCTAAAACTGACTGACGGTACACAGATAATACGTATTCGTATATCATCGGAAAACAAGAAAACTCGAGCGTGCCCACGGTGTGCATCGAAACCGTTCTGCACGTGAAAACTGTCGGATCCGAAAACAACAAAATTCCACGAGGCGGTCAAAACACAACATTCCTTCGAAGGACACGCAAAAAGACATCCTTTTGCTTCGACACGTACGAACTGTTTTAACTGTTTTAACTAGATAGGCTCTCGAAACGATCAACGTTCGTCGTGATGCTCGTTCGAGAAAGATTAACAACGGAGGCAGGCATGGAAACGCGCGCGCAGCACGTAAACAAAGCCACGAGATCGAACGAAAAGAAGAAAGAGGTTATGTGATGACACCTACCACATCGTACATCCAGGAATCCATGGCATCTGTCGGTAGCTTCCACAATGGCACGGAGACTCAATGACGCTGATCCCTTACACTTTTCCACCAGAAAAAAGCGAAAACGATCACGAGCCGGAGGAATCTAATCATTCACAACGTACGCGGAGATAGAGGCACGCGCGCGCACACGCGATGTGAACACTACCCCCTACCACGACGTTCACGGCCCGACGAGTCGTACGCGACTGACGGCCAATACAGAGGATACGGTAATACTCGGAGCCAGCCGATCCTAACACCGGGCGCCACAAATCCGTGAAACGCACTTTTACTACACTAATTACCTTATCGCAAGCATAGGATTGTCCCGGAATATTTGATACCAGGGAATAGACGATTAACACGAGCAAAAGAATAAACCAAGAATGCACTGTGCGTACTTAACCAACAAACTTGCAAGTTTCGTCTTCGCGTACCGATCTATATCGCACGCGTCGACCAAATACATACGATTATAGGTTACTATCGTGCGTATTAATTAGCTATGTGCGTACTAATTAGCTACACGCGTAACATGTTACGATGCAAATAGTGACTCTAATCGTCGATGTTCTCAATATTGACATTAATTTATGCAAAATCCAATCCTTTTAATGACGAAACGCGAACAGTCTATAGGCCGACTTATTGAGGTAGTATGTGGTATATATAAAACAGAACTCCCAACTATGACCTGAATATTTGAGATATTCGACAGTTAGAGGGAAATGAAAATTTGAATATCATGCAATTTCATATAGCTTCACTGCCTCTTCCTCAACCTCATGAGACTGTTGGGAGGCATGGTTCTAAATTACCCTTGAGTATATAGGTTCATAAAAATGTATTATTAAATAGAAATATTTCGCTCCCAGCCTGAAAGTATTATTTTATTTTGTGTGATCCAGTAACGAAAAAGGTTGTGCGCCACTGTTCTAAACAAAGAAATGAAGATCAGCGAAATATGTATTCTATTCATAGACCCACCGGCAAAGTTCTCTAGTCACTCTCACTTTTCCTTGCACAATTCACCTTCGAAATATTCAACATGCGAATCATTGCGTTTTCACGGTCTTCGAATCGACTTTCGACCGTGTGTATCGACGATAAAATCACCGACCACTCTAATCTCCGGCACAGCTGTTATCGCTTCGTACGAGTACGAGCAAAATGTCGCTGTAAATATTGTCATGGTCATGACCAATCGGTCATTAACTCTTGACTCCCGGATCACCTTGAAACAAGTCGAGATACATATTCGATTCAAATTTCTCCTGCGTACATTCGGAATCCTAATTAACCGGGAATTCTCTTAGACAATTGACCCCCTTCGAGTATTCTGAATAACGGGTTGGTCGTATAAACGACAGCACAATTAGGTAACGAGCGTAGGACTCTCATGGAACGCAACGGTGCGGCATTACATACACGTACGACGCAATTGAATTTTCAAACGCAAGTAGATCGATGGAGCCCCAAATCTCTCCATTTACCCCCATGCTTGACACATTGGTCCCGTGCACGGCTCCGAGTTGATACGCTACTGGCGTTATGCGTGCTACGTGTATATCGCGATGGAAGGGTGAGTGGGTGGGAGACGGGGGCGGTGGCTCTGACGGCAGAGTGGCGGTGGAGGTGGTGGTGTCGTGGCGACGGTGGTGGTAGCACTGGAGGCGGCGGCGGTGGCTCGTCAGTCGACGGAGGAGGAGAAAGGCGGTCGGGTGGCCTTGAACTTGACTGCCGCCGTTTTTGTGCACAACCGTCGCCCGCCCAAAACAGCCCACCAGCGTAGACACCGGTGTTTTCTGTTGACATACCACAACGCCACCTCTCCGAACTTGACCTCCCGTTCGAACAGTTTTTAACGAATCTATTTTTAATACCGATACCGACGGCTAACGACTGAAAAACCTAACCACTTAAGGGTTTCGATTAACAGAAGAATCGATAATTCGATTATTTGTCGTACGTCTGTTATCGCGATTGTATCTAAACAGATTTCGATAAAACTTCATATATAACCTCTATATTCTCGTCGGAATGTTTGATTAGGTTTTTGAGCAAGGTCAGTGAGATAGGTATTCATAGCGTGTATTCTCTAAATAAAATGGAAGATGTCTCGAACAAAGATACCAAGTCTGATGTCCACGAAAATAATTTCTATAGTAAATGTCTCTAATTGGAAGCGTAAAAAGTTATTCGACCGAGAGGTTATGTTGACCATGCTCGAAAAATCCAATAGTTTAATTTGCAATGCTAATTAAGTGTCTGCTGCTGTCGCCAATAGCGTCATATACGATAGAATATCGTCGAAATGTTTCATAAACGTCCCTAGAAAGAAATATGCACGGACAAAGAGAACGTTACACTTTCGTAACAACAAATCGTTTCCTACTCCTATGGAATGCTTCTTATTATATTTAATTTTAGATTTTATGTAGAATATGAACAAACTGTGTCTGTTGACGTGGATAAAGGGTCTGAGAAGGTTAAGACAAAGGTTTATGACCCTAGCTGAACTCACTTCTTCTAACCTTCGTCGAAACTAACGTAAACAGAAAAGGCAATCGAGACGTACCGGCAATATACTAAAATTCCAAACATATTTGTGTCGAGTTTCATATCGAAATGTAACACTGCACATTTATTTCCCGTAGACTATTTACGAATCTATTATCCGCAATAAGAACCATTATGTAACCTCGCGTCGCGTATTTTCGATATTTCCTGATACATTCGATAAGGAAGACAAGTGTAGTAATCGAGAGAGGGATTTGCATAAGGCACAGAGCCGCACTAGCGTGTTGAATAAAATAATGATAAAATAAAAAGATATCTATGAACGACATGTGTCCTAAAATATTTCCCGATTGACAAAGAGAAAAAAAATATGGGAACCTATGCCCATGGAGGCAGCCGGTAAAAGTATAACCAGGGTTGAGGTAGGTAGACTACGAACTAACCGGATCGATACGGCACTCTCGCTTTCTCGTGTTCTCGTTTCACTTATCTGTGTCGTGTCTCTGATACTGTACGAACACAAAATTCAGGCGACTTGAATCAATGATCTATATGCCTGTTTTTCAAACTGCGTTACACTAGTTGCGAATAAGTATTTCACGTAAAGTCAACAAATCAAGAACACCTATTTTTCTATTGGGAAAAATAAAAGCAAAACGCGATGCTAAACCTTTGTGAAAATGAAAGTGGAACTGACTTTCGTTTAAAGTAAAAAAAATAATTACAACACCCACTTAAAAGGCTATTGATTACACTTGGGACAAAATTTATTGACAGCTCAAGGCCATCAAGGATCTAACCTTACCATACCATCAACGTACGGTGAAAACGAAGTCATTGTTAATCATGATGTACAGGAAAGTTACATCCTCGTACATTGAAATATACAAACACGGTACAAAATATGAGACGGTCTGACAAGTATTTTTAGGAAACTGTTCTTTTATTTCCTGTTAAATATAATTGCACGTTACCTTCAAAAATGGAAAGCTAAACTGTCGGTAATAAAGAAATTTGTAGTTTCATCAGTCGGTACTCAAAGTATTTAAACTAATAAAATTGTATTTCAATTTTAATTGTGTAAAATAAAAACATTTCGCTACTGCTATGACAAAAACATGAACGTTATCAATTCACATTCAAATTCCTTGATATTTGTTGTGTGTTGATTCGATGCATTTGTCTATCGTAAAGAATAATATTATCCTGAATATTGAAATTGTATTCAAAGCTATAGAATAATTACAGAATTACATAAAGGCTGAAATTAGTTTACAAGTGCATTTTAATCTTTCGGAATATGTTATTCCAATTTATTTCAATTACAAATAAGCGTGCATCTTGGACTTAAAATGTAACTAATTGATGTAAGTAGGAAGTACACACTTAAAAGCAGAGTTAATAATTTGAACTTTGGTACAAAAATTCGAAACGATATCGTACCATTGAATATTAGTGTATCGATTTACGTGAGATAGGATCAGCACGGTATGGGAAAAGTCGCGAATTCTCGTTTATCGTCACACGCTGGATTTCATAACTCGCATTTTTTTTCTCGAAAAAAAAAAACCAAGGCCATAACAGCCTTGTTGTGAAACCCGCGTAGTTAATTTTGAAATCAAAAAATAAAATCGAACAGGAATCCAATGGGTTCGCGATTTGGGCTGAACGTGGCGTTAATCGACGATAGAATAGAATTCACAGGCGAAACATGAAATATGAAACTACGGCAAAAAATACAACATACACAGCAAGATATAAACGAATTTGTAACAAAGATGGCGGAAGAAAATTTGGCAGATCGTTGGTGCCCTATTATTTTCGCCTTCTGCACGAAAACGCGCCAAAGCAGGGACAAACAAATACGAAAACAGATCCAAGAACTCACCTCGAGATTCGTAATCGTCCACGTATCTCCATCGATGTTTGGAGATTTTCAATCTCGAGAAAAATATTGTAGCAATGGCCGATTCCACAACTCACTAGAAGCAGAAAACTCGACGGTTTCGATTGTTGTGCGCGTGGCGCCATCAAGCGAGTACGAATACACCAGGAATCATGACCCAAATGCAGCTGGTACTACCCTCTATCGGAGACATACAAAATGTCTGGTCTCTACCGTATAACTCGGGATGTCTATATTAATTACGTACATAAATACGTACATTAAAAAAAAAACTAACATGCAGTCATTATCTAAAAATTTGTTACATCAGAAAAACCAAAACCTTGAATAACCAACGCTAAACGATCGTAAGAAATACTTCCTGACTGCTAGACCACGAAACAGGACCTATACAAAATTTCTTTTTAACAATACCGTACCAAAATTCAAAAGCCAAATCAGATCAAATACTTAATCGAACGATAAAGTAAAACACGCGCAAAATTTCAATTACTTTTTATACTTGTATTTAAAACAGAAGAACATGGGAAAAATGTAAAACGCAAAGGGAAATACATTGATAAATCAAATTTAAACTTTCGCAATTTCGCAGGATACATTTTTAGGCTCCCATTTCCCGTTACTGGTTGGCCGTATGCACAATTTGGCATAGATATATTTTTGCAATCGTTCTGGATTTACAACCAGTGTCTCGTTAACTGTATTGCAATAGTATCGAACATCGGAGGGTAAGATCATTATATGCGGTTGTTGTTCGAAACAAGCGTACTTCATCCAAAGCATCGTATCGAAATTTAGACTCTCGAAGGGTGGGTACAAAGGATAGAATGTTGCTTGGGACAACACGTGATCGGCTAAACGACCAAGCCTGTCCATACCAAACGTTTTCCTAAAAAATTGCTCGTTACATTCAAATTCTCGTCGTGTCGCCTGCACATGCAATTAGACTTACGATACTTCTTGCTGTCCTAGGTGTCTGAGAATATCGACGGACGTTACTCCGATTTGCAAACCCTCCACATTTATTACGCAAGGATCCGGCATGGAATACAAATTCGCAGTGTTCAATTTAATTTTGTTCGTGTATATGGCATACTCGGGCGTCGGAAAAACGGCGTCGTGATGCGCATCCCGATTCGAAGACACTAATACAACGCGCGTGGATCCTCTAAATTACAGAGAACTACCATGAAAAAAAATACTGCGGCATAATCAACGTTACTAACGTAACATTTAATAACTAAGTTATATACCCTTGTACGTATCGCAAGATCCTCGACAAAAGCTTATCGAAAAACTCTTGAAAGGTATCTTTCAACGTGCATTTCTTAATTTCTGGATGCGTGTACTCTACGAAAGGACCAACTAAAATCAATACATCCGGTTGTTCTTTCGCGACGTTTTCCATCAGATCCCACAACGGCTGGTAATTCAAATTGTCGGACGTTGTGAACGGACCAACCGCGACATACACCCTCAAATCTTTTGATAATTTTGGCGCGTCGGCCAACAATGCATAGCCTTTTACAAAGATCTTGTTCACCAACAGACAGTTTCCCGTTGGATTGACACCTTCCACGGCAATTATTTGTCCCGGAAAAATCGAATACTGCTTCATTCCGCTGAAATCCAGTCGGATAATAGGCCCATTGTTGTCACCCTTGCACCTTTTGCAACCTTCCAACATGACCATCTTACTACTGGTCGATTTATCGATCCTGACGGACACTCTGCCCCATGTTCTGAACGCCACTTGGCTCACGGTGACCACGTTTCTCACGTAACGTACGTTGGAATTAGCGGGTCCCATTTCGTTCCAAATGTGGCACAGTCGGTTACCAAAACTTTCACAATTACTGGTAAGAGCTGCCCCTTCTTTCGACAACATTTCGTACATATACACCACATCTTTGGGCACATGAGAACTGCTGGCCTTACCGATCGATACGTGATATTCATCCTGCTCCTTCCGAGTCTGTATATCTGGGCCAAAACGCAACAGAACTTTCCCTCTAACGTTCGTGCTTAGGCCACGTTTAGGCACATTTCTGTAACAACAATTCCAATATACCAATCGCAATACTGAATTTAATCTGAATGTATCAGGTAGCCCTCCTACAACACGTGACTTTTGCTTAACATATTTAAAAACTAAACTAACTTAAAATAATGAACTATAGTGGCTTTACACAAATTATAATTTATTAAATCAAGGTTACGTTAAATTAAAATATTTTTTTTTTGTGTTATACATACATTTATATTTCTGATAAAAATTAAAAGAATTAAAAAAAAATGTTTGTTTTTAATAAGTTTTCAGAACGTAATTCCTTTTTTTATACTGGGTCTGGGTCTCGTATAACACGGTTTCACACAACACGGATTTTTCTAGGAGCCTATCTACCGTGTTATAGGAGGGTTACCTGTACTTATGGATTGTATAGCCCCGTTGATCCTTTATTTTAGCTCGGTTTTAATTTAGTCTGTAAACTATCCTAACAGAGTAGAACCACGATACTTGCACGCGAGCACCATTGCACGCGTTGGCGCTTAACACGCAGAAGCGAAGTTCTAGAGCAACAAGTGAAACTGGAAGTGTCTCCCGTTTGAAATAGAAACGGATCGTTGGTGAGAGACCGACAACGATTACACGAGAGCTCAAACAGAGGCTATAAAGTAGCGAAGATATATATTATGTATCCTATAATTCAACCTTGCCCTTTTGCAATTATCAAGGTTCCACTTTTCTTTCAAAAAAACAAAACAAAAAAAAACAATCTGCTTACGCTTTTGGTGTATAGGTCGGTGGCGAAAATGTATGGTCCACGGCTCGTATTTTATTATCATTTCCTGTATCTATGTCCGGACTTCTTACTCGTTTAATATGCTTGGAAAAAGAAAAGAAAAAGAACACAAAATAAATGATACCATATATTGATCGAACGCGTTATATACGAAATATAAATTAAAAGTAATTTATAATAATTGTATGTACAATGTTCCGAGAGAAAAACAGACAACCGTAGACGAGTATGTATCTAGTCACGAGATCAAATAAAACGTGCACCACATTCATACTCGTCTATGGAATCATCAGTTTCGTGTTATACTCGGTACAAAAAAAAATAAATAATCATGCAATATAAAAAAACTAAGGAGACCGTAACTTTCGTTCGAGATTTCTTGGTAACCGTCAAACGAAACTGTGATGTTTAATCCCAAACGTGCTTAATGAGTGTGGATCTAGTCACAATTCGATCATCTGTGCACTAGACCTTCACTCATTTGGCAAATTTAGAGAACTCTCTCCCAGTTTTCTTCTACCCTCCTGTTTACAAATCACCGCCACGATATGAAAAAAAAACCAAAAGTTTTCGAACGAACGCAGAAAAGAATTTGAATTAATAACGCCTACAATTCAGAAATATAAATAGTTGGCTCGCATTCAGAAGTTCAACGCAACGAGAAGGGTTAACTGTTGTTAACCTGACCGTTCTTCCCGCTCGCGTTATTACGCATTATTTCAATCGAGTTCGAGCTATTTCTTGTAGTTCGCGTTCGATACTATCGCATTAAATTAAAACCCGCCTTTCTTCGACGATGTTCAACGGGTTTCCTCGTACATTTCAAATTCCTTCGAGAACGTTTACGTACTGCCTCACTGTTGATGTTTACTAATTTTTTTTTTTTTTTTTAAATCCTCTCAGAAGCGGTTAACTGAAAAAAGATATTCTTAATCGCACTCGCTGAAGCGTACACGTTGTACAAGTTACACTGTGATCGATTAAACGTTAAGAGAAGACGCGAACGTTGGGAAATAATTCATTCGAACGATACTTGCTGTACCAGATCATGTAAAACTTTGGGTCGATCACCGACCGCTAGCTATGTTCCCTTTCCCCCCCCCCCTCCCTCTTTCCTCGACAAGCAACACACCAAGCCGAGGAGACTATTTCTCCTTCTATCCCTCTCTCCGCGAACTAGCCGCCCCTGGCAATCTTTCGCCCCACTGTTCACAAAGATACCGTGGGAAATAACGCGAAGCTTTTACCAGATACAGTTGTAGCCAGCCACGGAAATAATCCGTTGGGATTCAAATCGTTCTTTTTTCTTCGTAAACACGAGTATCGATTTTCTTTCTTCTTTCCTTCTTTTTCAAACGGACGCTTCGAAAGAACAACGAAGAGCGAGAAATTAAAGCAAAAAGAAAGAGGAAGGACACGGGACTGTCGGTTGTTGGTCAATTATGCTTAATTGGTAGATGTGAACAGCTCCCTGAGGAACCAATCTTTCCGACCGAGTGCTGCTCAAGAAAGCTACGGTTAGCTTACGCCTAGGACAATAACTGTTATCGGATGTAATTTACTATGACCAAGAAGGACCTCGTGTGTACAGAGTTATCATTAAATCGTTCATTTCAAACAACGTTAAATGCTTCTCTAGAACAATTGCAGAAAATTGTTTTTATTTAAACTTATGCAACTATATTTGCTAATAAAATAAACTTTAATGGGAACGAAATACAGGGTTATATCAACGATAGCGTACAAGGCTTTGAAAGAATCGTATCGCGTATAAACGCTGGCGTATGTACGCGCGCACGAACACAGCTAAATTTCTGCGCCTGTATTTGATACACGCGAGTGTACAAAGAAAATATCACCAGCGCGAAATTATACGCGGCGCGGAGAAATAGAGGAATTATCGGATTGAAAAGTTTATCGTCCAGTACCTTAAACTTATTCGGTAGTCGAGGAGATCGGCTATGCACAAAAGACTTTCGAGAAAATATCAAAGGAGACGAGCGACACCGAAAGAAGCATGCAACATAGCCGAAGCAACAGGTTGTAACGACGCGACGCTTAGCTCAACGAAACGGTCGACGACATTCACGGCACGCGCGCGCGCTCTCTCTACATTCACACACATAAATACGAAATCTTTCTCCCTCCTTTACACGAGCGCGGGCGCACACACACGCGCAATACTATTATTGCTAAACACGATACGCGTGCAAGCGTGTGTACGAAAGGTACAAGGTTATCCGCAAATTTGCGAAACAAGCAACACGAATTCTAAGAAAAAGATTAAAAAAAGAACGAAACTTTACCCGAAACGAAGTACATCCCGATCTTACCGAGCTCGCTTTGACACGATTTCACACACAAACGTACGACGTGCGTTTCATCATACCGATCCGACAGAATGGAAAAAAAAAAAAGGCGAAAGGAATCGAAACGCAAACAATAGCGGCAACGGTAACAGCCAGTAGCAATAGCAACAGGTCGTTGTGACGCGAGGCGCTGTACGATTGGCGGAATGACTTTCCAGTATGAAATTCACTCAAACCGAATTCCATGATGGCCGACGCTCCGGTCAACCGTTTTAACGTGTAATGCACTACATCGTACACTTCCTCCCGTTGTAATATACCGCTGTCTACGAAACCATTCGCTATGGCCACAACAGTAATATATCACAATTTCAAGCTGACGCGAACAGAACGCAAAATCCACAATGAACCGGCGAAACCACTGTACGGTACACTCTGAATCCGCGTGACGCGCTGACAGACAGTCGGTGGCGTCGTCGATTCGACGCCATAGAGATGTTCGCTCGCACCCGGCATTTTTACGAAAATACAAACGGACAATTCGTTACACAAAATGGAATATGTAATTCGCGAACGGTCGCCCGATAATTGCGAGACAACTTGAAAACCGTACGCAAGTACGTGAAAAGGAACAACGCTTCGTTTAGAAAACTTGCGAGAGCACGCGCGCGAGCGCATCAGGATGATAATGGAGTCTGGGTCCTTGAAAACTGAAATCGTACCCTTTGAAGAAATCTGGTCAGCTCTCTTAGATGGAAGGAGAACCCCTCCCTTCGCGATTCTGAGGAGGCACGGTGTCCTTTTTCCACCAATAGGAATAGATCCGACCATCCCCCTCCACGGAACAGTGTCCTTTGTGGGAGATGGAAGAAACCGGGGAGGGGATAATGGCGGCAATCTACCTGGACGATTTTTGTGGCGGGAATTACGGTGCCTCGGCGAGATCGTACAACAACGCTTCGCTTCGGGATAAGAAACCACCTGCCGAGGAATCGCGTCGAAAATTTCACCCGTACCGTAAACATTCAACGACGATAGTAACGCTTGGCAATCTACGGCATAATATTTCGCTTCCTGATACATGCTACGTATCTAACAATAACGTAATGTTGCAATTCGGTCGGAATTTATCATGTTTACGACAGAAAAATACACTTCCTGCGGGAAAGAAAGGTTAACAAATGAGAAAAGTATAACAGAGGCGAACATCACGATAAAATTAATTTAAATGAACAGGAAAAGTATTTTATAGATAAATATGTATAACAAACAAAATCACTCTACTTCAAAGCTGAATAAATTATTTTAAGAATTATAAACTTCCATAAAAAAAATTAAATAAAGCGATTAAATCGTTCTGTTGATGGGACAGCAAAATGGCGACAAAAATATTCTTTCTAGTCTTCGCACGATTTTGTTATACGGAAACCTGAATGTTCTACGAAGAATTAGATCCACAGGTAGAAATCTTACGTCACTGCTACTATAGACCATAGATCGACCATAAAGAATGTAAGACAGTGTTGCCAAAGCGACGTAAATCATTGCAATGCCAAGGTTGAGGTTCCACATAAAACGTATCCTTGTCCCAGCGACATAGTACAGTTTTGGCATCGGTTCTCAAAAGACTAGTACAATTTCCAACATTTTCTGTTGCGCCCAAATTATTAAAAAATGCCACTCTAACTTTTCAAAGAATTCTTTACTACACCCGCGTGTAAAAGAGTCGGATATCTAAGTCTTAGAAGCACGTGCACGTTCGTAGAAACTACGTGTTCTTGTAATTATAAATTTGAGAAAGTCTACAACACGTGTTTGACGTAAAAATTAAAGCACATCATATTTTGAGCAATAATTTTCTTGGAATGAACGGTAATTCAGTAAATTTACGATGCGAAACGTAAAAAAAATATATTAACTAATATGAAACCGTCACAATTCTATGGAACTTCTAACACGCAATGAAGTAAAAATGTTAATTTATGAAATAAAAACAATTCCATGAAAAAATGTTACCATACGTAATTATTTTAGATGTACTACTCGTAAAGAACGAGCAGTTTCATAAATCTGGCAACAATGCCGGAAGGCCATTACAGGGGTGGAGACCTTTCCCTCTAGAAAAAAGAGCATAAGGGGAACGAGCAGCTTTTGAAATCATCAAAATAGTCCGTTCGAATTTCGACAATGTATAATCGTAGACGAAAAATACGAAGTTTTAGTGTAAATTCAATTCGAGAAACATGTACACGAAAATACTTGTAAAATGTATTTATACATAATTATTACTTAAAATAACTAAATTGTCTTTCAATTTTTACTTGCAATGAATTATGTATTACATATTTATACATGAAATTTTTGTTGGCAAAGCATATTTAAAGGATAGAAATATTAGATAAACACAAATATAAATGTATCAAGGAAAATATGGTTTTGTTATTAAATATAATTAACATAACTTAATGTATGATAGTGTAGAAGATAAAAATAATAATGTATAAATGAAATAAAAACTTACCTGTGAAGATTGTTCAATGCTGTATATGTCCAAAACATTGTTGCTGTTACAATGATATGCAAAAAGAAAAAAACATGTAAGGATAATATTTGAGTATAATAACAAATAAAATGTTTCTGAACTAAATTTTGATCTCTATATATATCAAAGGATACGTGGTTTCTTGGAGTGTCTGTACATCAATATCTATATTGGATACTGAATGCGAAATTGTTTCAATATCATTTTTGTTTTTTTTTAATTCTTCTTCTTCCAGGTCATTAAGATCTTCTAATGTTGGACTAATGTTTAGAGAGTGTGACACTGTATGTGAAACCCATAATTCCACAAATGTTTCCGTATCAATGCTATAAGCATGACAAAGCTGAAGACCTAATTAAAAATACTTTTACTATAAATTAACTGAATGTAAAAAAACAATATTATCAATTTCGGTATGTATTAAGAATGAGAGTACAAATATGAAAAAGCTATATTGAATTATAAATATGTGAATAAGATGTAAATACAACATGTGATATTCAAATAATCAACATAATATAATGACGACTTTTTTAAGATATGGTTATAATGCATATGACAGTACAAAAAGTATAATTAAGAAAGAAACATAGTACGTATCAAATCATTGAAATACCTTTTGACTTTTAATCTACAATAACAATCGATAAACTTATTCGCGTGAGAAGTTAAACTGCCAATATTTTAACATAACGAATAATTAATTTAATAAGTAATACGTAACTCACATCGATCAACAACAGATTTATCTGGAACGTCACTACCTAAATCACAGAGACACGAAATTAACGACTCCTCCGTCACCATTTTGCTTAGTAAACTACGTTCTTCACGTTTTTCCCGCCAATTTGGCGAATATGAGCATGCGTAGTATTACGACTGCTTTCCACGTCGTATCGTACACAAAACGTGCAATTAATTTATGCAAAATTTTGTGATCGAAATCATAATAGCACATTATAGGATAATCATAGGATATTGTACTTAGGAAATAAATGCATATTTTATTCTATACAGAATTTTCAGTACTCCGGATGCATTAAGAAAATAAGTAATTAGCTTTATGAAGTGTATTATCTATGTGTTTATATGTATAATAAACCTCATAGCTTACATAATTAAAAAAATCGTATAACAATTAGTAGTTTTACTGGTGCTGGAATCAATTAATTATTTTTAAGTACAAAATGTTCTTTATCTTTCTCCCAAAGCTCAATAAGAGTTTGTGAAGTTTCTGGGGAAGGAAATCTTTCCATCCAAGACTGAATAAATCCAACAAAATTGGGTTCATAGTTTTTCAGTTGCACTCCCTCTTCACCTGATTGAACAAGAACTAAATTAATTTGATTATCAAATGTCATAATAAACGAAAATAATGACCTGATCACCAACCATTTACAAATGTGTTCGATTGTACAAATATTTTTCGCGGCTCTTTATGGGCTAAAACTATATCTCTCCAACGTGCCCATGGCTGTGGTCCTGTTTCAGGTACTTCACTGTACTTTTCATACATATTCCTGGCTGCCTCTACATCACCTGTACTTTTATAAACTTGTAACTTAGTTAAAAACTTTCCAATTGCTCTTTTTCCGACTGTCAAAATCTTTGATTGATCTACAGTTAATAATAAATTTTTCCCAGGTTCGGATTCGGTAACATTAACAAAATCTTCACCAGCTTCTATACAAACTCTAAGTAAGACATATCTCGCTTGGGAGTGAGCTTGCAGCCATTTTTTAGTAGATGGGTCATAAAATTCTAAAGCTTTTGCACAGCCATTCCACAGTAAAGACAACCAATTCACATACATTATGATATCTGCTTTAGAACCTTCGTAACCAAATATGCTTAGTATATCCGGCTCTAAAGACAGATAAAGCCCAACTGCTTCTGCTCTACATTCTTCATAAGAAGATCCCATTGGACCAAACTTTGAATCATATGTTTCCCCAGGCAGGAAAAATTTATTTATTGCTTCTCCATTTAAAGGATTTTTTACTTTATCTTTATCAAAATTATATGAACCAGATTGTAACTGTCTCAACAATTTCCCTGTTCCGTGACCAAGAAGTTCGTGCAAACCAACTTGCACTTCAAAACTGGCATTTCTATATGTATTCATTAGAGTTTGATCATGTTCGGATAAAAATTGTATCACATCCAATTTCATATTTGCAGGAATTACACTACCCAAAGAAACATTCTTAAAACCTTCGGATTGTCTAATTTCATCGTAATTTGGAATATTTATACCTGATGGGACACCAGATCCAGAGAATGTTAAAACATCTAAAGAAGTAAAATCGGGTCTTAAGAATTCGTCTTTTTCGAACTCTTTACCCCATGGAAGATTTGGTATAAACTTTTCCGCGTTACTTACTAATGTAGCGAATTTTTTAGACATTTCCTTATTTACCATTGCTACAAATCCTTCAAATTCACCTCTTTGACCAGCAGGATCTCTGTAAGTCTCAATGAAACCGATATAAGTTTCTATGACCGGTCCTTTATCCTTTATCCAAAAACGAGAACCATCTTTATGGGCTTGTAAAGATCCTGTATTAAAATGTTCTATATATTTATTCAACATATTTTTTTCATTTTCATTGGCAGCATATTCTATTGCCTTCTGCAAATTATCAACAACTGGAATTAAAAGCTTGCTATAATCTCCTCTCTTAATTTTAAATTTAGCATTTTTAAAAACTTCTTCTGCTAATGTAATGTTAGAATCATCGTCGGTTTTTACAGAAGCTAGTCTAATTTCATATGTATCCATATTTCCTGCAGCTTTATCTGCTGTTTTGAAACACCTTGCATTGTAAGACTCTAGTCCTTTTTCTTGCATAAATTCATTAATTAAGTCAGCATCCTTTTCTGTACAATTCTCAGAAAAGTAAGTTGTAACACCTTTATCACCTAGTCCCAAAGTTTTCAGTTTTCCACTTATCGAATACGTTACATTTTTAATCTTATTCCAAATACTTTCAATATCCTTGGGACTATCCTTATAGGCTTTTGATACTTTTAATATGGTTTCAAATTTTTCTTTAGACAAATTAGGAATTATTTTACTATCGCCGAAAGACTTATAATTACCAGCATTTGCAAAAACTCCACAAGTATATACTAAAAAAGCCTGAAAATATTGAATTGTATTAAGAAACAAATGAATAATATAAAAGAATCAAAACTAGCTATTATTTACTTACTGTGAATTCATCTTCACTAATGCCAGCATTAAGTGCAGATTCCTTCAATTCATTTATTGCTTCGGATACAAAAACTTTATGCAAAAGGGCAAATATTAATGGTGACTCTGGTGATGTTTGTATAAACACAATAAGACTCCCATTCCATGCAGCTTGACTCAAATAATGTGCATACAGTTTCTCATTTGTTGTTAGAGCATTAAATGCACGTTCACATTCTAAAGCAATTATCGATTGTTTGTTTGGTAAAATAAATAAGGAAGTATCTTCACTCATTTTTGTGCACAGTTGTTTTACACTGGAATGCAAAATCGTATTTTGTGATTAAATATATTCGTTAAAAGTAATATAAACTGCTGTGTAAATTCTTATACAGTCACGAACGAATGTACAATTTTTACATGAATAATTTATAAAACGTGTTTGAGGTTAAGACGTATTGCAAGGAACGTTGGCAAATAAACGAGATTAGTTTCTGTTAAACATCCATGTGAGTATGTATATGTATAGTTGTAACAGATCACATAGCAAATAACCCACCAAGAATCAATATTTGTTCTTAAATGTGTAATTCTTCTATTTAACGACAAAATTGGTCGGCTATTCTTTCCCTTAAAATGAACATCGACTGAGAAAGGTCGTAAAGAATTTTGAAATATTTTTTTAGAAACAATTGTTCGTCGACAGAAACACCACGTACACAAATTAAACATTGTAATTTGGAATAACAGAAAATAATTATATGATTAAATAGTCATATATGTAAACAACTATTAGTAACAGAAATTTCTTATGTACACATGTCTTTGATACTATACAAAATTTGCTCGACAAAATGTGACATAACAATTAAAGCTTAAAATTTATTGGATAGTTTAATTCTTACAGTATTTAGTAAAATACTTAAATATTACCGTAACGAATAAAGCTGGATCAGTTTCTGATTTTTAAATTCTTCCTTTAATAGCGTTCATCGTTCCGTCTTATATACCTTTCTGTACACCTTTCCTACCTTTTTTTATCTTTACTTTTATCAATTTTTATCGTGCAAAAATTCATTACACGCATTTGGGATTAAAAATATCTTTTTGTAAACAAAATTTCATTACTGTTAAAAAAATTTATGTAACGAATTTACGAAAGGGATAGGAAGAATATTTAAATGTTTTATTCTTTATAATATACAAATATCATATAAAATTTTTAATTTATAAAAATATATAGACAATCATATTTTTTGTGATTTCATGAGCGTATGTACGCGTTTCACGTGTTGTCATATGTTTCCCATTTTTCGTTTTTTATTCTTATTTATTTGCTTTTTCTTATATAATATGTAAAGGCAACTTAACTGAATTATTAAAACAAATTACATTTCCCTGAAGTTTAACATATAAATAGGAAGGAAGTCACATTGGGAAGCCTTTTCATATGGATACAAAAATTTATAGAAAATAAACATAATACTATTCTTTAACATCTCCAATTCCATCTGCATTTATAGCAAACATTGCTTCACTCTCTGGTAAACAGGGTGAATCATAAATTTTACATATTCTAGTTTCCCCTCTGCCTTTGCGCAAATACAGTCTTGTAGTACTTGCATGTGCCAAAATATTACCGCCAATTGGTTTTTTCTGATCTCCACCAAACATACTTGCAGCACCATCGACCTGTGCAACAACTTGGTTGGTTATAACAACAGCAACACCATGTTCATCGGCTATTCTCAGCAGCATTCTAAGGAACCTAGCCAAATGCATTTGTCTAACAGCTAGTTCTCCTCTCCCAGAATAATCAGTCCTATACAGACCAGTTGCACTGTCTACTATCAGTAATGCATATCTGGATTCTGTCATCATGGCACTAGCCTGAATTAATAACTGTGTTTGGTGATCTGTATTGTATGCTCTTGCACAAGCTACATTGTCTAAAACATTATCCCCTGCAACATTGTATCTTTCTGCAACAGCAATCAACCTTTCAGGTCTAAAAGTTCCTTCTGTGTCTATATAAAGACATTTTCCTTCTGCACCACCCATATCTATAGGTAACTGACAATTGACTGCTAATGTATGACACAACTGAGTTTTGCCGGACCTAAATTCTCCAAAAATTTCTGTAATAGAACCAGTCTCTATACCACCTCCCAATAGTCTATCTAATTCTGTAGAGCCAGTAGTTACAAAAACGATATGTGAACGTGTTTGATGAATTTCTGTAGCACTTTTAAAGCCCATCACAACTAATTTTGAAGCTTCTTGTAGAATCTTATCTGCTTTAGCTTCGCTAATCCCTTTGATGTTAATTAAGTGCTTTTTAGGAGCATAAGCTACAGCTTCTACAGTATAGTAACCTGCTTCTTCTAACTTTTTTATATCTCCAGCTGTTATACCATTTCTCTGAATAAACAAACATATTTATTATACCGTTTGTGAATTTAAATTCTATAAATGTAAGAAAAATTAAGGAATCGACTTACTTCAAGAGTTTTTATTAATTTTGCTTGTGGATTATACTCTTCATATTCTTCTTCAACCTGAAGGGTGGCTGTAGTAGCTGTGGCTGACATATCTTAATATAACTTTATAGCTTTTGAATAAAAGAAAATATTTGCGACGAAGGCACGAATTATTAACTCTGTGTCGAAGTATTATGATACCATCAACAACAAAGCAACTCTAAATAATATCGTTAGCATTAATGTTAATCGTATTTTACAACTTCACATTTTAAACGTATTGTAAAGTGTATCTATTACTGTTACATACTACTTTATAGCTATGAAGTTTATATTGTAAATGTTTACTTTTATTTAAAATTAACCATAAATAACAACAAGGACTGTGTCACTGATCTAACTCATATGACATGATTTGTCCTAGAGGAGCGCCACAGTAAATGGTGGCAACTACTGGCAACTACTAGTAGGGCACGAGGTATCGCAATCCCCACCACTTCGTTAGACGATATGAAATTCGTCGTTAGTAGTGTCGCCGTCGAAACACTAAATTTATCAATTATGCCAAATCTGGTCACACTGCAGTGCACAGTCTGGTAGCATCGGGTTGATCATAATTTAAGTAGATTCATGACTGTAGAGATTTCTTAGACGTTTGCCTTCGAACATGATCGACCGCTTTCCTCACGAATAAGACCAACGAGAAAGTTGGTTTGTCTTTCCTGAGGTTAAACATCTAGTAAACCTGTTTATCATGTATGAGCTGCTCGAGGAAAACATTTAAACGTTCTGTTTACGATGAAATTTTAATTTAAAGAAATATTTTACTTTTAAGTCGAATTTGATATTCAAACGAATCTAATTCAATTTTAATACGTAATTTAAGTTCCTTTTTATGTAGATTTAAAGAAAAAAGATGGATATTAGGCGAAGTACAGGATTTTATGATTTATGTATAAACGTACCGGTGAATGAGAAGCAGAATTTATATCCCCTTTTGTTAAAATTGCATGAATATGGATTTAAAACAATAGCCATAAATACTAATGTAGATGAAAGTGTCCTTGGAATGGACAAGAGAAAAAAGAAAAAAAACGACGGAGGAGAATCGCCGCAGAGTATTACTCCCGAAACAGTGGACATAGAAGATGTAAAAAGGGATTTTCATGGGAAACTAAAAATTTTTAGTCGAATTAGCTTCTTGTGCTCTGATCCTGCAAAAACACACGTGTTGAATCATTGTACAAGCTTAAAAAAGTACGATTTGTACGCGTTTGTACCGAAAACACAAAATGCATTACAATTTGCGTGTACTCAATTAAACGCAGATATAATTACTTTGAAATCGTCTCCTATAACTTTTAAACTCAATAAGAAGCTGTATGAACAAGCTGTTGAAAGAGGAATACATTTTGAAATTCAATATGCAGATTTATTAAATGTAGAATCTAGAAGACTTACAATTCATTATGCACATCTTTTTCACACCTATGGAAAAAGCAAGGTATAAAAGTATTAAATTTCTTGATTAAAATGATATATCATACAACAATATGTTAAAAAACAAATACTATTGAATACACTCAGCTTTGCTTGAAATTTTGAAATCAAATATACAAATTTTAATTAAGTATTGTTCTTATGTAGAATGTAATATTATCCAGTGGTTCTAATGATATCAGTACCATTAGAAATCCTTATGATTTAATAAATTTATCATGCTTACTTGGACTGAATGAAATTAAAGCAAAGGCATCAATATTATACCAATCGAAAAAACTCCTTTTGAAAGCAGGTATATATATTCAAACAAAATATAATTAAATACAAAAAGAAGTAATAACAATGACAATAAATTTTATCATTATGAATTATTTTATAACTATAACTTTCCATATATTATCACATTGATTTTTTTTTTTTCATTTTTTTTATTTAGAAAGAAGAAGAAGAGGAAAAGCTGCTTTTATTATTGAAGAGGAAACAGAAGCAAGTAACATTATTGAGGACAATCAAAAATTTTCGAAAAGATTGAAGTTGTAAATAAAGTTTGTGGAAAACAAAATTGTATTTTCCTCAATTTTCAAACATTTTTCTTATTATAATTTTGTAATATTTTAGTATGCACTATTACTCGTAATTAATACCTTTGTATTGAAAAACATATAATGAATAAATATATATAAAAATGAAGCAACTATTTGGATATTTCAATAATTAAATAATTCTCAACACATACCTCTGTGTTAAGAATTCTATTTTAGAATAGTACTAGTTTTTTTATGGGTATTAAGGAGAATCTTGAAATGTAATCAAATGTAGCTTTTATTTAGAATATTTAAGAAAGAAGGTAATTAATTCTCAGAAAGTGAATTACTCTTTATAATGAAAAATATCTGATAGAAAATTTCAAATACGTTTTCATTTGGAACAAAGTAACAAATAGATTTAGTAGTTATTTATATCAAAATTATTCTCCCCTTTATACTTCTTTTTAACAAAAAGGTCAATAGTTTTTGAAAAAATTGTTCTTTTTCCATGTTGATCATTTACAAATTGCAGTTATTATAATCTTTGTCTTATATACAATTATATTCTACAAATGAGTGTCCATTAAAAATTGTATATTAACATTCTATACTAAAAAATATAGGATATGCATACAACATATCTTTTATACTGTGAGTAACTTTCCAGAACACCAAGGACATGGATGAAAATTTGGCTCAAACAAGAAGCAATCCTTACAGTCCTTTATTTCTGTTAGAACATCTAGGAGTTCTGAGACACTTTTGTTGTCCGTTTGTGATTCTGTTGCTTCTTTCGTTTTTTCCGCGACTACAGAATCATTTGAATTCATCTCTGAAAAGAGATATTTTCTTTAAGAAATTAGACTAACTCTTGTATTTCTACTAGTTGTTTGGGATCAAGCTGTGGCAAGAATATAGAGATGGACACGATTCTACTTCACGAATGACTCTATTTTTAGTTCTGAAGATTGCCGCAGTAATCGAATAGAATGCAGCTTCACGTTATTGCGCAGTATTTGAATTCGATATATGTATATCTAAATTAGTAGAATCGAAAATGTTTAGTCGGTAAATGTTCAACATTCAATTCTAACGAAATAGTTGCTTTGAAGTTGCAAGAAACAAGAAATACGTCTCCTTTACGTTATGATATCATGCTCGTTTCGAGCAAAGTTACCAAGTAGAAAAATGGCGTCACTACCTCCTCTTACCATAACCGTGTCGCCTGGATCTACAACGGTATTGGCGGTAAAAGTGGGGCAGGCGGAGAAGATCGACAGACGTGAGGAATGGGGGAGATCGATGGGCTCTAAACGGTAATTCTGTACATTTTAATGAAATATAAACTTCGGTTAATACCTGTTTGGATCGAATATTCCGTCCCATTAGAATGAATATATTCCTTTCTAAGAAAATTACTGACTAAAATCTTCAACTTATGCAATTGCTCTTGCAATTGATTTTTTTGTTCAAATAATTGTCGAAACACCTGTTCTCTTTCTATTGCCCTAACTTGAAGGACTGCTCTTTGCTTTTGATACAACGTTATATATTCCCCTAAAAAAAAATAATTTTTGTGAATATCAAAGTTAGAATGCAAAAGAAACTAAAAATATTTATTTATTGCATTCTTCAAATGTTCGTACCTATTGTTTCTGTTTCGCTTTGAAGTTGCAAAACAAGATGCTCAAGTTTTTGTTTCTCTTCTGTAAGTTCCGCAACTCGTTCCATCGTTTGTTTGAATCTCTGTTCGAGTAACTTCACTGGTTCTGATGCCATGATATCACTTTCCTCCAATTTTTCCGGATGTGCTTTCCCTTCCTGATTTAATTCGTCGTTGGTAGTTAATGCACCCAAATTGTTTTGAGGACAAGTGCTATCTTGGCTTCTTTCTTTTATTTTCTCTAGAAGTTGTTCCTTTTCTTTTTCTAGTTTTTCTATAGTTACCTGTGGCACAAACGAAACATTTTCACTGCCACTTCGGGATAGTTCTGTATATTGATCAAGTATAAAATAAATAAATATTTACCAAAGCATGTTGAAGTTCCCGCTGGAACGTATCAACATGATGCGATTGCGCCTGATAATGTTGTATTTGATCAGTTATCTGAGCCGCTTGAAACTTTTCTTTTTCAAGTTCTTCAATAGCAACTTCCTTCTCTTTCAGTTTTTCTTTTAATTGATCTAACTCAGTTTCAACGTCATTTAACCGAGTATTTAGTTTCCGTCCAATGGAACGCTCCGCTTGAAGTTGTTCTGTTAAGTCCAACTTTGCATTGCTCTTAAAAATTGTATAATTCATTAAGTATGAACCTAAATACTTAATTAAGATTTTAATTAAAGATACGCTTACTAGAGAAACAAAAGCATTCTCCATGTCAGTCAACTGATCTTTTAATTGTCGATTTTGATGTACTGCTCTGGACGCACCTAACTGTTCACTTTCAAGCGCGCTAGCTAATTTTGTTACTTCGGCTTCTTGATTGCTTGCCTCGCGCAAATCGTTTATGTCTTTCGTTAACATTTCGATTTGCGAATCCTAGATACATACGAATCGCTTATAATTACACAGAGTAATCTTTACAACAAGTTTCATAGTTGTTAATCATAATTAACAATTTACCTTTTCTGAAAGCGTAATATGGAGCCTTTCTTGTTCTAATGTCAGTTCGTCAATATTTTTCAACAGATTATCTATTTGTTCCTTACGATCTCGTAAAGGTAATAAATGTTCTAATTTCTCTTTTTCTTGTTGTAATTGCTGTTCAAGTTCTGACAATCTTTGCACATAACTTTGTTCCCTTAATTGTAAATCATCTATCGTTTTATTCTGCGTTTTTATCTGTAAAAAAAATATGGTATTCATAGATAGATAAAAACAGATTTGCCGTTAATACAATGAATTTACATAGAATTTTTGAAGTGTATTTATCTGACTCACCTCATCTAATAATTTAGCTTGTTGCATATCTAATTGTTTGACGTAATTCTGGTACTGTTTATTGGCTTCGTCTTTTTCAGTGCTAACAACTTTTAAAGATTCTTTAGCTTGTATCAATTCTTGTTCTAATAGTGTTCCTGTATGCTTTTCTTCCTCCGTTGATGTAGCACCTCTCATCTACATTAATACAAAAGAAATAAAAATTGCACAAATTTTTCATAAACAATATACATTACCTGTTGTATTCTGAGCTCGCTCAACGAAAGTAGCGCTGTCTTTTCATGAAGTTCTTGTTGAACAGCAATTAATTCTGTTTTTTTTAGATTCAATTTCTGTTTTAATTCAGATGCCTCCAAGTTTAAATCTTCCTTTTCTTTTTTCAATTCATAGAATTTTTTTTCTAGAGATTCATAATCATTTTGCAATTGATGATAATTTTTCCGTATCTCCTCGTTACTGCTTTTCAAAGCTGTAGTCTCTTTCTCTAATTCGATCACGCGAACTTGTGAATTTTTAAACTTTCCCATTATTTCTTCTTTCTCTTCTAAACAATGTTTATTTTTAAATAACATGAAATTAATAACTGTGTAAGAAGATTGATAAAATTTAGATATAAACCTGAACTTTGTCTAGCATCTTGCTGAGCCTGACTAAGAGCAGCAGTAAGCTCAGCCTTTTCTGCTATGAGAATACCAGTCGTTTGAGTATGTATCTGAAGTTGTTCTTTCAAAGGATTTATTTCACGCGCTAGATGCGACTGAAATTCTAACTCGCTCGCTTTTAATTTGGCCTCTAATTCTACAACTCTGCAACGCTGATTAATCGTTTAAAAATCATTTTTAAAGGAACACCAATATCCTAATCGATATCTTAAAATTCAACATACTAAATTATAAGATTCAAAATAAAACTAAGTCTTTGGAATTGTTAATTTATAATCTTCGAAATGTAGTCGTTTATTTTGTTAAATTAAAGCAATCTTTTAAACATATATACAACGTATATACTCACAGAATTGCTAAGTTCTATGTGCAATTCGTTCACAACCTTTTTCTGCTCCTCCAAACAGGAACTTAAGAACTGATTATGACATGTCAAATCACAGTCCAAAGTTGTCTCTACGTGTTCTGAATCATTTGTCAAAACATCTGCAACTGCAGAAGCCATTTCCAAAAGATGTTCTTTTTGTACTTTTGGAAAATTGTTTAATTCAACTTTTTTCTCCATTTCTGATCTTACATTAATCTCTTGCATTTCTTGAATGGGTTTTATAGTCTCCTCCACGGAATTCTGTAATTCTTTATGATTTACTATAGGTTCAGTATTTACCTTTAAACTGTTAGGCATTGTTTCATTTTTTTGGAAATCTTGATTGATAACATGTATATTATTTTCAACAGTTTCCATTGTAGATACATTATTACTAGCTTCCAATTCTGATTTATTAATTTCTGTATTTTGACACTGTAAATTAATCAGAAATATTAGTTTAGGTTAACAAAGAATAGTCAAACCATTTATCAGTGCTATCTATTGTAAGATTTAATCTGGATAACCTTATAAAATTCATAAATGATATTTTATTTACCTGAGAGGATGGTAAATCCACCGATTGATGTTCTTGTTTTGTAGAAACATCCTGGATTTTTTTCAATTGAAATTCTTTGAGCTAAATAGATAAAAGAATTCATAAGTACAAATAGCTTTCATAAGGTGAACAATTATCATCGTTGAATAAATAATTGCAGTGTAATAATAAAAGATATTTGACAGTTGACATAACCTAAAAATTTACAGAAAAAAAAAAAAACAAAAACTTTTAACGCAGTGACAAAAATAGTTTTTCCCTTGTGCGACTGACATATGAAAATATTTATTAAGCAACGCGTTAAAAAATGTAAACTTTTTATAAGTGCCAACTGGTATAAAAGTATCTACGTAGCTGTCAATATTTAAAAAAAGTGATACCTTCTTCTTAGCAGCTAAAAGTTTTTCGCTTTTACTTAAATTCATTTTGAAGTGTTACACAAAAACTAACAAACAAAGCTCTCGATTATGCTCTAGCACAAGTATTTACATCATCGTAATTAAAAATATTGTATTATTTAGGATCGAGGTTATCTCATGCTTAATGAAGTTTTTCCTTTCTGTCGATGACATCGTTCATTTAGATAGTTAATGGCAATAAATGACAGAGAGAGGCGCCTCTAACGGCTCGTCGAAGAAGCAGCGTGGGCATTAAAATTCCTAGACATTCAATATCTCGCGATTATGATTAGATGATTAGATTGATTTTAGAATTATGTGGGAATAGTGAGACTTGGGAAATTATAACGCCTTTGTTCAACAGTAAAGATTGTATATATTCGAGTCCGTGTACTTCGTCAGCCTGCATAGGACTAGGGGTTTTTTTACAGTTAGGGAACTAACAATATGGCGGCGCGCCAAAGAGGGGGCATCGTCCCTCTCTTTCTTTCACCCTCTCGTTCCTAAAGGCTATCGCGATTGGTGTGTAGTTTGTGACGTAGTGAACGACGATTCTACTCGTGGGCCGTGTCGAGTTCTCTTTTTTCACTTTAGATACTCAGTGTAACTGAAATTCGTAAAGGATCATGCTAGCCAGGTTGTCTGTGAGAGATTGAACTTTTATTCTCATCCTTATCATTTATTTCGATGCTGAGAACTGCTTTTCGTCAACGGAACATCAGAAACGACTACTCTCCACTTTCGATCGGTGAGTACCAGCGAATATGTCTTCTGCTGAATTTCCGGTCGACTGTCATTCCAAAATATCAATCAACTGTCTCGAAAGAAACTTCAGTGTTTGCCAATAGTATTTTCTTTATCGAAACATTTTCCACACTTTCGGTCCTCTTCTTGAATGCGAATATCAATCGATACAATTTTCTTAATATGAAATTGTTTTGCGATTCAATTGAAGAATTCAATTGTACGATCTGTGATTGTCAGTTGTTTATAATTGAAAAGCCTTTATTTATCTAATCGTTATCGATTGAAAGCAATTGGCAATTATTGAAATGCATTGTCAGGGGTTTCAGATTGTTAGACATAACCTTTGGAACGTATATTCTTTCTCTCAAGTTGCCCAACTTATTTTATTGGGCATTATATCTCGCATATTCTGCATTTTTTCTTTGTGTATATTGTTATTAATAACCTTGTAACCTTTGTCTTTTTATTCGTTCAATTATATTTGAATATCTCGCCGTTTAACTATTTGCACGTTTCATTATTTATTTATGGATTCCTTTACTCAATTATTTACTTGTTTATCAATATTTATGCACTAACGTACGTATATAGTATGTTATTTGTATTTATCCGCGATATTTTATTATAATATTCTCATCGGTATTTAAAACGTATTCCTATTTTGCAAATTCTCAAAGTTCCATTTTCTCTATAATTTCATTTAGATTTTCCGATTACCTTCGTTTGATTTTAATATTTACAGTTTACAAAGATCACTGTAACACGCAAATCTTGTTATATACACTTTAATTCGTTACGTAATATTTCCGCAATTTTTGTTCGTTATATTAAGCATTGAGATCGCAAAACAGTTTGAATTCGTAGCTATTCAAAGTTATACAAAAAAATAAATAAAACATTTCTTTTCGAAACGAATAGAAATTTGAAATAATTTGAAATTCAGATTAGCAAAACGTAACGTAACGTAATTGGTGAGAACCAACAGTTTGAAAGTTGCGTTAATACTAAATTAAAAAATTGGTTAAACAGAAATTTCGCAGAATTTCATACAAGGTTTGAAACGCGAAACCATTATTATTTGGTTGACCAAGTTCCCATAGCAAGTAGGTCAAATAGAACGCGCGACAATGATCAATTAAATGCACTGTTTATTACGTGCTATATATTTCTTGTACAATTTTTAATTAATAACCGTCTATCTAAAGTATTTAAATTCGTGTGTAATTATACATACAGAATATTTATTCCTTCCTGCTGGTACATAGAAATTTCGTTAATTGGTCTAGTAATTTATTGAATATTAAGGTGGTTTTCGAACGAACTCGTTGAAGACGAAAGCATCCTTTTAAAAGAGATCGATCGATATGTCCCACGAAATTTCTCGTATTCTATTACATAAAAAATTTCCGAAGATGTTTGAATGTTTCAACGTTTGATATAAGCCAACGCCAATGCTCTTAAGAGTTTGCTGGAAGCTTCGGTTTTCGTAAGAAATCGATGATGTGTTCAGGCCACATTGCACTACATAGGAAATAGAAGCACGAATGTTGCCAGAATGACAGGGATCATTTATATTATTATGTGTATATAAGATACATATGTATAGAGTAGAATGTCGATTAACTGGAATATTGATCGTAGAAAAATGCATCACGTATATTAGTGCAATATTGTAACTGTGTTAAACGACACGAATTATCTCTGTTTTTTAAACATTGGATATGACTACTTTTTGTCCATGATCGATCGATTATACGAAAATTCGTTTATCGGGAAGATCTTGTCTTTCTAGCTTAAATTACTGACAGAAAGTATTCTTATCTACGATAAAAGATATTCCGTACAACCTCGTGTCTTCGCTCGGTGCTTATGTCACGCAATTGGCACAGTAAACAAGACTATGAAAACAAACGACATTATCTTATAATTTAATTTTCGCCTTTTATTTTTAACCGTCACGAGTAGAAGATCATTCGCCTCGATGTAACGTACAGTATAATTATCTTGCAAAGTACGTACGGTAGAAGAAATATATTTGTCAGCGCGTATTATAGATTGATTGTATTATTAACAGTGTGTGCATATATAATAAAATATAATTTCACAATAGGGAGGAAGTTTTAAACTCTAGTTTCAATGGAAAAGAACAGCGTGAAAGCTCCGGATCAATTTAAGTAAGTGAAACACGTTTTGAATTAGAATATCAATTAATAATCTATCGTTCTTCCACGAGAAGAAGGCACAGCGTGTCCCCCTTCCTGCTGCAAGCGCTGACTCGCAGGTACTGGTCGAAAACGGTGACGAAGATCGGTGACAGCCAATCAACGGACTGCAGCAAGAGTGGGGATAGAAACTCGCTGTGCCTTCTTCTCGTGGAGGAACGATACGTTACGACGTTCAGGCTAATGATTTGATTTGTATTTAATCAAATTTGAATGCAACTATGGTACATATATCTACGACGAGCGGTATAGATAATCGCAAATCGAAGTTCATTGTAAATTATTTTCATTGTAGACTTTTACCAAAAATTATAAATGGCGGGATCGCAGGTATTATCGGGGTGTCTGTCGTATTCCCACTGGACTTGGTTAAAACACGATTACAGAATCAAGTTGTCGGACCCAATGGCGAACAAATGTACAAATCTATGTGAGTAACTTGTATACGATACGACGAACTACATGCAATATTTTTTTTTCAGATGTCGTTGCAAATTTGAGAAATATAGTGTTGTCTGTTGAGTTGCAGCGATTTCTACCTGTAGAGTTGCAGTAAAATTAGCCCTAAACACGACCAGTTCCCGGAACTGACGACTCGGACTATGCCTCGGCGTTTATCTTCGACGTACGACCGTCGGTGTCAAGTTAATAACGAATCATGGATGCAGAAACGTAAAATTTCTATATTTTCTCCTTCATCCTGATAACGAAAATAATACCGAACGAGAAAATAATTAATTTTAAGTTGAACGAAGCGTATGTAACTGGTCGAAGGGTGAAGGAAGATGTCCGACGATAAAACGTAATCGTGTCTCATTCGTTTTCACTGTTCGATACAGGTTTTGTATATTAAATCTAACTTTTTGTAAATCGAATTCACCTTTCTGCAATTTCGGTTGCAAAACTTTTATTCATTTTTATGATTTATCACTTGCTATTACCGTTCCGCACTTTTTTCTCCTAGGCAAGCGAGTCGATGATATAAGAGTAACCGAATTTTGTTTCCCTACCTCTTTAGTTGCAGGCACTGGGTATCAGAGTTGGACAGTAATTATTTTGTAATTATTTTTGTAATTGATTTAATTTTTCAATATATTACTTAAACTAATGCATTTTTTTTGTTACCAATCCGCTTTTACTACCTTTGCTTTGAGGGTAGATTTCATCTCCTCAACATGGACCACTATGTCAAAAATTCATCGAAATCGGCGATTGATACTTCGGCCATATTAGTTTACAAGAACTAACAGAGTAATATAAACACATTGTATTTTAAGTACCAAGGAAATAATTATTATTTGAGTTGAACTCACACAGGACCGCGAAGTTCGATTACTGATTATTCAGTGATTATAATCATTTATCTACCATTGACTTGGCTACGCGATAATCGTAATCGTTAATCGTTAATCAGTTTACGTTTTGTCCAACACTGTTGAATACCGATTGTACTGCAACTTAACAGACACCACTGTACATTGGATAAGTTCACGATCGTGAAAAATAAACGAGTACAATGCACTTTCAGGCTTGATTGTTTCATGAAAACTCAAAAAGCGGAGGGCTATTTCGGCATGTACAAAGGATCTGCAGTAAATATTCTTCTAATCACTCCAGAGAAAGCAATCAAACTCACTGCCAACGATACTTTCCGACATTATCTATCCACAGGTCCTGGGTATGTTAATTAAATGTTATTTGGCGTTTCTCGTATTTGGTTGTTATTTAGTTTAACGTTGAATGACTTTCAGACAGAAATTGCCAATAGCACGCGAAATGCTTGCCGGTGGTCTAGCGGGAGCATGTCAAATAATCGTCACGACTCCGATGGAGCTGCTGAAAATTCAAATGCAGGATGCTGGACGAGTAGCAGCAGCGGCAAAGAAAGGTGATTAGATTTTGTAAAATTTATAACGTATTTCCCGAAGGGATTTTTAATTGACTTTGAGCAAATATCTTATTGCAGCTGGAAAAACTGTGACAAAGGTGTCAGCCTTGTCTCTGACGAAAGATCTTCTTCGAAAGAGAGGTATCTTCGGACTCTACCAAGGCATGGGTGCAACAGCACTTAGAGACGTCACATTTTCTGTTATATACTTCCCGCTCTTTGCTAGATTGAACGATATTGGACCGAAAAGAGAGGATGGCTCTTGTAAGTCTGTTCACAATGAAAAATACATTTAAAGTTTAACGCGTTTTTTAAAATGTACCTTTGTTGTTACGATCAGCCGTGTTTTGGTGTTCGTTTTTGGCTGGCTGTGCGGCTGGTTCTACGGCTGCGCTGATGGTCAATCCATTCGATGTAATCAAAACTAGACTGCAAGTAATCAAGAAAGCTCCCGACGAACCAACATATAATGGTGTGTTCGACTGTATAAGGTATGTACTAATGTATCAAAAATACATATTTGCTTAGAACCAACCATTGGAGATGTACGGATATCTGACAATTGGATTTGAGTCGGACGGACTCAGCCGGTGATTTACAAGAGGACTTAAGATTTGTAAAAAGAAATTATGTTCTTGCAGTAAAACGTTGAAGAACGAGGGACCGACGGCATTCTTCAAAGGCGGTGCGTGTAGAATGATCGTCATAGCGCCCCTTTTCGGGATCGCACAAACTGTTTACTACCTCGGCGTCGCGGAGAGGCTTTTAGGCCTTAAATGAACATCGCCCATCGCTCTTCTCTGCCGTCTTGAATACTCTGGGATTAAACTGACAATAACTGGCGTATTATAGATGTATTTTCGCTTAGTACGATTCGCTAGTTGTCCAGTAAGTGAATTATTTTTTTCTTCTTTTTTTGTATAATCATAGAACTTTGATTATCGGGCATTAGACAATCTGATTATAGACACAATTTTTTGTGAATTATTATTTTGAATTTTTTTATATAGACACCAATTTTTAAACGTATATTTGCTGAGAATATAAACATTCTTTTCATTTTTTTTTCTTTTTCTTTTCAGCTTCTCAGACTCTGTTGTGCAATAAATGATATAAAATAAGCCTAACGACCATAAAAAAAAAGTCAAAACTTTTGCATGTAGTATGAATTTTATTAAGTAATAATATTTGGTAGTTTTTAAATACTAATACAATTTCAACTGTTTTAAATGAAATTATCCTTTATTTTCTGTAGTTTTATGATTGTTAAATCTGGATAATCAAGGTTCATCTGTTCCATATATGGGGTAAATCAACGCTGATAATAATGACGTTGAATCTGATATAGTATTATAATTAAATGAAGATATAAAACCCATGATTTTCGACCATGTTCGCCTATTTTCGTCATCGAACTAGTATCGTAAGTCGTGGATTTTATTTGTTCCATCGTACTGCCTTTTACATAAATTAGCTTTTCCAGAACCAGTGTTTCCAGTTTATTTGTTTAATTTCTTTTTTTAATACCGATTAAAGTAAAAAGCTTTGTCGACTTAAGGGGCTTAATTTTTTTATAGAGTTAATAAGGTTTTAATTAAGGTCTAAATCAAAATAGTTGTTTATGCGTATTTATTTTAAGCTTGCCTACAAGTAAAGGGAGTAAACCTAATAAATGAAACTATAACCTATTACATATCTAAATATAAATTTTCGTGAAAAAATTGATTAGGAATATCTATAAATAGTTTCGTTTGTATTTTTATTTTTACAAATACCTTTTAACAGTATGTATTATACTAAAAAATATACTTTTGGAAACACTGGTTTAGCATATCGTGATAACAGGAGCTTACATTTTGTAAGATTGTAGTTGTTTTACTGATTCTAGTTGATTTAGTTATCAGGAATTACTATAACGGTAAGAATCAAACGATTCAGAATAACTCTTAATTGACATGATTAATAACAAACGGCAATAAAATACAAACAATCCATTAATTAAAAATTTTTCTATGTTAATTTCAACATATGTTTTATTAACGTAATTAACTATATGATTTATTTTAAAGCGTTGAAAAAGTAAACATTGTTTGTATTTTTGAAAATGATCTGTTTCCAGTATTATTAAATTTATACCGCTGAATTTACCTAAATTTTTAGATATTTTCAAAGAATCCTTTTTAAAGTATTTTGAATTTTTTTTAAAGTATTTATCTAGTCTAAAGATATTAAATTATAGGTAAAAGAATTTTTTAAAAATATCATAACAGTTAAGAGTTAAACTGTTCTTCTTCCTTGTTTCCTTCCTAGAGAATATTGTGGGGAGTTCTAGAAAATTTCCTAAAGTGGAAATTCACTGTCAATTTTAATCTAGGTTCTCCAAAAATTGTAACAGAAATATTAATGTTATTAATGTATATTAATGTTATACAAAAGTAAATCTGCCCAATTAAAATCTCGACTTATTCTTAATAATTATTCCTATGACATCTCGCATCTCTATATAAAAAATTCTTTAACGAAATTTTATTTCGATATTAGCGTCAAAATATTTGTCGAAAGGTGGATTTATTATTATTATCATTTTTTATAATAGATAGTTATTAGAGAGAAAGAGAGTGAAAGAGAATATTTATTCAACAATTATTTCTGCAAAACTGTGTTATATGTTTCTTTTTTTATTAAAATCATATGTACAAAGTCAGTGAAAAAAGTACTGAAAGGATTCAATTTTCTATTGCTTTATTGAACCCTGCTTAAACAAAATTTCCTTTTCAGAATTTCTATTATTTATCGTTTTTAAATTTTATTAAGGCACTCGAATCTCTATACCTTCGAAATGTTCGTCTCGAGTTAATACAATTCATTTCTCCGTTTATCTTTTCCCCCGGCAATAAACTACAAATCTTTGTGCCCGTTAACTGTAATAATCAGAACAATTTTATTAATAAACCGTCGTGGAAAATATTTTCGATCATTTAATATACGGCTATTGTTCTAGAACAAGAAAATCATTCTCACCTCGCGTTATAGTGGTGCACAGGTTTGCGATAAAGTTCGAAGGCACTTCCTCTTTGTTCTCTACTTCCAGCGAGGTCCAGTCCACTCGGTTCTCTGTTGTGCCCTGGACTCGTTGGGAAACTTTGTGCAGAAGCGTTATGACCATTGTTTACAACATATCCATTATGACTTACGTTATTCCTGTTGTGCGAGAGACCGAGGCTCAACTGACTGGCACTATTGCTGTGACTATGTGCCGCTGATATTGGTGGGCTACAATGCGCATGCGTGTGACTCAAACTGTGATTGTGTGCAGGCGTAGAAAGGTGGCTCAAGTTATGATGAGAATTCCCAAGATTCGAATCGTGACGATTTGGAGGTGGAATATTGTAGTAGTACTGGCCACTATTACGCTGTACGTTGTTATTACCTTCTACCTAAAAGAAAATAACACAATTTTTGCTTGAATTTTTCCATTTTTCCATTTAAAATTTAGAATTAGAATAAAAAAGAAACAGAAATCATACTTACATGAGAAGTAGCAATGGAGTAACTCTTTGAATGTTGATGGGTATTGCTTCCATCGTTTCCATTATTTTCTTGTTGCGTCAAATTCGTTTGCGGTGGTCTGTAGTTTTTTGGTTTTGGAGGTGGTATTGGTTTATACGATCCTCCAGGTTTGTTTTGAGGAAGTGTTATCGACTTGTAATCAGTTGTGCGGCTACAATATATAAAGCAAAATATTCTAGCATACAAGGGTACAATAGGATGTTGGACAAATAATATTGGAAAATGCTCAGCTTCTAAAATTTTAGTATACAAAATATGCACAAGCTATATAATAAAATAAAGAAATTGAAGCTAGGAGAACTAATAAAAACCAGTAATTTTGGTTGGTATTACGTAAAAGAAACGAAAAAATAGGATTCTTCGTTAAAATTAATTTTGTAAGAAAATTTACTTTTATTAGTAAATTGCAGTTGATAAATGTGCGCGTCTAACTATGATGCATCGATTGTACATTTTATAATTCTTTTACAAGTGAGATTTTCAAAAATATTATCACGTGCAAAAGCGTACATGCATTTATATATTAGCGCTAGATGAAATAACACAAATTACAACAGAACAGGACTTTTAAACTAATGTATCACGACTAGAAATATAAATTCTACAAGCCCTTCTCAATGGTCGTGGTTTCCGCGCCATCACTCTAAAGAGAAAGAAAAAGATTGACAGAAGAAACGGTTAAACATTTTTAGTAACAATTAAATTGTTTCGTGCTTAGAATTTAAGATTGTCTATATAATTCTGGAAAACATAATGATTAATTATTATTTAAGACATGGAAAGTAGTTTTTTTGTTATGCACACAGATTTTAAACATATTCCACATATCACATTCCAAATGCAACAATGAAAAATAGATGAAACTTTTTCTTTGCTAGTAAAAGAAAATACCTATATTTGGCGTAATCGGTTCGTGTTTGTGGATCGTGACTCGGTATCGGTTGTGCTGTTGATCTGGTAAATCTATATGGATCGTGTGATCGTGTTGGTCCACTGCTGCTTTTTAAGTCATCGGGAACATTAGGGCCCAATCGACCGGTCGACGTACTTAGTCCTGGTCCTCCATAATTAGTATTTCCATTTGTATTATTATAGGAATCGTAAGAGGACATACTGTCGTAGCTCCCCTATGCAAAATAAGATCATAATAATAGACGATTCGTAATCACGAAATCAATTGTTCTATCTAGTTTGAATGCTACAAATAAATATTAAATAATTTTTACCGCTTTTAGTTGAGCTCTTTCAAGGGACGATGTGGCATTGGCTTTATGAGGCGTGGCATTTATATAATTAGCAACATCCAATACTGAATCCGTTTTGTTTAGTAATCGTTCTTGAGCAGATCTTCCGATCGTGTTCCGTTCTGACTGGTTGTTTGGTTTTGCATTACGATCCACTCGCGGCGGTAAATCGGGAGGACTATGATGAGACGATCTCGGCTCGAACGAGCCACCGAGATACTCTGGAGAGCCAGACTGATTACTAACTTGTCCCGACAACGAGAATCCGTACTTTCCATCTCCCATTCCTCCTTGCGATCTCCTTTTTGGTTGCTCGAAGGATTGCTAGAGAAAAAGATACGAATCTTATAGGAAATAGAATTGCAAAAATTTCACATTACATCTAGAAAATTAAGACTCTTTAACTAATTGCGATATAATTATTATGTTTGTGTGACAGTTGTATGTTTACCTGATAAGTGGTCGAATATGGTGGTGGTGCAGCAATGTCGTCTTGCGTTGCGATACTTGGATCGGAGCTACTTTTCAATCTAGACGGTGCACCCAGAGCACCTGGTAAAGCTGGCGCCGGGCTGAGTTCCAAGTCACTCTCCGGGGAGGAGGCATAGGAGAGGCGAGAAGTCATCGGGAATAGGAAGTCATCCGAGAGTGCTTCTTCCGGCTATCATCGCAGGACACAGAGGACAACACATTACAGAGGTTTATGCTCTGTTAATCCCTTTCAAACCTTTCTTCTTTTCATTCGTTAACATATATTTCCAGAATCCAGTAATGCACAGTTAACCATCATAAGACGTGGGACTCGACAGTGAAAATTAAGACATGCAAAGTAGCATATTTCTATGTAGAACTGTATTCGAATGTTGGTTGACAAAGAAAGAGTTATAACAGGAGGAAACGAGATAGATATAATTCTTCAAAGTTACAACTTATATTTGGAACATTCTTTTATGAAACAAATAATTTGCAAAAAAAATTGATTCCCTTTCCTTTTTGACTGGGTCCAGTTTTGTTGAGTTCAGGATGCTAAATGGTAGGAATTTGTGGAGATGAATCCATGAAGTGGAAAGTTGATTGTGCATTACTGTATTCTTATATCATCCAATTACTTTCTGATTTGGAATAGCGAAATGTTTTACAATTACTCGGCACTGGCGACTTCACATGTAAAAATCAGAACAAAACATACCATCAAACATTCTGTTAGTCTTGCAAGAAGATGCAGGATGAATGATAAAATAAATTCCTAGAAAATTAATTCAATTAGATGATTTTATTGATTATACGTGTATTATCTATTACGATGATTTAGTCACCTAAATATCGTCGCTTTTTAATGTTACCTAAATACTCCACTTTTTTACATGTTTTTGATTCTGTAATAAGTTCTTATTCAAATAATTTTATACTTTCGTAAACGACTATGAGATGAAACATTGTTAAAAATGTGTTAATCATGTTTCTTCATGAGATTATGAATTAGATTTGTTTTATCCTCGTGATTCTCCCATTTAGCGTGTTCCTAATAATACGACTTGATATTCACTTTGAAATAATCTTATTCAAAAATATAAAGTAATAAATTTTCTTCGAGAAATTTGTAGAATATTTATAATACGTTACGTGTATTGTGCAATAATTTTTTAACTTATGATTTGATACAATAAAGCTGTGAAATGTGGTCATGCAAATTGAATTTAGTGTAAAACACAAGGTGTCTCGAAAATCTTAGTAGATAATAATTCGTAATTTTAATATAGATGAATTAAATTTCTAAATATTTATAAATTTACCAATAGTTAATGATAAGTGAACTCTATAATATTTGGACCATTAAAGTATGTTTAAAATCTTTGGTCTTTTTAAAATGGCGTGAAGATTTATTTAAATTACTATCCGGTTACGAAAGAGTTGATGATCAAGACACCTGATTAGGGAAAAGTAGGGTTCAAATATAGCCGAAAAATTGCTCACGGACAACGTCAGAAGTTAGAGACGGATAAGAAGGTAAAGAAAATAATTTGTCCGTGTGATAAGTGTTATTTTCGTTCACATCATGAAATGCAGTTTCCTTTGAAATCGGAGGTACGGGAGGTGGAGGTAAATCACGAGGGTCATCGGACGAATGACATAGCTCCCACGTCATTTGTCGACCATATGACGGCTATAATAAATTATTACAAAATAATTTCACTTTTATCTCTAAAGAACTTTTATTCTGAATAACTGTTACAAAATACCTAAATTCCGGACTATACCAGCTCTCAGATAAGTTCTGTAACCGTTATTTTTTTTTAGATTCTATGCAGAGATTAATTAATAAATATTTGCTATTCTCACGGGTCAGATTAGATGATTATTTTTTCAAGTAATAGATATGAAACACCGACAGTCAAATTATTCAATAATATACCTATATTTATTGATCTACGACGTAATGTAATTTTAAGAGATCCAGTGATTAAAGACGTTAAGAAGTACAGTTTGAAACAATTATTTTCGGTACCTTTTCAAGCCCTGTTTTCCGAGTTTTTCAACTGAGGTTTTGAACTCCAATGATTTGCAAAAAAAGTTAACTCGGAGTGCAAAGCCTCTATCCATTGTATGTGGAAACTATTTTCAAAGTGATTTAAATATATTACCTTGGTTTGGCTCATCCACAGTAATCCCTGTTGCTGTCGATCGATCAGTTCTCTTAATTTTCGGTACCAGGCTTCCGGTGTCGTCAACGTAATCACCGCGCTAAAAATATGGCCCCAAATTTTATCTAGTTTCTGACACTGTTCCAAAAGTTTTTTACTGCTCTTATGCGCCGATCTGAAACAAGAACAACATTCTTCATAGACGGAACCTTACAATAAATGAAAATTTCTTCCATAAAAACGTACTTGGGAATTCCAGCTCGCATTTCCTTGATAATTTGCTTCGTTTCGGCTTTCAGAAAAATAACTATAGGGTAAAACTGGGCATAGTTCAATCGGTCTACAGCGTTTGGAGTGATATCCAGTAATGCGTGCTTTCCCCGATCCATTACTTCTCTAATGGCACTCAGTCGGATAATACCTGACGATTTTGTATTCTTTCCAACGCTATCGTCTAGTTGGTTTTCCATTTCTGTAAAGAAATTAAGTTTCTTTAGAGCGTTTCAAATTAACACAAATATAAATTGAAACTTTCCACTTACGCGGAGATGTGAACTTATCGGGGAAATCCTTTAAAAGCTTCTCCCTGGCTAGGTCCGCAACTGGTCCAAAAAGTACAACTGGTCTAACGAAACCTGGATGCCTTAAAATAACTCTTTCGTAAGCAGGAAATTTGCTAACACTATCAGAAAATACTACGTCGTCCCAGTGATCCTAAAAACGCATAAATAACGCGTTAATTAAATTTACTTCCGTTATTAAATACAATAAACTTACTCTTCCAAGAGATTTCGAACGTCTATGGCTGCTTCTTCTTCTCCTAAAAAAGCTACCTCTGCTTTCATTAGCACTCTGTTCCTTCTTCGTCGCGTTGAATTGAGCAGTAGCTAGTTCCTCGGCTCGAGCTTTATTCGGAATAATTCCCTTCTGTACTTCTTGATTGTTCCTACCAATACGGAAAACTTGCCAAGAACCAACAACACCATTGTGTAGTGTGTCCACCACGTGAAATACGTCCCCGCTACGGAAGCTCATTTCACTCTTTTGTGGTTGTTCGTAGTGGAAGTGAGTCCTGTAACGTTTCAACAAAGTTTCTCGTTGTTAAACGTTTGCTAATTCGATCCACATTTATCGTATAAAATCATGAATTAATACATACTTTATGTGAAAAGAATCACCCTTTCCGGAAGCTACCACTTGGTCGTATTCTTGACGACGATGTTGAACAATCAAATCGATCTGTTCTTGTAAACTAAGCAAGAAGAGAACGGCTTCTTCTCTTGTTACTCCCTTCATATCCATATCATTTATCTGAATTGTAACATTGCAATAATACAAACGGTTAGACAACTTTACAGAGTATTGTTTTTAAAATAATTTTTTTCTTATTTTAAGGAAAACTCAAGATACTGGATTGTACCTTGAGTATTTTATCTCCAGGTTGCAAGCCCTGAAGAGATGCTGGACTCCCTGCTTGAACAGCAGTTACAAACACACCAGTTTCGTTTCCACCGCTTAAGCGAACACCTACTGACCCCTCTTTTTGGAAAGTTATAAATCGAGGATCTGGCCTGGAGAAATAAGTTAATAAATGTTACAAAATATTCGTTTTCTTCTGTAAAAGTTATTAATATTCGAACGAAAAAATATCACTTACATTGGAAGTTTATTCCGAGATAAATCCTCGTCATACAGTTGCCTTCTTGTGCTATAATAATCTGAAAAGAACGATATTAACGGGGATTTAATAATATCAATTTTAATTTACATTAGGTTACATTAATTTTGTAAATAAATATACACTCTAAAATGATATACCTTCTGGTCTAGGAGGCGGTGGCCTGGGAGGATCAACCGTAGGCGTTGCAGGGAGATCCAACTGACTAAGAGAAACGTCCATCAAAGGACCTCTAGTACGGCCTCTGGGAACAAGATTACTTTTGTCCTCTATCGGCTGTCTCGTCGGAGGTGGAACGTACAAGTTCTGGCTACTGTAACTCGTTGTTCCGGAGAGGTACTCCCCAGTTTCGCTCTTCACTTGCTGTTGAACGTGGCAACACGAATTGTCTCGAGTCACCACGATAGACAATCTATCCTTGCATTGGTCCATCAATTTCTTGGCTTCCTTTAGACTCATATTGTCCGTAGCCACGCTGCCAATTCGTGTTAAAACATCCCCTGGTTTCACGCCCGTGTTCTCACGAGTTACTTCTTTCACGTAGAGGCGGAAACCGAGGACAATTCCGAAATCTAAAGGAAAACAAATTAAAAAGAAGTTTTTGTTCTAAATATTGCCGGTGGTTATACACTCTGCTTACCATCTTTTTTATTGTTTCTCGTGAGAGTGAGTCGATGGCTCTGGAAAGTAGGGTTTCCTAGAATACCGGATGAATTTGACGCGGCTCTGCGTTTGACAACCAACAGAACCGTTGATCCAGAGTCTCTGAGGACGCGAATTGCAGCCCCATAATCGGCACCCTCTAACGATATTCCATTCGCTGATATTATCCGATCGTTCACTCTGATTAACAGACAGGATCGGTTCAATACTATTTCATCTTTCCATCAATTCAGAAGTATCTTTTTTATGAAACACCCTGTACGTTGTCTTACTGTAATTTTCCTTCGGCAGGTCCAGCCTTCAAGACATCGGAAATGGCAATAGCGGGATCACCGTTCGTGAAATGGGGATTATCTCTGCCACCGGAAACAGCGATCCCGAATCCGTAACCGGGAACCCTGGTAACCGTGACATGATGGACCTCCCATCCCCTGTCTCCGTTCTGAAAAATAATTGAAACAGATGAGAAATTTGTTTCGATAACAGTAGATCAACGGATTACACTGGTCATCTTTCTATTTACTTTTATGTGTATCAAGGTAGGAAATAATTCATTTATTTAATTTAAATACAGTTTATTCAATTCAAATAGCAGGAAATTGATTATTTGGATGAAAGATACACGTGTATTTACCGTTGACCAGTGTTATTATTGAACAGCGAATGGAACATCCATCTTTTATTTCGATCGTCACGCGGCGACGAATTGTATACTTACTTGTACGTTCCAGATACAAACCTACGAAATGTCTTATTTTTCTATTAAAGTCGCGAGGAATCTAGTTCTCGGCGAACTGATGGAAGGAATTCGAGGAAACAAACGGAACAAGTACCTAATTGGATGAAAATTCTAGGGATTCTCGTTAAGCGGATTCTTCTTCTGCTTAACGAATACTTCACTCGAACCCCATCCAGGATTATATTTTAGTTTATAATTCACGTAAGTTTGTCTGAATCAGGGCAATTGCAATCACAACAATGACCACAGCCACGGTAAAAACGAAGGTGGGAGAGATTTCAGATAATATTAGAAACAAAAAAATAAATACCGATGTAACTTGAATTCTTTTATTCGGTTTTACGTTAAAATTTATTTTCTGTATTTGCAAAAGACCAATAGCGTTACATTCAGTTTAGGATTTCGTTTGTTTACGCAAAATTTGTTAGTTCGCACCTGTGCATCGGTTCCACCGGAAGTGTTGTGAAGATTACTGCTGTGTGTCGTTGAAGATGAATTCGGTGGATTTCCCGAATTTCCGACACCCACATTGTTGTCGTTTCTATCCATTCTCGCGTGTTGGAAAACCTCGTCTTGAAAATTCGACGTTTTCCCCCTTTCAACGTGTTTGCAGCGACATTTTTGTTATTTCCACGCCTTTTCCTCTTGTTTCATTAAGACGAACGTTGTTAATATTGCAAAATTTCCAAGAATTTTCTTTCATTTAATTTGCGTTATTCAGTATTTAATATTGCACGCGTACGAAAATCAGAATCGTTTAAAAATTTTCCAAAATCGTTCTCTCGATGATCTTCTTGTTCAAAACATTCTTTTTTGAAATTCTCCTTTTTCAGTCCAATAATTTTTTTAAACTTACGGATACTCTTCACGTGTCTGATACTTTTCTTCTTTTTCCTTTCTTAGAAAAAATTCTTTTCTGTAAAATCTCCATGAGTTGTCCCGCAATAGAAATTCTCATCTTCTTTCTTCAACATTTTCTCGTCGAATGAATTCTATTTTATTTCGATACCTTCCTTAAAATTGTTTTGGAACTTTTCCTGCTTAAATACGCTGTTACGTCTACTTTTAACTGATCATTTTGAAAATATTTTACAGTGTATACAATTGATGTATTACTATGGCTGCTAGAAAAACGAAACGGATGAACGTTGGCAGTGTTTTCCGGCGCATAGGCGTCGCAAACAACGACGTAGGAGCGATCAAACCCACGTGCATTCCGGACGCATCCAACGTTTTTTTCTTTCTCTCTCTCTTTCTTTTATTCTGTTATACTTCTATCCACGCGCCGTTCCGGGATAATCTATTCTGTAAAATTGCATGACCTCGTTTTCCAATGAGAGAGTTTTCCCAATCGCGTTGCAATTTAACGCGATGCGCGCAACACCGTGGAGAATTCAAAGCAACGCACAGTTATGGAATTCCATTTTCCTTTCGAGTGATCAGACCTTCACTTTCCTCGTCGTTCTAATTCCATGTTTTACGCTCGGCGTTTTTCTATGTTGATCTTGAATATTTCGTTCGATCGCGATCGATACTAATTTCAGTCTCTTTCTCTCATTCGCCTTTTACACGCCGCGAAAGTTCTTTTCTATTCTTAACGATCGTTTCTGTACGTTCGAAATGTTCTATTTAATTCCGCCGCGTAACAGTTTTCCATTCTTATTACGTATTATTAATTTTCGTTAAAAAAAAAAAATTGCACAATCGTTGAGCAAGGATTTTACGTAACTTTACAATAAACGGCCTGTTAATTTCTCGTTATTTGCATGTTACAATCGTATGAACTTATACTTGCGTCCTTTTATAATTTTTCAAGCTTCAATGTTGTTTAAAGAAGCTATTGCGTTTACCTAGCTTGTTCACGCGTTTGTTGAGCAGTGTTTTACCAGTAGTCATTCTCTCCTAGCATATAATGCTGTAAATTTACAAAATCATGCGTCAAGGGACCACGTATGTTATCGAACATTCATTTTTTTTTACATAGATATAACAATTAAAAAGAATTTCGATTTGAACCAGTAATTATTTTTCGCGTTTTATATCCATAGAATGTAAACAGAAATCTTTCGTTCAACGTTCGAATGTTTGAATAATACAAACAGTATAAAAAATTGTTTCGTTGAAGGTTCTAATTTTCTTTCAAGGCTCGCCACTTGTTGCACAGAAATGCACGGGGTTCTATTCTATCGCTCGAACATCCATTTTCCAAACTCGATCTGGATCTACAAGGACAAGTTCGAGCCACTATAAACACATTGTATACTTGGCAAGTGGAGAGAAACTTCGGGTGAAAAGTAATCTCGCTCCGCTCGAAAAATCATTACCACGTTGTCAGCGGGGAACAAATTCCAATGGTCCGAGTCACCCTCGGCCAATGCAAAGAACAACTGTGAGAAAATGCTTTCAGAAGCCAAAGAAGCACCGTAACTTCCGCATCGTCCAACGAAAAGCATGAAGTTATTCCTTCAACGATAACAAATAATTTCAAATATTCAAAGATTTATTTACCAGAAGCTTCTTCGTATATGAAAATCGAATATTCTCGGTTTCAGGATACTGTGAAAATAATTACTGTTCAAGGTTCGTTAATATGGATTTAATGGAATACAAAGAAACAGAAAAAAACGAACTGTACCAAGGAAAGTCAAACTTCACAGTTCGTTTCCTCGTCTCGAACGCGATAAACTTTATGACGAAACGATTCGTACAAACGGGAAACATTTACATGTGTCCGTGCAAAGAAAAGCCATCGAACTCTTGCATCCTTGCATCGGATCGTGAAAGAAAGGAAGCACGAAAAATCATTTATCGAACGAAGGGAAGAGACTGAGGCGTGGAACGTCGTGAAATTAAAATAGAAAACGTCTCACGTGATCGTGAATAGGAGAGCAAATAAATCCTACAGCGTTTGGAATAGAAAATCCACGGTCCACGGTATCGAAATTCCAAACGGCACGGGCGACGACGTTTTAACACCATCCACGAACTTTTGAGATCCACGATGAGAAACTTTGGCACTGTACGCTCGGTCACTTCGTCCACGATCCACGCACTTCAAACCGAGACGAAACGCACGACAAAAATTGATAAAAGTGCAAGGTTACACGCGTCGGAAAGTCGAGAAATTCTCTTTCCCCGAAGATCGGCGCATAGCTCCAAGCGTGGCTTGGCCGCGGCAGGCAGCAGGTCGACGCAAATCGGATGAGAAACGGGCTTGGTGGCTGCGGGGAAGAGTACAGAGGCTTGTTCGAGTGAACGTGTCGCGAGGAGTGGGAAATGGTGGGGACTGTGGACCTGCGCAAGGGGACCTGGGGGGAGTGGTAGGGGACCGTCCAGCATGCGCGTGCTTGCGCACCGGTTTTCGGCTTCGCTAGTGATGGGCCCGATCTCGAGCCGCGAAGTAGGGATTCGTAACGCAATAGAATCACGTTGGTATTTTTCGTTACCTTAAAACTATTATTTATTATTTGCCTGTACCTTTTGTAACACTTATGCGTCATGATTTAAACACGATCGAAACATTTGTGTGTTTCTTACACTCGCAGGCAGCCTGCGAAGGAAAAAGAAACCTCCACGCCACGTGCAGTCTTCTGCACGCTAGAGTAGAATAATAAACTTTGCGATAAAGCGTCGGAATATAAACAAACGAAAATCTATATTCTAGTTTTAGATATCCCCCTTATAACACGGGCTCGCTTTGATATGATTTGAAAATTGGGAAAATCTAATACTCTGATAATTAAATTTTAGTTTATATGATTATTCGAAGAAAGGTATTCTTAATTTTATTCCGTGGTTGCACTTGTTCCGAATTTCTTGAAATGTATGCCGTGTGCTACCTGCGAATCTATGAGAAAATTAGAATAAAGGACACAAAAGACTGGTACCTGAGCTACGCCGACACATTCCAGCTGCTCGAGAGGTGTGTCATATTCTAGTCAAAGTGGCGCTTTTCTTTGTGTGCGTCTTCAGCGATGGCTTTGAGTCACGAATTTACTTACAATAGCATTTTCGCCGTAAAAGTCTCGATAAATTCGAAAATTCATTTTTAATAATACTTATCGATCGCAAATAATATCATACCGAACAAAATATTATTAACACCGTGTACGTATCTCGTCATGATTTTAGAAATCCATCGTCCCTTTGTTCCTCGTTAGAAATAGTTTGGTATTTCAGATTTACATACTAGTTTTCTTAGTTTGTTCTTTTAATGTTACTCATTTATCTTCGTTTCCTTTCCAAATGAGTTGCTTACCCTATGCTTCCGTTTATGTCTCCTGGATTGGCTCCCACCCAAAAGAAAGTTGTCGCGCGGTGCGTGGCTCCTCTTTCTCAGTAAATCTTTCTTCGAGCCGCGTTCCTTTCTTTTTCTTTTCCCGTTGTGGAAGAATTTTCCGAATATTTTCATGGTCCTGATCCAATCTCTTTATCAACGAATCGATATAGAAAAGCCTGTAGATCAGACGTAGGTAGAATTTTAATCAACAATGAGCTAGTTTCATCGGTTAACTAAATAAATAACAAAATATTACCAATTACAAAAACTTTTGGTAACTATTCACAATGGCGTCGATCTCGATGATTTTACGCGTATTAGAGTAATTGTTCACCGAGTATAGTTGCAATTTTTAAAAGACAAAAGCTATACTTACGAGATCTCAATCACAGGTGTACCGTTGTGCAAAAGGTTTCTAAATTCACTCAAATTTTTTTGTATTCAAAGATTCACATCGAAACACACCGTATCGCGATTATATTTAATGATAAAAATCACTTACTGAGTCGTGTTTGAACCATTTACCGGGGTGGAAGCGTAAGCTCGAAACACTTTGAACGTCGATCCACGATGGGATAGCACAAAGTGAACAGAAGAACCATTCGAAATGTGGGCGGCTTCGCAGCGTTACTTATCACGGCGGGTGTTACTGATACGGGATGAGCCGATGAAATATCTACGTAATTCTTTGTCAACTCCGGAAGAAAGATCGATCTATCGACCCAACGAAGCCCCAGAATCACGACCTGGCTTCGTAATTCATTGTATTTCGACGCATTTCCCTTCGCTTCCGTCTCTATTTTGAATGAGCAACGTGCAATCGGTATTGGAAGAACAGTCATAAGCATTAGAATTTACATTTGTACAAAACGAGACATTTATTACAGATAAAACATTTTTGTCTTTATTTCCTGGGTCCGATTAAAATATATAATCAATTTCCAAATCATGTCTTATAACATAAAATGCTTAATAAATTGAAATTGATTAGATACCTAGAATAAATTTGCAATGTTTTTAATTGTCCTACACATATTCAAAGTAGAATAAAATAGTAAAAAAATCTAATACATCAACTTTCAAGGGTGTCATTGCAAAAGGGATATTTTAATCTTTAAATGGTAGATTTAGTTGCGTCAAAAATATTTTTAAACTTTTTGGCGGATGTTTGAGTTTTAATATATTTACGGTGATCTATAAGTGTTAAATTTGATAACTAAGAATTTTGAAAATGGAAATATGAAAATCGTCACACGTTAGGCACTCAAAATTTATTAAACAACAAAATTATCGCTATTCAATAATATAAATTCTAAGAATACCTTTAACGAATATGCAAAATACAATAATACCATGAAAAGAAATTCATTTGAAATCTGAGGTACGCTATTGGACGATGGACGTTCTGTTCCCATCATCGAAGCTAAAATATCGTAAACATTTGAGCTGGAAATCGAAATATTAGGAAACCAACGAGAACTAACGGAGAAATAAATATATTCTTTCCAATTTCATTTGTGTAGTCTTAGGAGCCATTCCTTGTTACATGTGTATTATTTTATTTTAACATTCGGTCGAACGTTAAAAATGTAAGTGTTGGAATACTTTCGTGTACGAGTGTAAATATTTCGTGAGAATTGCATTTGCAATTCTAGGTGTGTTAGAATTTCGGGAAACTTAATGTCATTAGAAACTCTGATAAAGATTTCTCGTTGATTTTCGTAACGTTCGTTTAGCGACGATTAAATTATAGAAATGAAACACTAAAATTAAAACGATATTTACGCTTCGTTCATGGAATACTTCTAGGCGAAACGCAGTTTTAAGTGATTCACGTACGCGTAAACGTTAACCGCGCTCAGGCTTAATGAATCGAAGCTGTTGATTTTGGTTGTCGTTCGATCGTTCGACTCACATAAAAATAATTACTTGCTTGTATTTTGTCTATAGTTAATTACATGATTATACTTCTTTCTAAACACTCAGATCTTTACTGCTTCGAATGCAAATACAACTACATTTACGTACGAGGTGTCTCAAGAGATCGGATGACAATAGATCAAACATTTCATAGAGTTTGCTACAGGGCTAAATTTTATTTCCTCAAATTGCTATTATTCTAAGTACGAAAGAACTGAGACCGAAGTGTCGATACTTTCATGATCCTCCAAATCAAGCCGTAGAATCTGCGAACGCTTATGTCTATATGTAAAAAACGATATATTATACTATGTAAAGTTAACGCAAAATAATCGTCATTAGTCCATTGGTAATTAATCATAAGAAATAAATTATAAACTTATTTACAGTAATGGAATAGAACGACTTGCCGCTAATTACGCTTTCACGCGGGCGAAGTGATATTTGTTTCAATGAGACACCTAGTATAATCACAATGATACAACAACTATATAATTATCATTAGTTTTTAGTAAATACTCCCTTTCTTCTCAGTGAGAACGGCGTTCGCGTCGCTTGAAGTAGTAAATAGTCGTTATTACAAAAACTGAAGTTCAGGTGAAAGTTAAACACCGTGAAGATTTGCATTTTTATTGGCCCGAGGAGATTTTCCATTTTCGGAAAAAAGTTGTCCACAACAGTGACGACACTCGCTACTTTGTTTCAATATAAACGTTATCGTGATAATTGAAACGAAATAAAAAGTTAAAATCGAATCGAATAATATAAATTTCTGTTACTTTTTCTTCGTTAAGCAAATTACTTTTTTGTTTTAGGTTTTTAATACGTTGTTGCAGTGCTGTCACTATAATAGACGTGGAAACTGTGGCATCGTCAATTCGAGTTATTAAAAAGAACGCAATATCGACAGCGTTCCGAAAGAAGTAATAGTACAGCTTATCGTAAAAACAGATATTTATTGGTTATTCTTGATACGAGCCATACGAGTCGCTATTTAAATTTGCCACTGGAACAAGGTAGTATGATCAATTTTAGAAAAAGAATAGCCATACAATTAGTTGTCAGATTTCTAGCAATTTTTTCAACAAACGGGAAATTTAAAGATGATTCGTCGTCGTTCGTTATTACACCAATTAATTGTAATTAGTATGGAATCGGTATTTGTTAACCGCTGCTAACAGAATTGTTTTTAGATAATTAAATAGTACTTCGATTTTACACTGACGTGATACAGGGTTGTCAATATTAAAACAAAAGATTTCTGTTCGCAATGTCTGTTCGTCGATCCGAACGTTTTATTCTTTTTAGAAACGCAGCATTATTTAATGTTACAACTGAATTAAGAAACTGGAACAGGAATGTTTCATGATTTCTTCGTCTAAGCGATCAATTCTAATCCCTGTTATAATTCTATGAAAATGAAAGTTAATTAAAATATTGGCTCTAGTTTCTCTAAAATGCAAACTAAAAGTGAACATTTTTAAATCCTACAAAAGGATCATTTTTGACGACTTTTACATTCTATATATCCGACCTAGAATTTTAGCAGATTGCTACTAAAAATTAAACGTAAACGACATTAAGCGTTATTTTCAGTAAATTTATGATTTTATTGATCGAAACATTGTTCTCCCAATTTCTCAATCGTGTCCACTGTACATACTACATACAGTTGAATAATCGTATTTCGCAGCGTTTCGAATCAATAGTACCAACATCAACGAAACTTAACGGAACAACTCCAATTTTTATTTCTTTTAAATTACTTAAATCATCGGAAATTAATTGTTACATCGGCCAAAATACACAAAGCGTCGCACAGTATTTTAAGACGCATATCTGCCCCTCGAAAAAAGTTATAATTTTGATCACGTTGCAAAATAAAAATATACAAGTGGAACAAACAACAAATGAATTTCCAATGGAATCCTAATTCCTGGATAGATCCTGCGATTGTAATGTTACGGTCATATTCGCGATTCTCTATGAACACGTTATAACACGGTAAAATATATGTGCATGTAACTACTTAAGAATTATTACAGAGCCACTATCCTTTATCCGTTTACATTACATATATGTGTATATGTAGTATGTATTCATATATACGTGTACATATACACAGTGTTTTGAAAATGGCAATACAAACGAGATACATCAGAGACGATTTCTCGCTAGATCGAAAGAAGAAAACATAAAAGGGTAAAACTTGTCTTTAATCCCTCGCCGTGCAACAAAATCAGGGAAATTTTATTCACGAATAACGAGTACAAATTTTGCATTTATTCGTGAACTAACTTTCACTTACGTTTCATTCCTAAATTCATTTATAAATTAGAAATATTTAAATTAACATTCGGATGAGCAAAGCCGTGGGCAAAGGCTGGCTTACGAATGAATCTAACACTTTTATTCGTTATTCGTGAATAAAATTTGCCCAACTCTATCGCACAGTGACGAATTTGACTTATTAATTCTTTAAGAAGTTTTTAAGACTTTAAGAAATCGTTTTTTCCAATAACAATTAGAACGTTATTTCGGTTCTTTATATCTGTTTCAGTAAGAACCGATGCATAACAATTTGAAACAGTTATTTTCAGAACCATGGAATAGTAAATTTTTTCTTTGAACGTAGCTTATTCGAAAAAAAAATTTGGGACTTGGAAAAACAAATTACTCCTCTACGTTTCCTTGTTTTTTAGCTACGGAGAATCCTTACATTTCTCGCTTGTACTGCTCTATTTTCGGCACACCTTATATATTATGTTAATATATATGCATTTATATTTATATTTATATATACAGGGAATCTCATTTATTACGAGCATCTCAAATATCTTCACTGCTATTGAAAATATAATAAAAAAAAATGATCGAGAGAAAATTACACGGTTCGAGAGTACAAACGACCAGTATTAAATCGTTTTTCAATTCTTGGCTAAAGTTAGTCGAGCACCTCTAACTAATATACCCTTTTTTGGTAAAAAAAAAAAGTGGTCCATATTTCCACTCTCTCTCTTATTTAAGAGCTTAAGATTTAAGCATTCTGTGAGATCATTATAGAGATTCTGTGAAAGATTATTAATAAGTATAATTATTATGAAAAATACACGGTTAAAAAATAAAATGTAGACGGTAATATTTGTGTATTGCGAAGCTGGAAGAAATGCGATTTTAAAAAATATATATTCGCCGAGGAATTAACAGTTTCGTGCTACGTTTCAGCGGATTGTAAACTTATTTTACGAAATGGGCAGTATTCGTATACGATTAAAAAGAATATCATCGTCACTGACGAAGCACATAGCAGCCATAATCGTTCCATTACAGCAACAATTATCGATGTAGTATATTCTTCGATCATTGGATCGAGCGCAGACTCGTTCGTCTGATTTACGATTTACGTTTTGCGAAGACCATCAAGAAATAATATTCGATCGTTCACTTATCGTGTGGAAAAGTGTATTGTTAAGGGTAGTCGTCACACCGTGTCACCCTCGATAAATACGATAAAAAGATAAGTTTTCCCATTATCGTCGGATTTGATCTCTCAAATAGTGCGACTTTCTTTCAGTGACTTTTTCATATCTGCAATAGCAACAAGCTGTATGCAAGATGCTCGTGACAAACGGGACACCTTGTACATATAATTTTCTGGATGGTGAGTATCCATCTTTCTCTCTCGCGTTTTTTCCATTTCTCGTCATCTCGATCTCGAATGTGTACCCAAGGGCAGTAACTCAATTTTTTTTGTTCTTTTATTCTTTCTTCGTTTTCGCTTACGCCAATGATTTCAGGTGTAAGACTTATTAAGTGGTCAACAATAAGAAGCACAGTTTTAACAAGTAACGTTTGTTGTCTTTCGTACATATACCCAAACATTCATTATACTCTTTCATACGCATACATACGCATACACTCGCTCTCGCATTCGCTCTTTCTCTCCTTTTTCACTCCTACTAGCCCTGCTTCCTCTATCTCCTCCCTCGCCCGTCTCCTTTGCCCATTTCCGTTTCCCTTTCATTCACTATAGTTGTCTTACTATGAAAACTTACTCTATCGACATTGCTCAATGACCTATCGAATGATCGTAGAGTATCACGCGGAGCCTCTGTCTTCTTTTTTCTATTGTTTCTTGCGTTGTGTCTGAAACAGGGAATTACATTTGCTACGAAAATCACAAAAACCGTAACAAAGAAATAAATGGACGAAATTAAAATTACAAGCATTTATTAATTGTTTTTTTCGTGGTAAGCAAGACCAAACTTGCAATTTTCAGATATAGCAACACAAAGATTGTCAGATTCGTACAAATTGAAACCGTTAAACCCGCAGTGACGTTGTTAAATTTAATGTCGTTTCTCAAATTAATTGTAATGTTTGTTTATTTTACCGATAGTGTTAGATTATGTCTGAAGGGGTTAGTAAGCCGGAGCTTGGAAATCAGGCATCCGTTGCTGTTGCTGCTGTTGCTGCTGCTGCTGCTGCTGTTGGCCAAAAGGTGGATCTTGGTAGCCGGTATCATTCGCGTCGGGGTAGCTTGTATATCCTGTTCCACCGACAGGATCTGCCTCATAGCTGGGCGCGAAAGCGGCGTCGGTTCCTTGTTTGAATCTTTGGAAGGCGAACCAAGCACAGGCGGCCTAGCAAACGTATAAAAAAGAGAAGATTTAAAGTATGTATTTGAAACAAAATTAATACACCCGTAAAAATACTTTGCTTTTTATAAAAATAACGTGAAATATTGTTTGTTCCGTTATATTTTTATTGAGAAGAGATTTATAATTTAGTGCTCATGTACCCAGGTAAAAATGGAGAAGAAGGAAAAGGCGATAGCGCTTTGAGCATTGTTCACTCCATAGTGATTAGGCGGTGTGTTTGAATTGTTCCAAGCGTTGGTTAAGTAACAGAATCCGACGAAGTAAAGGAATGCCCAGAAACCTGAAAATCTAAACACCAGAACAGAACATTTTTAATTGCGTTATGAGGAAACGAAATCATTCGTCTTTGACTGTACAAGGGACGAGTTATTCTCGCTAAAATAGTAACAATACCCCAAGTCAAAAAGGACGAAGTGCTTCCTGGTCTTAACAGAGGACATCTGCTCAAAGAGGTATTCCCCGACGAGAAACCCAATGCTGGCAAGGAAGGCAAGTACTCCAATTCCTATTCCATAATTACAGGCGTTGTGGTCTTCGTTGTAGATGCATACCTCTTTTCCGTCTTTACTATGGTACCCCTTGTTGCTTATACATCCAAACACAATTATTGCAAAGAGCTGAAAAATCAGACGGTAATTCTGTGTGTGATTTCAAAATACTCTACAGCTTGTTTTTACAAAACAATTGTAGTCTCTTTTAAGCGTGACACAACATGAAATTCGTTGAACACTGTCGTTTTGTTTATAGTATTCGACGCAAAAAGAGATAAAAATGTTCAAAGAAAAACATTGGTATCGTGTTGAAAGTAAATACTGCAAAGTCGTCGAATTCGTCGTGAAATGCGTAAAAGTGAAAAAAATAAAATTGTAAATGCGATAAATACGCAAGTACGTTGTGTAAAATTAATTGATTCGATGCAACGAAGGTGTGCTGTGGTTATTGAAAATAAGTTACTCCAGAAAATATGAACTTTTTCAGACAGTTTTGTTACTCGTGTATCATATTTGATATTTCTGTATTCAAATGCGGCTTTAAAACGATTCTCCTTGAAATATTTACCTTCTCCACGATTCTCTTTGTACGAAGACAAACTTAATTCCGACTTGATATAGAATTAGCCGAAGATCACAGTTCAAAGAAGTAAGAAAGACATTGAAAGTAAAGAGGAAATTCAATTACAAAATAGAATACCTAAATTAAAGGTAATTTATTTATTTGTTTACATTATTTGGATAATAAAAATGTTACTTATAGACTAAATCAGACGCTGTTGTTAACATAAAAAGAAAAGAAAACGTCTTAAATTATAAATAAATAATAATAATAATATATATCGAACATTGTTAAAAATTATTAAATTATTATTAAAGGTTTAATTAAATTCAACAAAGATGACGTCATAAGTAATTATAACTAATAAAAAGAGGATGTTCGTCGCTAAATACTTTTGGACAAAAATAAAAATTGTAAATTTTACCAATTTTTATTAGAAACCGTATTCGATTTTCGTGGAATTTCGGGCTTTTAAAATAAAATCAATACTCTCGGGTACTCTGTAATTTGGTACTTGTTAATTCTAAATCTAAATCGTCGAAAAGCGCGTAGGAATTTTTGATATTCCTAGTACTCGAGAATGTTTAATATGTGAATTCTTTTAAGTATACCAGAACACTAATATCTCCATGATCATCGTGAATTCGACTATAATCAAAATTTTCGGAACTTCCGTGACTTCGTAATGTTTCAGAGCTGGATACTTTCCGATATATTAAAACAATAAAATTACACAAAACTCTTGCTTAGAGAGCGTATAGGTTTCCTCCTATCGTCGAAGGGTTTAAAAAATTTAGACTCGATTAAAGTACTAAAAAATTCTCGCTATCGTAAATTACTCGAGGCATAAAACATTAATTAATAGATGTTACCGCTCTTGATACAATTTCCTATACTTGAAGCTGCAATTACGTTCTCGTTAAAACTGAAATATAGTCCCCACTTTAAATTACAACCCAAAATCGATCTCGACATTCCCTTCGTAGCCCATTTCCCTTCTTTGAAACGTAAAACGATCTCTAATCGTCTAAAAAAACCGCGAATCGTCTCTGCGATCCGATACTCGTGAAAATTAACTCACGGGAGCCACACTGCCCGAACAAACATTCGGAATATATACTTTCGACGTTTCGATTCGTTCTACCTATTCGAACGTCGACAAACATGATTTATTTAAAAATGGAATAGAAAATTGTACGGGATCCTGTACTATGGGATGTAACGTAGGAATTGGCGAAAAATCAATAGAACCCCATCGTGTTGGGTTGGTGGAGAGGGGGGAGTGGTGGTTCACCCTTTAAAATCAATGTTCGTCGCATAAAATCGACATTTACTTCGGTTCGCGAAGACGTTGTCGAAGCAAACGATTAGGTATCAGATTTGTTGGTGAGAGAACTTACCAGGCTTACTGCTCTTAAGATGACTTGAGGCCTTTGAACGAAGGCAATAGGGTCGAAAGGGGCTCCTGCCTTTCCTCCGCCGTACGCTCCACCGTCCATCTTAGTGCGACTGAGCTAAAATTTGAAAGCTCGAGGCTGATAGAAGCGCGCATGCGCCAAGAGAGGTTACCCTTCTTCTCCCTCCCAGCGCCCATGTTCTTTTGGGGTGGATCCTCTAACAAGCGCGCTTCGGGTGGTTGGAACGCTAAGTTAATCGAGAACTCGATCGCTTTCGATCGATTTATTGAGTTTAATTATCGTATTACCAGTTATCCATTTGTTTGTTTTAACCAACACGTATTTTCATATTGGCACTTTGTTTGTTTCACTATTTCTCGATCGATGCAAAATTAAAAATTTTAATATTACAATATCATTTATAGAATATTAAAAATTAAATTTGTAAAAACAATACGATAAATGATACGTTCAATTTGCATTACTATCATACTATCATTAATGTCATTGTTCGATTTCACGATAAAAACAATATCGAGAAACCTCGATAGAAATTCGATAGAATCGAATTTTGTATGTTTAACTTCATTTTTGTCACATATAATTGTAGTACATAATTTTCATTACTAATCTATAATGAATGTACATACATCGTGTAAATAGAAATGCTTATTTATTATTTATACATCGTTCACATCGAAATAATTAGGGCATACAAATCTTTAATAATACAATTGTCACTAATCCTATTCCACTAATCAAGAAATAGAGTCGACGAGTATTACTTCGTTTTGGTTTGGCTTGTAACTGTAAAAGGAAACAATAGAAATATAGGTTCAGGTTCTTGAAATAGCTATGAAGAACTTTTATTCTGATTAACTTTAAATACCTTTAGGATGAATTTTTCCAGTTCAGAAAGATTTTGTTCTGCTTCTTCCAGTTCTATCAATGTTGCATTAACAGAAATTGGTAATATCTCAGAAGCACTTAAACATTTGTTGGGATTAACAAATATATTAATTCTCTCTTTTACAAGCCTTAATCTACAGTATGCTACAAATGCTTGTATCAGAGATAAATGTTGCTCTTCATGCTTAATTATCTCAAGACAATGTTGAAGCCTAAAAAGTTCACATGTTTGTCTGTTCATTAGTTAATTATCTAACTGATAATTGAACAAAAAATATGTATCTATGAATAAAAGCCTATAGAATAACTTTTTATATTACTTTAAATTATTTTTTACGAAGTAACGTTATTATTTAAAAATACTTGAAAGGAAAAACTTATATTAAGTTCCTACCTGTCCGAAACATTTGCTATAGGGATGCCAAATCCTTTCTTTACGTTTAAAGCATTCTTTATTTTTTCGCCCTTTTCAGGACTGATGCCTGTAATAAAGTCATTTAAACTAGATATAATCTATAATTTATGGGAAATAATTTTTGTTCCTTCAAAGAAGATAAACAAAGACATCTTTTATCTTCGCAGGAATTTTCTTTTAATTTTGAATACTGTATTTTCAAATTTGTTTAATTTACCTAATATTGTAAATTCCTTTGTACTGAGCTTATGCAGTACGTCAGTTGATATATTTCTTTTTTTGCATTCTGGTATTAATTCAGGTGCACCCAAACCATGCAGTAGGGTAGCTGTTCGTTTAGTAAAACTAAGAGGATCATTGTAATTATCCATGATTTCAAGTAATACTAAAAGTCGGAGGTCTCTGACTTAATAATTGTATAAATATTCCTGGAGATACTGAATAATTTATTTTATTATATGGTATAGATATACAATTAATACTGTAAATATTCATACTATGGTTAGATTAGGTTATGTTATTGATATAGATACACATATTACATGTATACTAAATAAAATATACCGAAGATGTAAACAAATGTTACTATTTAATTAATTCATCATTTAATACGTAATACGAAACACAAAACTCTGTGACAAGTCAGGGTAAACAATACAATGATTAGCTCTTTAAGGCAGTGATGCCAGTGATTCTTTAAGGCATGTGCACACAAATAATGAATTATTATTTTCGATTTAACAAATTTGAGAATCAATATAAATAGTTTGGGGAAGGTATAATAATCGAAAAATAAATAAAATTTATATTAACAAGTCAACAATTCACATTAAAAAAATGTAATTGTCCATTTGTTCGACAGTGATTGGCCGTTTACACTTTTCTGTGTATACACAATTTGAAGGGAAAAGTAAATAGATTTGGTCTATAATTATGAAATGATTACAAATATTTCATGAAAATAAGTATGTCTTTATTACGTAACTACAAGTATTTCTTATTGGTTCTTCATTCTTTGTCATTAGGTGTCGTGATGAATGATTTTAACTATTTGTAATCTTAGTCATGATTGATCTAAAGCAATAAACTATAAATAACAGTTAATAATAAAACTTTAATAATCACAGGGCGGACTGCACCAATCGAAGAATATCGATAACCAGATAAATGCGAGCCAATCAGAGTAGTTCTCGAACGAACGTCACGTTTATTGAAAATGCTCAATGATGCTGCAAAAATGAATTCAATATGAACGGGCCTTGTACAAGGCCAAAATACAATTCGTGGTTTCTAAAGTATCGAAAAATCACTGGATATCTCTGTCTTAGCATAAGATACCTAGCGACATGGAGGAGGTCGTACTCGACAGGACCGACGAAACAAGTGTCTGTGTACAAGATGGCGGCGCCCGGGGCCTTAACTGTCGTGAAAATCGCCAGGAAGTAACCCGTAAACGGAAGCCGCGCGGTGTCGCAGCGAGCCGCGGATCCCCGCTCCGAAGGATGTGATCCGAGGAAGAAGAAGAAGAAGGCCGAGTCCGGGCCAGAGGAGCCTTTTTCTACACTGCCACGAGGAAATTCGGATTATCCAAATTCCTCGGGCCAGTATCCTAATCCTCTTCGTGGCCACGCCGACGATGGAGCCCAGGGAACGCTATCAGGAGCTCTGCAGACTTTGCGCATCCTACGACGCCGTCAAGATGGACATCTTCGGTCAAGAAGGCAAGAATAGACAGCTCGTTGACAAAATTCAAGCCTGTCTGCCGTTTCAGGTACGTTTTCATCTTGTACGAGATTACACGTTACTTCTTTATCGAACTTTCGTGCGCCCCGTGTCAAGTTGTTGTTTAGAAAATAATGTCCCTCTTTTCGACGTGCAACGTTCCCGTTTGTTGGCATTTAGTTTATACGTCCAACGAAAACGTTTTTCTACTAATAATGATTTTTCGTCGTGTTTTTAACGCGTATCCCATGGTTGTTTCAAGCTTGCACATTTTTGTTTCTATCCTTTTCCGCGTTAAAGTCAATTAGAAAAGTTTGATTCCGTCGGATTTTCTGTATATTTTCCGCACGTATATAGTCGCCTTTTCTTGGCGATTATTATCAAATACACTGTTTAATGTTCACGTTAATCTTTTTTTTTTATTTTTTTGAAAGACTAATTTTTTAAAAGTTGCACAACAATTTTGTTTTTGTTTTATTTTTTAACATATACTTTGTTATAATATTATTGTACATATTATGTTATTGTTATTATATAATTGTAATATAACTGTTCTTTTTAATTGTACATGTTTGGAATTTATCATGTCATAACAATTTGCACTTTTAAGCAATTAAAATCATCAAAACCAATATCTTATTACAAAAATAAAGTAATTTCTATTTTGTTTGCACCATTTTTTCTATTAAATTAAGCTATGCTTGTTTGTATCATAATTTCACTAAATTATATCTTAGAACCTATTGTATGATATATATTTGTTATTAATACACATAATCATTTTCTGTTATTTTGCATAAATTTTCAATGTACTTTCACATTATATCCTTCTGTGTCAATTCATTTATTTTTTCATATATTTTCCTTTAATATGTTATTCCCTTATTAATTTTGAGCAAGTGTGTTGTATGTGTTTTCCCACACAATGGTTTATGTAAAGATTAATGTAAAAGTTTTATTGTATAAAAATTAACCTATTATGTAACAAATGATTTTGAGTTAACTAATGTATAATAATATTTTTAAAAATAAATCAATACCTTTAAAATATAATATTTCTTTTTCAAATATATAAGAATTCTGTTTTTGTGTATAGTTATGTAATTGTTACTTGAATCAAATACATAATAAGTATTTAAACAGTTTTTATGACAAAACTTTTATTATTAATGTCAATTGTATAAAATAATATTGTCATGTGTTTTTATGTATATTTAGGTTTCTCCTATGTAATCTACCAAACTTACATATTAATTTTACCTTTAAATAACTTTCCAAAAAGATACAACATTAATATCCAAATATTTAATTACAGATTGCAGAAGATGATCGTCTACCAAAATGCCTCTGTTACCGGTGCATGTACAATTTGGAAAATTTCTATGATTTTAGAACAGCATGTGTCAATGCAGTGGCCCTCTTGGAAAGATGTTTACCACCCTCAGAATTGGTAAAATTACATCCAAATAATTTTTAGAGAGTTCTATTTTTTGTTTTCCTCAAAAATGTAATATCATTAAAAATTAGTAATTACTTAATTTTTACTTAAATTTTATATAAGAAAATAATTGTTTCTTTTTTACATATATGAAAAATATAATAATGGAGCACTGATAATTCCACATTTTGTTTTAGGTTGGAGGTGTTGCGACCACCCTAACATGTGGCAATGATTTACAGCTGTCAAAGAGAAAGGAAAGTATACCAATGTTGATTCCAGAGGCTCCTATTGTCAATCCAAATGCTGCCTTAGGCACACCGCCTAGATTAAATTTCGACGAGGAGGCTGACCATGAGGCAGAAGACATTGTTGACAACAGTGGCACGGATGAAGGTACTTTCATATTTTAATCCCTGGGAACATTTTTGAACATACATGAAAAAATAAAGAAAAAATTATTTAATCGTATTTCTTCCGTTTCTCTTTTAAGCAACGCTGGTAGATGATTCTGAGGATCGCCGTTCAGAGGAGTATGAAATGGATATGGAAACAAATCCGAGTGATTTTTTGGAAATGACTTCGATAGTTACGGAAGAACCCGCAGAATCAGAGTCGCGACATCAAGAACTTTCTAACAGCTTGCCGGAGGTATGTTATTTAAATATAAATAGAAAGAAACATTGTCCTTGAATTGCAATATTGAAGTGTTTTAAATGATTTGTAGAAACATAATTTACGATCCATTATTACAGCATGCATCTCAACAACATGAAGTTTACGTTTGTTCTTTGTGTAACAAAGCATTCAGTTCAAAGGGTCATTTATCTCTGCATGCGCGCATTCACGTTGGGGCTGGCGATGTGATCGGTGAAAAAGTTCTTACAGACGATCATACTTCCTACAAGAGACCCTATCAGTGTGATCTTTGTCACAAATCTTATTCAACTGCAAAGCATCGTTGGGGCCATGTTTCAACGACTCATAGGTTTGTTTCTTAGCTACAAAGTACCAATTATGAGTGTATTTCGTATTTTTTCATTTACGCATGATATAATAATCTTTGTATTAGAGGCCACCCGGCAGTGACATGCGGTTATTGTTCCCGGATCTACTCGACCCGTACAAATTTGGAAGAACATATAAAATCACGTCATGCTGGTCTTCCAGCGCCCACGGAGGTTCCAGTGAACAATTCCTATCGTCCGGAAAATAGATGTCAGTGCAATGCTTGCGGAAAGATTTGCACGGATCCTATGGAATTGAATCTTCATGGCAGGATCTGCGTTGAAGAACGGAGATTAGATCATTTGGGGAAAAATGAGAGTAGAGATAATAAAATCGTGGATAGTTCCGAAGCGTCGAGTATTGGTAGCGATGACGACAGCAAAGATTATAGGTACGGTTATTAACGCTTGCCAGATGGAGCAGGTCAAATGTTGATAATAGACTTATAGGTAAATTGTATATTTTCATTTCTTTCAGGAGCGTAGAAGCAAAGCTAGCTAAAAATCCTCAATTGACGATCTTAAAACAAGCATTAACGAAAGGAGACAGCCTTAAACGTGATTTTGAAGACAAGTTCACAACGAATTGCAAACCAAAAAAGCTACCAAAAACAGGTAAGTTGAACATTGAATCATATCATTTGGATATCTGGGAGGAAATAGAATTATTTTCCATTTCGTTCAACAGAAAATACAGACATGAGAAACGACAAAAAATGGTACTGTGAAACCTGTCCTCAACTTTTCACGTCAGTTGATGATCTGAAAGAGCACGAAGCGATACACAACACAGATAAGCCATTTGTCTGTATTCTCTGTAAAAAAGATTTTGCTCTCAAGTCTTCCTTAAGCAGACACATTCAAACTTTGCACGGCGTTGACCCGTGCCCTATCATAGAAAGCGACAAGTGTTTGAAAAAGATCGTTTCACGGAATTGGAACGAATCTATGGATCTCGATTTCGAGGGCAAAGCTTCTTCCGAGTTTCCATTATCCCCGGAGATAAACGCTGAAAATGAGGAAGAGGATCGCGAGAGCGGGCAAGAGAACCTCATTGAAATTGAAACGGTATTCGTTTGCGAGATCTGTACCCGTGATTTCAATGACCGCGCGTCTCTTTGGCTTCACATTCGAGCCACTCACAAAGAATTTGCAGCGTTCGCGTGCGGTGTTTGTTTGAAGATCTGTGCGGACAATACGCAACTTCTGAATCACGTGAACATGTATCACGGTGGTTCAAAATTGTTACTTTCCGAGCAGAGAAGGTACAGCTGTACGATTTGCGGTAGACAGCACGACTCTAGAAAGAAGTTAATCGCACACGTATCTATACATAACGTAGATCCAAATTACGACCCTGCAACCTTCGTCCAGTTGAATAGCAATTACTACGGGGAAAATATAAACGGTAATGAGCATATACTTGATTACGAAGAAGACGGAGATAAAGTAGATTGTTACATTTGTTATAAATCATTTCCCAACGAGGATCATTTGATACGGCATCAAAGAAATGCACACAGGTCTGAACAGCTAATGTCGACAGGTGACTCTTTAAATCCATCCAATTTAAATGGCGGTGGAAACAGAGCTCAGTATCATCTTTTCTTTGTCTGTGAACTTTGTGGTAGCTCGCATCCCAGTAAATGGGAACGTTGGTTACACGTCAGCTCTTCCCACTGCAACGAGCCAGCTATAAAATGCGACCGTGAAGATTGTGGTAAAATCTTTGCTACGAAGTCGCTTAGAAACGATCACATTCAGCATCATGCGATCCAGGGCTCGTCTCCGAATACTTGCGAGATTTGTGGTAAACTTTGGGGCAGCAGAGTCGATTACTGGAAACACGTTATGGGTGTTCATTCGGACACGGTTCCGTTGATATGTGGCGTGTGCCTGAAAGTGTTCCCGAACGTGTTACAATTAAGTACTCACGTGAAATCGAAACATTGGCCGTTGACGAACGGCGATTTTAGTTGCGATATATGCGGAAGGCCGTACTCGAACAAATCGAAAATGTCCAGACATAGAAAAATTCACGGTTTCGAGGAAGCTTGCAACAACGGAATGGAAAATAACGACCATAAAGCAGATGGACGGATCAGGGAGACAGAATTAAATTGCGAGCTCTGTGCGGATTTGAAATTCACTAGTTTAGAGAAATTATGTAATCATAGACGAATCGTTCATGGACTTTTCCCTTGCGATCTTTGTAATAAATGCTACGGGAGAACATCACACTTATGGAAACACGTGAATAGGGTTCATAAAGGTCACGAGGATGTGACGTGTCCTTACTGCTTGAAAACTAGCGCTTCGAAGGATCACTTGGCAGCCCATATTTCAAAAATTCATAGATACGAACCTGACTCTAGAAAAGATGGGAAAAATAATAGGCAATTTAAAACCGAGGAAGTCAGTTTACATTATTGCGAAAAATGTAATAAGGGATTTCATAAACGGTACCTTTTGCGTAGACATATGAAAGGATGTCAGAATTATAGAAAAGATCCTGGAGCATTACTGACAAGATGCAGAGCCTGCGAAAGAATATTTAAGGATCGTGCCAGTTTACAAAAGCATATTGAGAATCACCATAGTACATATACATGTCATCTTTGCAATGAAACCATCACCTCAAAATTGGGCATCATGACACACAATAGAGTGAAACATATGGATCATCCGGATTTAACTTGTAATTTTGGAGTTTGTAGAAAGTTGTTCAGAACAAAGGAAGATTTAGAAGCCCATAGGAAAGATCACAGGTATCATACGAACCCCAATGTCTGTGACTTTTGTGGCGACACGGTTGAGAATAAACTGAAATTAAAGATGCACGTGTTGTCGCTCCACCGTAATGAAATTGGCGTTTCTTGCGGAGTATGTTTGATCCCGATGAAGGATCCCAAAGAGCTTAAAAGTCATGTGGAGGAAGTTCATTCCAGTGTTCTTTCAAGACCAAACACCTGTCAGGTCTGTGGGAAACAATATGCTTCAAAATGGAAAGCTTTTGATCATACTAAAAAATGTCACGGGAAAGTATTCCGGACTTGTAAACAGTGTTTAGCTGTTTTTACGGAAGATTCCGCTATTAGAGATCATTATGAAATGGTACATAACGTTCCAAAAGATCAGCTTGCTGCATTTGAATATAGATTGGACATTGGATCGAAGAACGAAGATTTTGAAATGGAAGTAAGTTGATTTTAAAATAAATAATAAAAATAATTTCGGATTTCTTTACTTTAATATAAAGTTCATTCCATATTTAAATAAATAAGTTGATTATTATTTGTTTTGTAGTCTCCTGACATTATTGTCAAAGAGGAGCCAGATGATCTAGAGTACGATGTAGATCTTTGCGACGAGGATTCCAGTGATTCAAAACGGAGAAGATCTTTAACGGACACCTTTGATTGCGAAATGTGTCCGGAAATGTTTATAAACAGTGACGCCCTTTCGAAACACTATCGTAATATGCACAATACTGATCCAGAAAGAATGTTCAAGAGATTAAAGCAAGAGGAACAGAGAAGGATGCGAGGAAAAATGAGTTTTGTTTGCAAGAATTGTAAGAGACAATTCTGTACGAAAACACTGTACTGGAGCCATGTGGCGACCTGCAGAAGAAATATTTTGCGAAAAGAAGTAAACATTACTTTCTTGGATTAATTATTAAATAGGAATTAAATACAATACGTACTAATTCGAAAAAAATTTTATTCAGGTAGAACTTTTGCCTCTGCGAAATGATATTTTGGATAATCGGGAAGAAATTTTGAAAAATAATAATCAGATTAAAAAGGAAGAGCCTACGTCGAATTTGAATATTCCTGACTTCAATCTTTTCGAAGATATAAATCTTCAGTTGTCAGGTCAGAGACCACTTCCAAATCTCATGCCGCTTTCTCAGAGGTAAATATTTTATAACGTGATAACAAATATCAACTTTTACAATTATTATTATTTACAATCGTTTACGTGTAATTTCAGGGTGAAACCCTCGATAAAGTGTTCGAGGAAGGACTCGAGAAAAGTTTACGATGAATCGACGAATACAGAATGTGCCTGCGAAGTGTGTGGAAAACAGTGGCCAGCGAAGAAACATTTATGGCAACATTTAATTCGCTTTCATCGAGCAGAGGCTGCGGTTACTTGCGGAGTGTGTCTGAAACTTTGCAAAGATTACGATGATTTAGCAGAGCATTTGAAAGCCACGCACGAAGCAATCCTATCATGCGAGGGGAACAATTTTACGTGTAAAACGTGTGGCAGGTACTACGATCTGTTTTCTTAATTCACTTCGTATTTTTCACGATTATTGAAATTGATAATTTGATTTGACTTGTACGACAGGTATCATAATGCACGCAGTAAGCTATTACTGCATACGAGTATCCACATTGGGCATTCGAGTAATGGAACTTCGTGTCCAAAATGCCACAAAAATATTACCGACGAAACTGATCATCCTAATACCTGTTCTGGCAAGACAGAAGAGGAAGAGGATGAGGAGGAAGAAGAGGAAGAGGAACATTTGAAGAACGAGCAAAAACCGGAAGTAAGTACAGTAGACTCTTGATTAGTAATTATGTTTTTATAAATGGTATGTTTTTCTTTATATGTAATCAATATTTAAAACTTAATTTTGATAAAAAGGGAAGCCTAATAGCGGACGATGCGATAATTGAGGAAGTAGAGGAAGGAGACTTTGAATCTGAAGCTGAAGAAGTAGACACGGAAGAATCGGACAGTGGCAGTAGTACCGAAGGCGAAGAGGAAAACGATTCCGAAGGTGAATCCAGAGCCACTGGGGAAATCACTTACAATTCAGAGAGCGAAGATTCTGAAGAATTAGATAATTTAGAAATGGAGGAAAAGGACATACAGTGTTTCGCTATAGAACATCTTCAAGAAACCAAAGACACAGGTAACGAAATGAAAAATAAAGAGATGCGATGAAAAATAAATATTTTCATTTTTAGGCCCTTTTTGTTATTTCTTTAAAAAAAAAAAAATTGTTTTATATTGAAATGTAGTATATATATTTATTGATATTTTGAGTATGTTTTTTTAAAGAAAAGGTGTCCCCGTGATTGGCATGATTCAAGCCGTTCTGCTAATCGAAAAAATTAGGGCGAAAGAAATATTCAACGTTTGTTTCAGAAACAGGGAAAAATGACGCGGATCTGTCGGATGACGACGGGCCTCCAATTCTCAGTCCCATAATGCCCATCCTTCAAGAAAACATATCCGAGGAACAGTCGGGAGGACACAAACTCGACACAATAGTAACTCCGGCTGAGAAAAGAATAGAATTATGTAATTCGTCGGAAATTCGAAATCAGTCTTCTCCAAAGTCAGTGAATTTCTATGGGAAAAGCATGTCTGCTGATGAACCTTTGACCTTTGAGTCCGAAACATTTATAAATCAAAGCGATGAAGACTTTGAAGACACAAAACACGAATATGACGAAAATTCTATTGAAGAAAATAAGGATCACGATGAAATTGAAGAGAATGAAGAGAATGAAGAGAATGAAGAGAATGAAGAAAATGAAGAGAACGAAGAAAATGAAGAGAATGAAGAAAATGAGGAAAACGAGGAAAACGAAGAAAATGAGGAGAATGAGAGCAACGAGGTAAACGAAGAAATCGAAGATAATGATGAGAGTAATGAGATGGAGGAAAATGCAGATAACGAGGAGAGCGAAGATAGTGAAAATGAAGAGATCGAGGAGAGCGGCGAAGATAGTGAAAATGAAGAGGAGGATAAAGAAGAAACAATGCAGTTGGATGATTTGGAAGGTGCGGTTTTGATGATGACCGAAGGAAATCAAATACTGATTCAACAGAATGTGTTAGATGACGATAACGAAAATACAAATCAGGAGTACGTTTATTCTGCGTTCGCGTACAGTTCGGAGGAGGACAGTGATGATGCAAGGAAGTGAGTGCCAAATTGTGATTAATTAACTTGAAACAAATACGAGGTGAGGAACGGTGTTAGATGTTTCAGTTATCAAGAATACGTGGAGATAGGAAAATCGAGAGAAACTTGTGCTGAAAATCAATTTTTAAACGTCGACTATTCAAATTTCAAATCGGCTGGGATGCGAAAAACTTTGAACTCTACGGAAACGTCCAAGTGTTGAACATGAATTGTAAAAATCTTAAGAACTATTTATGTATATATTTACAAAAATTACATATACTTTCGACGCAAGGATTAGTGTTGTACTTGATCCACAAGTAAGGTTACTCACAATATGTCCACGTATTCTTAAAACGTATCGAAGGTAATCGGGAATTTGTATTGCTTTATTCTGTATAAAAAAAACACACACACACACACACAGAGATCAACTATTACGTGATATGTACCTTGAAATTTACGAAAATTCATGCGAATGTTGCAAGAACTTGTAAATATGTTGAATTAAGTGGTAAAATTAGCTTTCGCAAATCTTCTGGTAGGGGATCGTTCTTCTTTCATTATTTCGAAATAGCTAGAAAGAGGGATTATCAGTGACACGTGTAATAGCGATATTGTAGAATTCTATAGAGATATCAATGAATTTAACGTAGGATGATATGGGAATGGACTAAACATTCATCCAATGGACACAAAGGGATTGGATGAGGGCTTGAAGTAGAGTAAAACCGACCAAAATCAGTGTGATGTAATAGAAGAACATCCTCTAAGCACCTGGGTCACAGGGATGGCAAACTCTTCCAATGTGTTTGGGTAGATTGCTTTCTGCGGATATAAGACCACTTTCCTTCAAGACGAAACTTTACAAATTGCAGAAGGATTAGCACCTTTTAACAAGATATCATTTCGATTGCAAATGACTTGTGCTAATTAAATGAATCAAGAAAATCATGCGTATCGATTTTTAAATAATTAATTACGAATAAAAAAAAGAAATGATTTACGCGCACCTTGTTAGTTAATCGTGCGAAGTTCGATCCGCCATCCCTTGCCTTAGGAAATTTATTTAAGTTTTTACAGATTTCGACTCTCGCAAGCGCAGATCCGATTCGACCTCAAATTATTTTTGAGGTAAATCGATCGGTATCGATATCTAATTTTCAAAATTTTTTCTATAAATGTTTCCAAGCGAAAATAGTACAAAGATAGCAATATTGCAGAATTATCGTAATGTTAGATAAATAATTAACGCTATAATATTACAAAATTTTTGAAATTCTACTAAATTATATAAGCAGATCCTTTTGTATCTAGTATTAAACGTTCGTTTCAAGTATATAATGTACTGTATTTGTTACACTGTTATACATATCTATGTTGATGCTCTATTACTACTACTATTATTATTATTATTAATAATATAATTATTATTTCGGTATTATATTAATATCGATTCGATTGAATTTACCGCTGGAAATTTCAAAATTGGAGGGTAAAGGAACAGAAACAAACTTAGTGTATATAGTAGTCATGTAAGTAATTTCGTGTACAGCTACGTTATACTATAATAAAGTAAGAACATGTTTGTATGCGTGTATGGTGAAAGCATGATTCATTTGTGTGACAGAAAGGAAAGGCCAGCTTCTATTACTTTTTTATCATCGGACGTTGAGAATGTTTAAGAAGAAACTGATTTATCGATTCTATTTTCCAATGAAGTGTCTCCAATAATTATATATACTAACAAAAATAAAATTTCGATAATAAATACATTCAAATTTTTTTTTTTATATATATTTATTGACGTGTTTCTTTATTGGTTGCATAGAATGTTTGCCTCTATTGTCTCGGTTTCTTTCTCAGACGTCGTTCCGTTGTACTTTATCAGCCTTAGAGTACGTGTATATCTTAGCTTAGTAAATGACTATTTTTTTTTTTTTTTTAACAGTACTAATTTCGTTCGAATTTTTCCATTATCCTAATACCGTCGATACTGTCTATTAAGAAGGAAACTGAAATTAGAATATTATTTCCTCTTTTCATTCGTCTGGTTATTTGCGGTCATTTCTTACGAGTTCTCGTTCAACTTCTTTCGTTTCGTTTATTATTTATTTGGGGCATTCGCTTCCTTTCCGGCGTATTAGTGCGTAAGAAATCGAAAACGGCAATTCGCATTTAACGTTTGTAACGATTACAATAAAAATTACTAAGTTGATTAACATCTTATTTTCATTTCGATCCTTGTAAGAATTATGCTGAACATTTATATTCAAGTATTTTTATAAGTGTAAAGTGTATATAAAATTGAAAATTCAATGATCCTGTAATCTGTACACGGTACTCGTACACCACGCGTTCGGTCTGTATCGTTTTATTGTATGAATGAGAGAAATATATAATTGGGGGAAAAAAATATCGAGAAACTATTCGAAGAACTGTATTGAAAATATGTTGCTCTAGAACTTTATTATAACAGCTTCTTTCTAATGTTAATACTTTCATTAATGGTTTTGTTTCCATTGAAGCAATGTGTAAATTTCTCGTAAGCTTACGATGAAATAACTATACGAATAGGTAAATGAAGGTCTAAATAAAATATTCTTTTACAAAAAGATAAACAAAATTATTGTAAATTATGTATAGAATAAAGAATCGCACATTCATTTCATTTGTGTTCGACAAATTTTCTTTCGCGTTCTTATAGCACGAGTTGTATAATTTTTTTTTTTTATCAATCTGTTAAAAGTGTACACGAATTCGTCTTTAATCGAACTATAATTGCCTGAAACTCCAAATTAATTATTTTTATATTGTATTTAATCATTATATTTATGTATTCAGTGCATCGACAATTTAATTTAGAATATAATCGTTAAAACATTGTTTCAGATCCAATAAAACAGTGGAAAAAAGTAATATAAAAAATTATTATTTTCTACTTCCAAATTACAATCTGATATCTTTCATATATTCAGAATCAATGCAATATAATTTTTTAATTGTATTTCTAAGTATTGCTTTGATATTATTAACAAAATTTTTGTAATTTTTATTCGGAATAGTTCTTATAGAAATTTAAGAATCTCGTGAAAGTCATAATGTTGAACGAAGATCAATAACGAGAAAAGGTATCTTTCGGAAAGCTATGGGAGCGTTGCTTGGAGCGAAAGGAGGAGGGTTTCAAGAAATCGGACGATTGCTTTATTAAGACGTCAGAAGGTACAGGATAGGTTGGGCCTGCGGTCGTTATTGCCTCAACCGGGTTCTCGCTTGGAACAATTGCTACGAAAAGATCAAAAAGACCATCGAGAGAAACTGACAGCGAAAGAGGAAGAGAAATAAAGAGTGAGGAGGAGCAAAAACAATCATGTTAACCGTTCGTGCACAGCTCACAAAGTTGAGGTATTGGTACCGAGTTAGGTGTTTGTAAAACTTTCGTAATATGTACAATTAACAATTGTGGATCTTTCAATTGAAACAGTGGTAAGGAAAATCAAGATTCTGTCAATTGTAAAAATGTAAAGAACAATTTTTCATATCCTTATACTTCATTAGTATTCGTATAAACGTGACTAATCGCTCGTATATCTCTGTTTCGTATCTAACAATCTATCCTTTATTCCGACTACATAGCACTTCGTGCTTCATCACAATTTTCAGATCTAAATCTCCCATCGCATTTCCTGTATGGCAGGAAATTAATTTTTATGTTTATCTTCGTACGATCTGAAATTTTGATCCTCATAAACCTTATAAACACGAAATATGATTTTACTGTATTTATAAAGTGTAAAAGAAACCAGCAAGTTAAATCAGTAAACAGATAATCGTTAAGGGCCATCTATCCTCTCTCAGCAAAACTTGTAGGGTCTTCAATAGGACATTAGTCCCGAGCAAACGAAGCCGAAAGCATTTATTTAGGTCCTAGATTCTACTAAACAGGATATCCTAAGCAAACCAAGGCACGCGCTCTCGTCGACTCGTTAATTCAAAAACAAATACCTCCTCCGAATCTTCCTTTCATATGTTTGACAGTAAAAATAGTATATACTTAAACATGCGCTAGACAGTGTTTCGAACCATTTTTTTCGGCGATAAAAATTGTAGGTGACAAAATTTTGTTTCTGAATTGTACCGAGTACTGTTTACGGAATTGTACAAATTCTTTAAAGGCAAAAGCTTTGTTTGTACGTATTTGAATTTTAATAGAAAAAAATTTCACGGTAATAGGTACATTCACCTTAGATAAAATGAAAACGCGTCTCGGCAATTATTTCATTTCCTTCGGTATTCTCGCTCACCCCGCAGAATCGATTAACTGGTTCAATTTGTACTCAAGCAGCTAATCTCTTGTGCGCTATCCGCCGCTTCGTGTTCGAAGGAGCGAAATTGAGTTGAGAGTCGCAGGAGCCAGCTGAATGCTCGTGGTAGGGAATAGAAGTACATACATAGTAAGGGCCCTGAAAGGGAGCCCAATGGAAGGCCGGCACGGGAAGAAGGAGAAACGTAAGAAAGAACGGAACGCATCTAAATGCGGGACTGTTCGACGTCGCTCTTAGAAGGGTACGGGTGAGGACGGGGGAGAAGGAGATAGTGTTGGAACCAGGCTGGTGTCTCAATCAGCCAAGCAGGTTGGGGCACCTTGGACCCCTGTGGGTGGAGGATAGAACTAGTAATGGGAATGAAACGTGTTCGTGATAAAAACAAATTATATTCTAAGTTTAAGTTTAAATCAAAGTTCTTGCATGTAAACACCTGTAACTGTTATGAAATTTAGGTTTTCCGTAACAGTTACGTTGAGTACGAGTTCTTTATGATTATTTCAAGAATCTATACTTACGTTATAACAATTTTCAGGTTCTGCTTGAGTCTGTCAGTAGCCCTCTCGGTCCCGGGCCAGTGGCTGGTAGTAGGGGGAGAAGAACGGCGCGCGCAGTTTCTCGACGCAGCGGGGCAGGCCGTCACAACTCAATCTAGTGTCTCGGTGACCGTGCGCTCACGAGTGAGTTTTTCTTTTCTTCTCTTCTCTTACAGTGTGTTATAATTCCTGACACGAAATCGCAGTTTTCATCGGTGGTTAATCTTGCACCTGGGATCCTTAAGCTTCGCATCTTTCGGCTGTTTAGAACAATGTGATTGTTCGTAAGGTTCGTACTAGAATTCTCTTCCTATAAGTATAACGAACGATATTATTTATGAATCGCGGAAAAGTTTATAAATGCGACATTTCAGTAATTGTTTAGGCGAATACGTATTGACAATGTACGTTCTATTTAATGAACAGGAATAAAATGTGTAATACTGATAATGTACATAAATACAGCGCATTAAATTTTCAATTTGCTTCTAAAACAAACATCAAATGTTTATATTGTATACATACATATGTATGAAAAACAAAAGAAAAGTATTAATATTGTGATAACGAATATCAACGTATAAGATCTATCGATCGAGTATAAATAATTTCTTTCAAAGTGTATACGCATATGTTGTTCCGTGTTGTTTATTAAAAAATAGTTTCGAAGTAACGTTCGATGTTTATGATGTTGTATGTACTTTGTTAAAACAACTTGTTACGCTTAAAGAAAATGAAAGCGTTACTGAGATCAATTGAATTGAATTGATGGTATAGTTTTAATTGTGTATTAACCAGTTGATTTGTATCTATTGCTTCTTACTTATGTCAATTATGTGTATCACACAGCGTCCGTTGCATTAAAGAATAATTTACATTATTCAATGAAATTATTATGAAATTTACATTTTTTTTTTTTACATTATAATTTACGAACGAATGTAAAAGTTTTATTTGTTATTCATGATTGTCCAATTCTGACTTCAGTGTACTAATATTCGAATATTACTCGATCCTTTATTCCCTGACGTTGAGTCGTAAAATAAGAATGAACAATTCCAAATGATAGTTGTTAGTTCCTTCGTTGATACTAGATCTACAAAACCCGTTAGTCTGGCAGGTTTCAAAGTAAACAATTAGAAAATGAAAGGTAATATATTACAAAATTATACAAAAACAAATGAAACAGTAGTACATGTAAAAGAACATAGATTGAAAAGATCGATTAATAAACATATTACGGTCTTATCGATATTAGCAAGTTTGAAACACAGACCAATATTTAGAATAATTTTTTATGACCTGACAATTGGGTACAGTTCTTTATAACATTTATTTCGAATAAAAGTTCATGATATTTGTTTTAAGAACCTAAATCCGTGTTATAATAGTTTTAAGCCCTGGTTTCAGTGGTCCCTCGTGTTTGTTCGGAATATGGTTTAAACTCGGGAGAAAAGTGAAGTTGATGATCACTGACGGTCTATAGGGCTGGCCATCTGTCCCTCGTTGCCACGTCTGCGACGTCTTGGTGGTCCATTTTGGGGCTGATGCGCAACAGCATCGGCACTAGCGCTGGCAATGAAGCGCTCTCAGGTAGAATCTGCCCCTCCCCCTCTCCTTTCTCTCATTATATCGTATGCGCACTGGCGCACGTGCTCTCGTTCCCCCCTCCCCTCCCCTCCCCTCCCCTTCTCTTCCTTGCTTTTTTACTGGTATCAGTAGAAAGAAGCAGAGAGTAGAGAGTAGACTGGGACGAACGGTGAGCTGCTGTGTTGTTCTCATAGAAATTCTAACGACGGACAGTGGCCCAAACGGCAATTCTAGCTAATCAAAATTAATATTTATGAGAGTTAACGACGACATGTTCGAATCTCAACTTTGAAATGGCTTAAAGTTTTCAAGACTATGATTATATCAAATTAAAGTACAAATTTGTGATAAATAACATGTTACAGGAATAAATTTATTTTTCCACAAACTTCATTTCTACTTTATTTAGTTTTCCTTCTACTCCAATCTATTGTATTACTGACTTCAACTAATAATACAGGACAAGTTGTATAAATACTAAAAAATATTGAACTTGACGCAGCATCAAGTTCAACGGCGAAATAAGATAACGTTGCAATACGATCGCTTCACCATTCGAATCTCTTTCTCTTTTATTCGCGAACCTAAGAAACAACGGTTATAGAACTTATATGAGAGCTGATGCAAGGACTACGTATAACTTAAACTGTTACTTACAGTTCGACTTTTAAGTTGTTTAAACAGTAATTTCAGAATGAAAGTTCTGAATAACTGTTTAAGATTGAAAAAATTAAGATTTTTTTAGAACACGTACGTCCCCAAAGTACGAATCTAAAATCCTTTTATTAACTCGAATGACAGACAGAAGACCGATTTATTTTAAGAATATCATGGAATGTCCCTCATGCCACGCATCTGTTACATGAATCCGCAAGCACTTCGCAGCTCAACACAATACTAAAATTATAATTTACGTACACAACGATCGACCACGTTGATAGAATGAAACCTCGATTGAAATACTTGACAAATTATTGAGAAACCAAGGCTGTACACATCGATCCGTTAAAACAGTAATTATACGTGCAACGAATAGAATATAAGAAGAAAATTAAATCGTGTTCCTTTCGCTGTGAAATAAAAATTCCCAGTGGAATTTATTTTAACGACAGCGGGTCATAATTTAATCGTGGAACGTTTTAATATGTACAAATATTTACATTAACATAATTGTTTTGGTGATGTTTTAGAAGGATGTCGCGCTGGTTGGATCGATCGACCATAGGCCTAATGGGTATGGTGTTGATTAGTACAATAATGTCGAATACTGTTAGAAGTTCGATAATGAGGTGCGAGGAAGCAAAACTTAAATGCGCTTACAGAACAGGCTGTGGTACTGCTCTGCAACATTATTTTACGGGCTGCGCACCCGCTCTCCAAAGCAACGATTGTTCCGAGACTTGCCAACATGCCCTCATTGCTCTCACCAGCACCGACGAGGGCAAAGAACTTATGACAGTACATATAAATTTATTCATTTTATTACGGTTTGCATTTACTCAAAAATATACGTTGCCTTTAAAAACGAATACCAATGTAAAACTTCGACCAAGTAATGCCTTGTATTTTTTAAACTAGAGCCGAATAGTTTCCTCTGTTATTTCCTATTTCAATGTAAAAATGGAGATAAAGTTTAATCGCGAATAGTAAAAATTATAGTTAAAAAATTTGTCGATCAGCGTTTATTTTTAAGATCCGTAAATTACAGTTTTCCGGAGGATAATGAAAATTTATTGTTATTTAGTGCGAATGCGAGGATAAATTATGTTTGCAATCGAAACAGAGAGTAGAAATTTGTAGATCGTCCGTGACAATGGCGATGAACAGGACAAGGGTGTCGTGCAGAATAGCAACTTGGATATGTAATGCAGACGCCCTTTGTCAAACTGCTCTTGGATACTATAATAAATACTGCAAAAGTATGTTTCAAGGACGAAAGTGTACTAGGCGGTAAATAACTATTTTTTTTTTTTTCTTTAAATAGAAATAAATTATTTTTCGCAGAATCAAATATTTTAACACAAAGTGAGAATAGAATTGCTTACATTTAACGTAACATTTTAGATGTAGGAATTCGATAAGTATTCTAACACGGCAGGAAAAAGCTGCCAAATTGAATACGTGTCAATGCGATGGTTTTGAAGATTACGACTGCAAGGGGATTCACAGAAACATGAATCTCCTTTGTTTTGGGAAAATACATCATGGTTACCGCGACGTCAACATCAAGGATGACAGGCGGAACGAATTTCGGAGGCCGAACATAACTCTTAGAGGAGATGCTGTTCAAACATTAGTTGACAGAAGACTAATATTAATTTCTCTAGCAATTTATCATATATTTAAAGTGAAGCAAGGTGAGACTACCCGATTGCAATGCTATTTTCAATGAAATTACTTTTACGAAACGGCTTCTTTTTCAGACTGACAAACAGAAGAGGTACACAAAACTTTCCAAAAGACAGCAGTATTCCATGACCAAAGATTTTTATCGATCACTTTAATATCAATATCTGAACAATTTTATACTGGTAATAATGGATTACTTTTTCTTTCTATAAATTCTTTAGCAGCTTTGTCAAATACTTAAAAGGCTGCATCTTCTACTAAATTTGTTACGTATTTTTCTTTTTTTTTATTAAAATTGTAAAAATGAACAAAAAACTAGAGAAAGGAATCTTGTACAGTGAAAATATTGTATACATATTGATTGTATTATAGTAAAAATAGCTGAATAATTGGTTGCAGATATTTAGTTATAGATGAATTTTATTTATGAAGGTATAATCATGTAAATATCCATGTAGCAAAAGATATTGTAAATGTTTTTCTATTATTTTTCTCAGATTTATATCCTCGAAAATTCTATTCTTCTTGTAGAAAAGTATTTTCTTAAAAGGATAAAGTAATAAATAATAGTTTTTTTTTTTTTTTGCATGTGTTGTGTCTTGATTTCGATATAAAATTATGTTCGGAAGAATAAGAAGTTTCGAGGCCCATAGTAGCGTTGTATAGTAGATCTTTGAAGATGACTGATTGTTACTATAACTTTGTTAATAGAAAAATTTATCACAGTTTCGTGTATAAGACAACTCCTAGTATTTGTATCCTAATTGAATAGAGTTACCGAAAAATTAAATAAGATTCTATTATATAAAGTGTATTATAATTATTAAAATTCTACTAACAGGCAAAAGCCGGTAAACTGTACTGTAAACTGTTAAGTATTTTATTCATATTGTATTTAGACGTTTCGTACACAAAACAACACCTTAAAAATAAATTTTAAAAAATTAACAATTTAAAGAATGTATTTACATGAAATTGTTGAGATTTAATCTATAAAAAGAAGTACGTTTAAAAAATTTTTTCATATTGAATGTATTTTAAAGCTTGCGGTATTAAATTTGTCCCGCGTATGTAACATGAAATACAAGAGAGTTTAACATTTCTTCGTGAATTGCTTTATTAATTAAATATATCCAAAAAATGAATAACCTAAGGAAATCCGTCGTCGTCTTCTTCCGCCATTTCCTTAGCAAGTTCCAAATCCTGTTGCTCCCTTTCTCTGCGTTCCTCTGCTGATTCGAGATCCTTCCCATACGATTTCGGAGGATATCTCATTGCTTTTACGCTCTGATTATGTAAATCCAAGCAAAAAGTAATTCTTTGATGGAACGCGAGCAACGGCTCTTTAGTGCAATAAATATCTGTAGTTTCTTTGCTACGCATGTATCCATTCTCTGGTTCTAACGTAGCCTCGATCACGCCGTCTCTAATAGCTTTAGCAACGATGAATTCTGCATCGACGCTAGAATCTAAGCCTAGTTTCTTCGCGATATCCGCGGGAGAAATCCTGGAATAGGATAGCCCGATTGATCTAATCGCGGTTTTAATAACATTGTGTCTCAGTCTGAGTATCAAAGTGAACGTATGGTCTGCTCTGAACTGTGGACCAAAATTTTCTAAAACTTCTCCAAACCGTTGGAGATTTCCTAAACGCACTGCTTGTGTTAATTGGAAATATGGAGCTAAAGCACGACGCAAAGCTGCTTGTCGAAAGATTTGCCGTTCAGGGATGTCTCCAAGAAGAAGTTCTACCGCTACGGCCAGTTTCTGAACTGTTTGGCGGAAACCTACCGCAGTGCTTTGCGGAGCTTTTCTGAGAGCCTACGGAAAAGACAGTGTTCGTAAAAAAAATACTCAAAAAAGATTTTATAACTGTAATAACGAATGAAATATATAATGATCGTAATTTACCTGTACTAAATACTTGTGCGCGGCTGAGTATTCTAATCTGGCTGCTTTAATACGTCCTAGATAATACAAAAATCGGGCGCATTCATTGTTACTAGCAGATTCTGGGAAAGTTGACTTAAGTACAAGCTTGTCTGCTTGATCATACAAATTATAATGTAAATAGTTTCTCAATAAGCAATTAATCAATACAGCTTGTCCCTCGAAATCATTTCTCAGAGTCGCCGTCCTCAATCTCAAATGCAATAATCCACGAATTTTGTCTAATCTTCCGACTAGTTCATACGCTCTCGAATAATAGAAATAACATTTTGCGGCGATCAAATCGATCGTACGTCTATTCTGTGCAATAATTTTTTGTAACAATGCCTCGGAACATTGAACAGCTTCGTTGTGTCTTCCATTATCAATTAAATGCACGAGAACTAACAAGTGAATGTATGCATCGATTTCTGGTAATGGGCTCATGGCAGAGGCACGAAGTTTTTGAGTTTCTTCTGGTTCAGTAGTTTCCTCTAACCATGATAACAATGCATCGCGTTCGGTGCACGGTTTTGGATAAAAGCTTAGGATTACACCGCGTAGGACATTGGAATTTAGCCTGCGACGTGTGTTGGGCAAAGTACGTAATGCTCTCAAAATAAAACGGGGTTCTTTGCTTTGAACAGCTTTTTCTATCTGGCGTGCATGCTCACGAATATCATGAATCGTTTGAAGTTCCGTATCTTTTTTATCGCTGACATCTCCATCGCCATTTTGACTTTCTGGAGAAATTATTTCAACGTCCATAGCTTCAGGATTTTTGGCTGTAGGAACACCCATTCTGTTTGTTCTGAAGAAGTGAAATATCGAATGTAGTACATATTTTATTTTTGTAGAAATTATATATCCATAATATATTCTTCTTTAATCTTTAATTAAATAATTTTGTAAGTTACTGAATACTGATTGTAAATATTGTAAAAATGAACACTCGTTTAATAACCAATCTCATCGTCCCCCCATAAACATCTCATAATCAATTCGGTATTCGTAACTTTAAAGAAGAATTTAATACTTTACAATATACAATACAAGATTCTTAATATTTAAAAATAATAGTAGTAGAAAATAATTTCAATAATTAATATTTACCTGTATTTTAAACTCTTTTTTTCACAAACAAAATGTTCACCGAGTAACTACAATTTTACGTTTTCATCCAACCAATTCACAGTTGTGTAGACGTAGTAAGACAATTAGCAGAAAAGATTGATATGTTCCTAGTAGCTAGGGTATTCTGTTTTTCATTTTATAAAAATGAATCGTTATAGAAATATAACAACAATGTTTTAATATTTTATTAAAATTCTTATCTATAAAATATAAAGTCTATCATCGATATGCAATGATATATAACTACGTCTAATCATAATCAATGTTACCAGACCAGGCACAGTTGCACTGGGAAGTACTGGGAACTTTTGTATACTATGCCAGATATTTTTATTTTTTATTAACATAAACATAAGAAATGTTTTACACATTTCTAACTCCATTAAATAAAAACATGCCTCGAAATCATGAGAGCATCTTTTATAAAGAAATTAAATTAATGAGTAATATGCTTTTAATCGACACTGTTGATCATTTGAGGACAGAAACTTATGATCCAGAAAATTTGCTTAGTTACAGAGAGTTCACCGTCATGCCTCAAAATCATAGCACTATCCTATTGTAATGTTTTTAAAAATTGTCGAATAGTTTTTCGAAACGCAATAAGGAGCATGAAGTAGGATGAGGTATATATATATGTATACACACATATATATTTCTCTTAATTAAAGCCTTTATCAATCGTAAGAAAAAAAAATAAATCACAATATATGCAAATACAATAATAAAATGTTACATAATTTGTAACCAATGTTGATAAAAAGAATAACCTAAAGAGGAAGGAATATTGAAGTAACTGTTCAAATAGAACATTAGCTTTAATCGATAGAAATTGTATAGAATACATTTAAGAAATAAATTAATTTGTCAAAATTAACGACTATAACAATGCTTACTTAATAACCCTAATGAGACCAAGCAGAGTACTCAGTAGTGTCCAAGTCTTGATTTACAGAAAAATGATGTGGTTACTCTTTGTTAATTTAATAGTTATTTGCTCTTCCAGTACTACAATACCAAAAATTACTATTGTAAATGCTACTAAGGCTCCTACTGCTAGTCTGTTTTTTTTTCATGGTTCAGGTAAAATATCATTTTCATGTTTGTTGTTTCATGCAAGACAATAAAAATAAGTTGGAAATAATTTCATATGTTTTGGTTCTAGGATCTTCAGGAAATGATGTAAAACATTGGATTGATATTTTGAACGGAGGGGAATTAAAATTTCCACACATAAAGATTAATTATCCTTCTGCACCTGCTCAACCTTATACACCCAACAATGGAATGGTAATGCAACAATATATGTGTGACACTATTTACAAAAAGAAAATCAATAATAATGGATATAAAATAATTTTTATTTTAGCTTAGTAATGTGTGGTTTAATCGCAAGAGCATCAACATCAATGTTCCTGAAGAGATGGAGTCTATAAATCCAATGTGTCAAAATGTATTACAACTGATTGATACAGAGGTTTCTAATGGAATTCCATATAACAGAATTGTTGTTGGTGGCTTTTCAATGGGAGGTGCATTATCATTTCATCTGGCAAACAGGTTCCAACTGCCTTTAGCTGGATGTTTTGCTATGTCCAGCTTTCTCAATAGACATTCATCAGTGTATGAGGTGGATATGATACAAATTGTCTTTTTTCATTTTCCCTTTTTCTTATTAATTACCATATGGTTCTGATTACAGGCTTTAAAAGTAAATTCAGGAACAAAACCACCACTTCTACAATTTCATGGCACTGCTGACAAATTAGTTCCATTAAATTGGGGAGAAGAAACTTATTCTAATCTAAAGGAACATGGAATTGATGGCCAATTTATACCATTGAATAATGTGGTTCATGAATTGACTGGTCCTGAAGTAGAATCTTTCAAAAGATGGGTGTTAGAGATATTACCTGAGACATAAATTTATACTAATTTTATCTTGTAAAAAGCAATGTGAAATTATACTTGTACACATTTACAACAGAAAATAATATATTTTAAAATACATATTAATATTTTTTTATGTATCAAAAGTAAGCCCAGTCCTAGTCCGTTTTGACCAATTTTTCCATACGATTGTCATTCTCTTGTGTTATTATACATTTATTTTCACGTAAATACCATTGTCAAGATAAATATATATAACTAATTGTTTTGCATTTATTTCACATACAAACGTCTCAAATCTGAGTAGCTAACGGTACTGACAATTGTACTGGCTCGATTTCATTAACTTTATCGCACGGTCGAATTCGTAATCAGTCAATACGAAATGATGATAAGTCTTTTATCGACGTTGTCAACGTTATGTCGATAAATTTTTTGAATCACCCGATAACGTACATAAAGAAGGGTGAAAGCATCGCGATAAGGGGGTATTGTTTGCAATTGGAAAAGTCAGTTTTCGCAGACAACGTTAACAAAGAGGTGTACGGAAGTGTGTTCTTCTGTGTTACTTATCTACTGTATTTAATAAACGAATTCGAGTTAATCAGTGCACTTACGAGACATAAAGTCTCTTGCAATCTTGGAACACGCTAATTCCGTGGAAATGGTGAGTAGAAATATAAACAAATTTAATCGTACGAGTTTAGATGGCAAGATAAAAAATAAATTTTTAAAAAGTTCTGTCAAAATGATATATGTATAATTACGAGAAGATATCATAAAAAAAAATGATTTTTATGATAAGTATAAAATACAATAATAACAATATAATTAAAATATATTTTGATTCATTGATACTTCGTAAGACCTTCTTTATTTATTATTGTTATTAGTGTTCTTTTTTTTTTATTAGAGCCCTAGACAGATGATATTTTTGCCTCTAGGATAACGCGCTACTACTGAGAGAACAAATCTGTCGTTCCGTCGTTGAAGAATGCAATAAAATTGGTATCGCGCTACCTTGGAATAACAGAGATTCGAAGTGTGATTTTAGACGTTAGACGTTTGGAGTAAGTTCTTATCGTAGTGTGCTTCGAATATTCTTCGTTTGGCATCGCACAGTTAGTATCATATTAGGTATTACATATCGGCTAATATTAATCGTGACATCGTAAATCGTATTTGACTTACCTTTGCTTTTACCGCACCTTCTTGCAAAATTATAGCACGCAATATCGAGGTCGTCACAACTGTAACAAACGAGAAGTATATTAAACACTTCCTAGAAGTACTTCGCCTGTATGAGTCAAACTTGTAAGGCCGATAACATCTTTTACCTATACACGTTTAATTGATAAAAATCGGTTTTTAATAAAAGGCCACGACTTTCGGTTCGAATCAAACATCATCGGTTCGGTACAGTGCCAAGTCGCGCGTAGAACATCAAGACCAAGGTAACATGTAAACATTAGCCGGTTGTTACGGAAACTTGTGATGCAGACTATTCTGAAATTTATAATTATTATTTGAAATATTTGCTCGTTGAACAGGACCATAATTCGATATGTCAATAGTCAAGTTAAGTCGCTAAAATTTTAACATCACAAATACACTATAGAACTTATACGTTTCCAGATGTTTAAGGCCTCAATCTTGATCGCTTTAATGGCGTTTGCCGCTACAGGCGTTCAGGCTGATAGTAAGTATCATATCATCACTGATAGTAATGGAACTAAAACATTTAATCGGCGCAGATAATCTTTGTAAGCAATCAATCCCAAACCCATCCCTCTGATCACAATAGATAATGGGTTTATCTAACCAATAAGTATAGTAAGCTTAGGGACACTTCAACTTGAGAGATGAAGGGCGATTTAAAAAACTTACGAGAAGCATACACAAACAATCGTCTCTGGTTGTAATTTTCCATATAAACTGATAATTAGTTCCATCGAACTGGAGTGCTAGCAACGTTAGAACCGGCTTTGCAACATGCAATAATTTATTTTCGTTATCCAGAAAAGATCGTCTGTTACTTCGGTAGCTGGTCGGTCTACCGTCCTGGACTGGGCAACTTCCAGGTCTCCGACATCGATCCACGTTTATGTACACACATGACCTACACCTTCACGGGCATCACCACCAACGGTGATGTCAATATTCTGGATCCATGGGCCGACTTGCCAAACGGTGGCGGTAAGGACGGTTTTGGAAAGTTCACCGCGCTCCGTCATTTGAGCCCAGGCACCAAGGCGATGGTCGCCATCGGTGGTTGGAACGAGGGATCCCTCAAGTACTCTCAGGTCGCCAGTGATCCTGCTACACGTGCCAGATTCGTCCAGAACGTGGTCAAATTCTTGAAAAAATACGACTTCGATGGCTTCGACGTCGACTGGGAATACCCCAATCAACGCGGCGGTCATCCATACGACAAGAAAAACTTCGTGGCTCTGTTGAAGGATCTCAGAGAGGAGTTCGACAAGTACGGTTACATCCTCGGCGTGGCCGTGGCTGCTGCCGAAGGGTCTGCCTCCCAATCCTACATCATCTCAGAAGTGTCGAAACACGCTGATCTCATCAATCTTATGGCGTACGATTTTAACGGTTCCTGGAACAAGTCAACGGGCATCAACGCTCCTCTGTACGCTTCCGCCAGCGAATCTCCAGGCCTACTTAAACTCAACATAGTACGTATATAGGTGTCTCTTCAAATTTGTTCATAATAATGCGTTGATTTTAATATACGAGACTTCGTGACAAGTGTGGCTTCGTCATTCCATGGTAAAGGCTTGATGAGAAACATTTTTATTTCAGGACGCAGCGGTACGTTATTGGCTATCCGAAGGCGCACCACCTGAGAAGCTCATTCTTGGTGTTCCCTCATATGGTAGATCTTTTACCCTAGCAAACGCTAATGATAACGGAATAGGTGCTCTAGCCACTGGTCCTGGAATTGCTGGCCCTTATACGAGGGAGCAGGGTTCATTGGGGTACAACGAAATTTGCGCGAATTTACGCGAGGGTGGCTGGACCGTTGTCCGTGAGTCGGATCAACGGGTGCCTTATGCTTTCAAGGGCAATCAATGGGTTGGATACGATGACGTCACGTGAGTGTTTTACTTCTTATCTTCAAGAGTTTAGAAATAGGATCGAACCGATAGGAACTTGTGTATTCGTGTTCATTCTCAGGTCTGTTCTGGAAAAGGCCAAATACATCAACTCTATGGGTCTTGGCGGTGCTATGATGTGGAGCGTCGAAACCGACGATTTCCGTGGTACTTGTGGTTCGAAGTATCCACTTCTGAATGCTTTGAACAGTGTTTTGAGAGGCAATGTAGTAGTTCCTGATCCCGATCCCAATCCTTCAGAACCAACAGGATCAACAGGATCAACAGGATCTACAGAATCAACAAGATCAACTTCAACATCTACAGAGCCAGCTCCGCCATCAGATTTCGTCTGCGTACAAGAAGGATACGTCCGTAATCCGCATGACTGTTCAACGTTCCATTATTGTCAGAAACTGGACGACAAATATCTGGTTTCCACTTTCCACTGTCCCACTGGACTTGCCTTCGATCCATCGATCATTGCTTGCAACTACAAAGACGAAGTTTCGGGCTGCTGAAGTTGGATACATAGTTTAAACTGTTTATAATTACTGTATATAGAATTAGTATGAATAAAAAAGTTTGTAATATTTAATTCAAAGTCATGTACCTTGTCAACGCATCTTCGTAAATGTTTTCGAAACGACTCACACGTAACTATGACAATAGTTTGCACAAAATTAGTATGTGCGTAATTTGTGACCTAATTAAAAGTACAAGTGTTCGTTGAGAGTCGTGAGACAGAATTAGTATGGCTTGTGTAGTTGTCACCGATTTAATACTAAATAAATATTGAACGTTACCGCATATGTCCGTAGAAATTATTCATTTAATTTGATGACACATTCGAATGCAAATAAGTAAAGATAAGGAGAATATAAGTAAGGCGAATGAAGTATTATTTTTACAGTGTCAGAAAGAATTTGAAGTGATCGAAGCTTGATCGCTATGGTAAGAAATTCACATTCTGTAGAATAAGCTTATAGAAACATGTTGTTCATTGCTAAGGGAAAAAAAATAATTGTCGACGCAAGTGCATTAGAAATTCCCCTCGTCGAAGGGGAATATGTACAATTTCAATTTGAAATCGCAGTCATATAATGGAATTTAATAAGTAATTTTCATCCATGTACGTTTCCAGATGTTTAAGGCAGTATATTTGGCTACTTTCCTGGCGTTCGTTGCTATCAGTCTTGCGGCCGACAGTAACTATCAAATCGTGCCTCTTATCAGTTTATATCATCAATAATAACTAACAATCCTTCTCTCTAGGAAAGATCGTCTGTTACTTCAGTAGCTGGGCGATCTACCGTTCCGGACTGGGCAACTTCCAAGTATCCGACATCGACCCGCGTTTATGTACCCACATGATCTATACCTTCACCGGCATCACCACCGACGGTGATGTCAGAATTCTGGATCCATGGGCCGACTTGCCAGACGGTGGCGGTAAAAACGGTTACGGAAAGTTCACCGCGCTCCGTCAGTCAAGTCCAAGCACCAAGGCGATGGTAGCCATCGGTGGTTGGAACGAGGGATCCTCCAAGTACTCTCAGGTCGTCAGTGATCCTACTGTACGTGCTAGATTCGTCCAGAATGCGGTCAACTTTCTGAACAAATACAGTTTCGATGGCTTCGACGTCGACTGGGAATATCCCAATCAACGCGGCGGTCAACCATCCGACAAGGCAAACTACGTGACTCTGTTGAAGGATCTTAAACAGGCGTTCAACAAGTACGGTTACATCCTCAGCGTGGCCGTGGCTGCTGCCGAAGGGTCTGCCTCCCAATCCTACAACATCCCAGAAATATCGAAACACGTTGATCTCATCAATCTTATGGCGTACGATTTCAACGGTTCCTGGAACAAAAATGTGGGCATCAACGCTCCTTTGTACGCTTCACCCAAAGAATCTGGTTCCCAAGCTAAACTCAACGTCGTATGTATATGATTATTGGTATACAAAGTGATCCTGCATACGTTGCACGGGGCATTGCGGAACGTACGTCGATTTCCTTAATTTTCAGAATGCAGCGGTTACTTATTGGCTGCGGAATGGTGCAGCGGCTGAGAAGCTCATGCTTGGTGTTCCCTCATATGGTAGATCTTTTACTCTAGCAAACGCTAATGACAACGGAATAGGTGCTCCAGCCAGTGGTCCTGGAACTGCTGGTCCTTATACAATGGAGGGGGGTATGTTAGGGTATAACGAAATTTGCACGGATTTACGCCAGGGTGGCTGGACCGTTGTCCGTGACCCAGATCAACGCGTTCCTTATGCTTTCAAGGGCAATCAATGGGTTGGATACGATGATGTCACGTGAGTGTTTATTACTTATCTTCAAGAGGGAGCAACATCCCCGTTTTAGAAATAGGATCGAATCGATAGGAACTTGTGCATTCGTGTTCATTTTCAGGTCTGTTCTGGAAAAGGCCAAATACATCAACTCTATGGGTCTTGGTGGTGCTATGATGTGGAGCATCGATACCGATGATTTCCGTGGTACTTGTGGCTCGAAGTATCCACTTCTGACTGCTTTGAACAGCGGTTTGAGAGGCAATGTACCAGCTCCTAAATCTAATTTATCGGCGCAAGCTACTTCAGTACTGACCCAGACAACTTCAACACCAGCTAGTATAACACCAGCTAGTACAACACTAGCTAGTACAACACAGTCGCTTAAAAAATCGGACCCTATCTGTACACGCGAGGGATACGTTCTCAGTCTGCATGACTGTTCGACGTTCTACTATTGTCAGAACGTGGTCGGCGAAAAATATCGGGTATTCGTGTTTCATTGCCCCGAAGGACTTGCTTTTGATGTGTCCATCGATAGCTGTAACTACAAAGGCGACGGTCCGGGCTGTTAAATTAATATTTATTAATTTAACAATATTTCAACAAGCATTATAATATATGATATTAATGAAGCACCTCTTTTCATTCCTTGTTGTTTCTTTCAAAATGTATGTATGTTACCTGCTATAATAAATTAGATTTTGCCAATACGCCATTTGCAATTCGTTTGAATTGATTGTTATGTGTCATGGCGTCGTTTGGGCGCCAACAGCATGTTATTTGCATTCGAATTACAGTAGATCACCGTAACAAAAATTGAAGCAAATCATTAAATGGAGACACTGGTAAAAAGTGAACAAGAATAAGAACAGCGATTAGATGTCAACGGATGAAGAATACATACCTCGTTATATTCGCAAAACTTTCAACAAGTCTGATCGCGCCAATGTCCATAAAATGAATAACGATTCTTTTACGCGGCAAATTAAGGAGTTACACCACTATGAACATCTTAAAATCATATTAACTTTGCGCAATTTTTTCTTAGCAAAAACTAATATAAATAAAAAATTTTGTGATACAACCCGTGTACAGGTTATACAGTCTGCATTATACAATTACTAAGAAATATATGCGTATTTTTTCTGTTTTTTATGGTAAATCAATAGTACAAATTAAAAAGCCATTAAATATGTGTGTAATTGATTTATATAAACTTTTTTCCGAATTTGGCTGACGTGACCAATTTTATATTTTGCGCTGATAAACGGAAATTGTTTTGTATTTGATTGCCGTAGTACTACTGACGAAAACATCATGGCGTCTTTGTTCCACTTCCTTTCAACGACGTGCTTTCCAAAATGCAGAAGGTGAATTTTTCATGCTACCGATTGTTCAAATTTATCCGACTTTATAAAAAGTAAATGTATGTTTTGAAGCTAACGCGTGATTTTCTTTACAGAAACAGAAGGAACCGATCCAGTCCGTGCAAGTGTTCGGGCGCAAAGTAAGTGTAACCGCCAACAAATAAGCGAGGTTATGTTTGCGCGTGTTTCTACATAATTGTGCACGCTTATGTTTACAGAAAAGCGCAACCGCGGTCGCATATTGCAAACGAGGACGTGGAAATCTTCGTGTCAATGGACGGCCACTGGAATTAGTGGAGCCTCGTGTACTGCAATACAAATTGCAGGAGCCGATTTTATTACTTGGCAAAGTGAGTACTCGTTAACGCGGTAACTGTCACGAAACTAGAAAAGTCACGCTTTACTGGTGCTCTGTTTTCTTTATCTAATTAAAGAAAAGTAATTTGTAAACTTCTTGAGAAGAATCCATGATGTTCTCTTATTCCGAACATGACTATTTGTGATTATAGACAAGGACACTGAGAAGATAAATTACATGTCCTCTGGATGAAGGATATGTCTGTTTGAAACCGTGATATACAACTTATTATGTTTTTTATCGCAGGAAAAGTTCTCTGGCGTTGACATTAGAGTAAGAGTAAGTGGAGGTGGTCATGTAGCACAAATTTATGCTATCCGTCAAGCTATTTCCAAAGCTCTTGTTGCATACTATCAGAAGTGTAAGTATAAAGGAAAGATTTATATTGTCTGCAAAATACAGTAGTGCCCACTGAATTGTCCACGGTTATCCCCATCAATTCTTAGAAGCCAAGCGGCTTCGACATCCAACGTGACGAGCGTAACTTGACGCCGGTCGTTATCTATACATTGTATATATGTAGGTATATATGGTTTCGGGTGTTAACTATTGTATCTCACTCGCACTTATCATCTTTCCTTATTTCCGTTGAATTCTGAGAAGTAACCATGCCCACTTAAGTGACTGCGGCAGGTCCCGAGCGCGGACACTTAAGTGGGCACTACTGTATAAACATGTAACAGTGATATTGAAGATATTAATGTATGCAAAACACATGTAACATTTAGAATATCTTTTCCCAGATGTCGACGAAGCAAGTAAAAAGGAAGTAAAAGATATCCTTATTCAATATGATCGTACCCTCCTAGTTGCTGACCCGAGGCGGTGCGAGCCAAAGAAATTTGGTGGTCCAGGTGCCAGGGCCAGATACCAAAAATCTTATCGTTAATATTTACAAATTTCACATTACATTTTATTCATATTGCTGAATAAAAATTTTTAAAACCGATTATTGTTTCAGCATTATTTTCTAACTTATACCTTTGCACCATTGCACCATTTGCTACTGGTGGTAGCGAAAAAATAATTTTTTATTTTATATAAAATGTGCTAACTTTTAATTACAGTTTATTATAAAAATTTCAATGATCTAATGCTCTATACTCGTGTACATTTGAAATTGATTTCATTGCGATAAATTTAATATTCGCGTTGGCATGTCACGTGATTGACAATTGCGCTTCGCCGCATGCACCAAACGTGCACCAGGGCCGAAACGTAATGGCCAGATCCCTAAACGATGGGAAAGAAGCTAATTTTTTGAACAAAAAATAATCCTCCATATTAATATGATATTATTCCATGATGATAATACAAATTAAAGTATGAAAAACTATTTCGACATTTAATTTATCTATTTATTACTATCAACGACTTTAATTCTGTGTTTGAACTATCAGAATTTAAATTAATTACAAATGATTCAGTTAATGACAATATAATGGTTCAATTCCCAAAATTTGTGTTCGATAATTTGAACAACATGTTCACCGCATTTTTTCCAATTTTCGTCGACTCGTGAAATAAACTTTTTACATCCGAAAATCTGAGTATTTTATTATTTGCTGCAATATAATTTGTAACATCTTGATTGGATTTAATGCATCATGCGGCCCTTCTCAGAGGCTGCTCTCTGTTTATATTTTCTGCCAGTTCTCATTGAACCGGGTGTAGTTGTACACGTCAAGATTATAACATTGCGATTTATTTTTCAAGTATAAGAAATAGCATATACGTAAACATGAAGAACCGATTTAATTCGTACGATATTGTTTGCTCTATAAGTGAGCTTCAAAAGTAAGTAAATTAAAAAAGCATAATTTTTTTCATTATAGAGGTTATGGCCAAAGGTGTAAATACAATATATTTCGTTTAAACTATTTAAAAGATTTGTGCGTTGATAAATGCAATTAGAATACATTCGTACGTACAATTCATCTTGATTTTTAGGCTCATTGGTATGCGTGTTAATCAAATATACGACATTAATCACCGTACTTATCTTATACGTCTTCAACGAAACGAAGAAAAATGTATTCTTTTACTAGAATCTGGTAATAGAATTCACACAACAGCATTTGAATGGCCAAAAAATGTAGCACCATCAGGATTTTCTATGAAGGTACGTAGTATTAATATTTGAATTATTTTCTACAGAGATATTAAGCTAACGAATTATTTGTTTAGAATGTATTTATTTATTGTAACTCCTTAATTTTCATAGATGCGTAAACATCTGAAGAATAAACGACTTGAAAGTCTTACTCAAATAGGTGTAGATCGAATAATAGATTTAAAATTTGGAAGTGAAGAGGCAGCTTATCATATAATTCTAGAGTTATATGATCGTGGTAATCTAGTTCTTACAGATCACAAAATGACTATTTTAAACATTTTGAGACCTTATACAGAGGGAGATAAAATTAGGTAAGAAAAAAAATTAATTATCAACATGATAAAATTATCAAAATTTTAATAGGAGATTTTAGAGGTCAAAATAAGACGAAAATCAAGAATATCAATTTGTTTATTGGGGCTTCGTTAAAAAGTTGTTAAATTAAATTTAAAAAATTTCAAACCATTCGCGGAAAAATTATTTTCAGTTGCGGAGGTCAATTACAGTCATTTTTGGTGAATAGACATACCCCCAAAATCCTACGCATTTTCGAGAAAAAAATTCTTTACCGAAAATATACTGTGTGACCGAAAATGTTTATAACTTTTTAACGAAGCCCCAATCAACAAATTAGCATCCTTGATTTTCGTCTTATTTTGGCCTCTAGAATCTCTCATTAAAATTTTTCCCGGGGGTGGTCGAACACCCTGTATATTGTATAAATGTAAAAGAATGTTAAAAAAAAATATGTCATGATTAGGTTTGGTATTGAAGATCAATATCCTACAGATCGTGCTCATAAAAACACAACACCACCTATAGAAGAAATTCAGCAACATCTTGAGAAGGCTAAAGAAGGAGAGAATCTTAAAAATGTCCTAAATCCACTTTTAGAATTTGGCTCTAGCGTAATCACTCACGTTTTATTAAAATATGGTTTTCCTCCTGGTTGTAGGATTGGGAAAGATTTTAATGTTGCAGAACACATGCCAAAGTTAATTTTAGCATTAGAATGCGCGAACGAAATGATAGAATCTGCCAAAAGAAATGTTTCTCAGGGATATATTATACTAAAGAAAGAAATAAAACCGACTCCAGATGGCGAAGATGAAATTATATATACCAATATCGAATTTCATCCTTTGTTATTTGAACAACAACAAAACTGTCCCTATAAAGAATTTGCTTCTTTCGATGCTGCGGTGGATGAATATTTTTCCACAATGGAAGGCCAGAAGTTAGATTTAAAAGTTTTGCAACATGAACGCGATGCTGTCAAGAAATTGAAAAATGTAAAGAAAGATCACGATCAGAGACTAATGACACTGGAGAAAACTCAAGAGTTGGATAAACAGAAAGCAGAATTAATCTCCAGAAATCAAGTTTTAGTGGATAATGCTATATTAGCTATACAAAGTGCTCTTGCGAATCAAATGGCTTGGCCGGATATAAAAGTTCTATTAAAAGAGGCAGATAGTAGGGGAGATCCTGTTGCATCTGCGATTAAACAGTTAAAATTGGAAACAAATCACGTTTCATTATTGTTGCACGATCCTTACGTGGAAAGCGACGAGGAATCGGAATTGAAACCTATGTTAATCGATATCGATTTAGCCCACACGGCCTTCGCAAATGCTAGAATGTATTACGATCAAAAAAGATCAGCAGCTAAAAAGCAGCAGAAAACATTAGAGTCCCAAGATAAAGCCTTAAAATCCGCAGAGAAAAAGACAAAGCAAGCATTAAAAGAAGTACAATCCATTCACACTATTAACAAATTGAGGAAAATATATTGGTTCGAAAAATTTTATTGGTTTATTAGCTCCGAAAATTATCTAGGTAGTTATTATAATAACGTATTAATGTTCCGTTTGTTATTATATTAATAATTTTATGATTTGATAGTAATTGGTGGAAAAGACCAACAGCAGAACGAATTAATTGTAAAAAGGTGTCTTAAATCTGGAGATATATACGTTCACGCGGATTTACCTGGCGCTAGTTCAATAGTTATTAAAAATCCTGGTGGCAATCCTGTGCCTCCAAAAACTTTAGCTGAAGCTGGCACAATGGCTGTTGCCTATAGGTAGGCCAGCGATTTTACTTTATTCACGTATATTTTTTATTATAAAGATATGATAATTAACAATTACCTTATTAGTATTGCGTGGGAAGCTAAGGTGGTTACAGGAGCGTGGTGGGTAAATAATGATCAGGTGTCCAAAACTGCTCCAACTGGTGAATATCTTACTACTGGATCGTTCATGATTCGCGGGAAAAAGAATTATTTGCCGTCGTGTCAATTAATTATGGGACTAGGATTTCTATTTCGCTTAGAAGAAAGTTCGATTGAAAGACACAAAGATGAGAGGAGGGTTCGAGTTGTAGACGACGAAAGTGAACACGTAGAATCGATAATCGAAGAAGATCGAGAAATCGAATTAATAGAGGATTCTGAAGAAGGTGAAATATCAAACATAAAAATGTATAAAATAAGTAATAAATTGACCTCGACTAATTCGGATTTTAAATCAAATAGACGAACAGCCAGAGAAAACGGATTATTTAGATCCTGTTGAAGAAGAATCCAAAGAAGACTTAATCGAAGATGCTGACGACGAAGACGATAATGCATCTCAATTTCCCGATACGCAAATTAAAATTGATGTGTCTGGCCCAAAGTAAGTTACAGGATATAGATTTGTTCCTTATTATTGAAAATTATATCTCACGTGTAATTGTATGTTTCTGCATAGAATGAAACTACTTGTCGATAATAGTCAGTCCACGATGTTGCAAAAGGACGAAGAAAATGTAATATATTTGGGCGACGATAAACCGGTAATATTAAAACCTGCGGCAAAGGAAAAAAGTTCGAAAAATACGCAGAAACAACCTTATAAAAAAGAAAGTGAAAAGACTGAAGTAGAAACTAAAAAAAATGGTCAAGCAGTATTAAAACGGGGACAGAAGGGAAAATTGAAGAAAATGAAAGAAAAATATAAAGACCAAGATGAGGAAGACAGAAAACTATCTATGCAGATTCTTCAAGTAAGAGTCGTTCACATTGATATTATTACAAACATATAAATTATAGTACAATTGTACTTGGTGGTAAAATCTGGAGAAAGGTTTTTATTTGTTGGGCAGTGTTATTAATTTTGTAACACTATTTAGTCAGCAGGTGTTGCGAAAGAAGATAAACGTAAAAGTAAAAATAGAGATCCATCAGGGCCAAAACAACAAGGAAAGAAAAAGAATATAACGAAACCAACTCGGCCGCAAAATATTCAAGCTGCGGACAATATTGACGAGGAAGACACGGGCCCGGGGCCTGAAGTAGACATGCTGAATCAGTTAACAGGAAAACCTGCCACAGAAGACGAATTGTTGTTCGCCGTACCGGTAGTGGCGCCGTATAATGCAATATTAAATTACAAGTAAATCGAAATGTTCACCTCGTATCGCGTTTATACAGTGTCCCATTATAATCTTTCTCGTAAAATGGGACAGCTTGTATTAAAAATTTGTAATTTCTTTTTCTTTATGCAACGTATTGTTTTTCAGATTCAAGGTAAAATTAACACCGGGAATATGTAAGAGAGGTAAGGCAGCGAAAACTGCTCTAGCGGTATTTATGAAAGATAAAGAAACTACTTTGCGAGAAAAGGACTTGTTGAAAGCTGTTAAAGATGAATCAGTAGCTAGGAATATTCCTGGAAAAGTTAAAATAAGCGCTCCGCAAATACAAAAACTGAAGAAGTAAGTATTTCTAGTATGTATAATATTTAACAATATTTTAACACAGAATGTATATAGAGAAGATTTAAATCCGATTTATATTATGGATAAGTAATTGTATTTGCTAAGGAGTGCGCAAGGTATACATGAAAATATTATAAGATCTATATAATTTTTAAACATCGTTAATAAATGTCTATTATGTATTTGTATGTATATATAATGTTGTACAGAATTTATAGACCGATCAAAATATTTTCAAGAATAGATTGTTTAAGTAAAATACGAATTTTTATCACCAAATAATTCATAGCGTATTTTTTATGTTTGTATTCACATAAACTTGTTGCTAACTTTATATATTTTGTACAATTTTTTAGCTCGAGGGCGTATCAAAATATATTCATTTTTCTCAGTATAAATTACGTGATAGGTAACACGCACTTGCAAATAGTAGTTCTTTTGCACAATTTACATATTAACAGACATTGCCTTTATAAATTCCAATAAAAATACAGCAATGTACAAAAGTTCTACTAAATTAAGATTACTCTTAATGCGTGTCAACGCATTAAGACATGGTTAATACTTATAATAATTATGCATCAAACATGTCTTCGTCAGAACTAGCTTTACGGATTCTCAATGCTTCTGGCGGTGTGTTTATTGCCTTCCGGGCAGGTCGTGACCGCGATCCCTTCGATATAATCTGCAACAATGAAATATACATATACGATAGCTTAATAATAGTAAAGTATAACTTTATCGTAATTACATATTAGTTTGATTACTAAGTTAAAGAAAAAGGATTTCATGCATTACCTCCGGTTCAGATTCTGAATTCGAATCATAAAAATTTAAAACTCTTTTTTTGTTTTTAACTGGTGTCTTTTCTTCTCTAGATTTATTTATACGTACAGAATTAACAGATTTCTTTGTTTTTTTAACGATTGTTATGTCGTATTCTTCATCGGATTCGATGTTGTTCAATGCTTGTTTTATGTCTTTTAAATTACCACGTTTTTTATTCATTATAACGCCTGCGTTACTATCATCAAGACTCACCGCAGGACTCGAATTTTTTATTGACATTAAACGTGGACTTTTTCTATTTTTTTCAACTATTTTTTTCGTTTTTTGCGGGGTGATCTTTATACTTTTTGGCGTATTATTAGTAACGTTAATTTTAAATTCCAATTTCCCATCTGGTTTATGCGACAATTCTTTCAATCCATCTGTCAGTATTTTTCTGAATTTTTCGTAATTCGGTGTTTCATTGAATTTCATACTTGTTAATTGAGTCATATATTTAAGTATAGGGGTTGGAACTGTTCCCTGGAAAGAGTTCTGTAAGAACTCTGGAATATTATCAAACGCTTTTTCCTTTTGTTTTTGTACTACAACTGGGTCTAATAAATCTGTTTCCCATAAAAGTGAGCCACATAACCATTGAATCATATTATAACCCAGAATTTCAAAATCACCGCGCATTGTTGGTACTGAGAATTTAAAAAATACAATATCAAGAAACAAGAAACATACGTCCACAAATTTCATAGATGCTTTTTATTTTTACCTCCCATATGAGCATCTCTACTAGTATACGCAATAGTTCCATCATGTGCTTTTTTTGGATCCCGTTTATATTCGTCTTTTGTCGTGTAATGGGAAGCCAAACCGAAATCTACTAAATAAACTTTATCTTGAGATTTTAAATCTAACAATAAATTTGCTCCTTTTATATCTGCGTGTACGTATGTCTTAAAATGGATGTATTCTAATACATGTATCTAAAATGTATGCAGGTATAATATGAATTCTTCGTTTTGAAAATAATCGTAAATATTTTGTTCATCGATACCAAGTACCAATGAAATATTGTATATATCTAATGATCAAAAAAAAAAATTTTTCTATGACATCTTACTATTTGTAAAGCTATTTTATATACTGTATGTTCCGGAAATCGTCTATTATTTTCTTCAAACAGTTTCCACAAGTCTGTACCATACCGATCCATTACAACAAATCGATATTTTATATTCTTATATTCATGACTTCCAGATCCGATGTATTGAGGCATCCCAAGCATAGGAAGTTTCTTTTTTTTTCGCCAACTATCGACTGAAATAAATAATGCATTAACCTTATATCTTCTTATGGTATCTTAATAATTATACAGCCGGATGTGCAAATATATACCATTTAAATATAATTTTATTAAAGTTTAACTCACTTTCATCCGGTTTGGCATTTCTCATATAAAAATGCATTTCCACAAATAATGGCCCGTTTTCATGTGGTTCCTAGAATAATTTCATTTGCAAAATATATGTTATGTTGGATAATCAACTAAGCATAAATGGACGACTAATTGATACTCACAATTTTGATTACATTGGGATAATTTTTTGGAACTTTCCCACTGTATGGAGCAGCTGCAATTGTTTATTACAATTAGACGGTTTGTGTATATTGCGTAAGATGTTAAGTCATTTATAAATATAAATATACAGAGAACAGAGCTCTGTTCATTGCATAGATTACGATTGTAATTAAGATGAAACAACAACGCGAAAATAAGTACCTACCAGAATAAATTTCACCAAAACCACCGACACCGATAGATTTTCCGAGAATCCACTGTTTTTTTGTTATATCTGTTAATATTTCACCGGCTGATATCGGATCCGGTAGTTTGTATAATGCCTTCTTTTTAGGTGCTTTTTTCACTGGTTTGCTAGACATTATAAGGTTACGAAAATCTATTATAAACGTGTACAAAAAATGTTTTAACGTTTCTGAAATCACGACAAAGAACGAAGAACGTTTACGACTACTAGAATATGATATGATTACGTTGTGACAAGTAGTATTTAAACAAACACTTTGTAACGTTCAATCCGAATAACGATTTCTTATGTACAGCTGCTGGGCCGCTGTGAACATGAAATAAATTTAAAAGCGGGAACTGAATATTTCCAGTGTTGTCTTGGTGTACCATGAAAATTCCTATGAACGCGAATACGTTACGATGAAATCATCTAGTAAGAATGCGCACAATGAATTTAAAAATATTGTTCTTTCTAATAGCCGTTAGAATGTTTTCTCGTCGTTAAATGTGTTTCATTTAAGTTGCTTTATACAAGCAAATATTATACGAGATGATTTGATTCGTGCCACATAAGGAGAAAGTCACCATAGTTCAACTACAAGGCCATCGAGTTAGTATAATGGGCAAGTAGACTGTAGTTGTGTATAAATATATGTTTCTTTGTTCAGTTAAAGTTGCAAATAATTTGCATTAATTGTATAGTTCTATTTAGAGTTAAAAACGATGAGAACTTTTCGCATTTGTTATTTCAGATCCTAATTTTGAGGATCAGACCTCAATATATCAAATGGTTCATAATTATTTTGAGTAATGTAAAAGTATCTTGACTTTAGGATCATACGAGCGTACAATACGTAAATAATTGTTTATCAAAACTTTTGTCGTTATCGCATTAGAAGTAAAATTCGTGAATTTGACGTTACCGACGTCGATGATCGGGTTAAATATGATTCTCAGAGTTATTGTCTTTAAACACAGAGTGCGTTGTAAAACTACTGATTCTTTACGTGGTTAGTATTTTGGTTCGTTAGAACAAACTCTTATTAAATCGGTGCTGTAAACAGTACTTAATTAGTGATTAAATTATTGTTTAGAAAAGATATATTTCTAGTAAACGTGTAATCTAGATACGGTGAGCGTTATGAACAATGTAGTATCGACAGATCCACGATATTTTAACTCGATAATCGATTATCATTACAACAAATAAATGTTAATATACGTATCATATTATTTCTTGAGAATTATTAAATACTCTGGCAAAAGAAAGATCATTCTTAGATCAGTTTCTGATTTAAGCTGACCTTGGCAATCATTTTATGATTCCGGAATGAAAAAGAATAAAATTTGTTCGTTTTGTTAGAACAGAAATTCTACAATCGATAATCGAATAGAAATATTCGTCGTCTCGCGTGTTTAACGTTAACAAATTCAAGGATTTTGTCATTTGCTGCTATGCATCGACAAAAGTGTGAGTTATATTTAATTTATACATTATATCGTCATGCTAGGTCTAGTATCTACGTTCGTTATTTTTGTATCCGCGGTTTCTGCCTAAGGCGTCTTTAGGACGAGCTTCGGGAGACATCGGAGCCTTCCCCTCCCCTCTACCTAATTCGCGAGCGTTATCGGGCGCAGCGAGAGGTCGCCATTTGTTGTTTGAAAGTCGACGTACCAAGACGTATCAAGACGCGTCGGCTTTTCGCGATCAACAATGTGCGTACTTCTAACCTTTTGGTATTTCCTCGTTAATACTACTCGCGTTTACTTTCTATCGATGCTTTCGCATAACATTGATACAGTTTTGATTATAAATTCAATCGACATCGTAACAAATATTAGGTTTCGTACTTCTTCTCTGACATTCGACCGGTGTTAATTGTTAACATGTCTCTCTGCATTTAATTACGATCGATAATAATCGTTCATGTACTTTAATGCATTTTTATTTTGTTTCTGTTACAGTCTCTGATTGGAATTCGAAATCAAACGATTCCTTTTCGAAATAGAAGCTTCGGGAAACATCGGAGCCCCATCCCCCGAGCTAATTCGCGAGTGATGCTGGGTACAGCGAGGGGGCGCCATTCCTGTTATAAAAATTGGCGCAGCGAGACATGTCGAGACATGTCTCGACATGTTCAGTCGTCGTCTCGTGACCAAAGAGGTAAGTATTTCCAACCTGTTGATATTTCATCATTATTACTACACGCGTTTACTCTCGAACGGTGCTTTCGTGTAATATTAATACATTTCTATTATAAATTGAGTCGGAATTGTGTAAAAACTGAATCGGGGTTCGCGCGTTTTTTTCAATATCTAACTGACGTCGATTCATTATATTTCCTTAAACGAAATTACGTATCTTGTATATCAATTATTGCTTAATTATGATTAAATAGGTTTTCTGCAATGCATTTGACTTTAATTTGTATTCTATTTCTGTGGCAGTCTCTGAAATACGACGCCATGGAATATTGGCGCGCAAACGACACCATAGATGGCAGACAACTCGACTTTCGAAGGGAATCTGGGAATATTGGTAACGTTTAACCTATTATAATATTGGCGCGTAAACGACACCATGGAAGATGGCAGACAACTCGATTTTCGAAGGGAATATTGGTAACATTTAACCTATTATAACAAAAATTAACATACATCGATCCGTGTTAAGATGAATCATGAAAATGGTTAATGAATTTTCTACCTTTTTCGATATACAATATCGAAGTACTTTCGATTGTATGATACTTAGGAATGGCTAACGATAGACATTAAGAGCAAATTGGAATGGTTTATATTTAACTGCATTCTAGCCGCGAGTATTATTTATTAAATTGATTGTTTATAAATCTCTCTTTATGAATTGTTGTAATTGTAATTTCCATACATTTTCGATGCAAGTTTAAGAAAACGTAGAAACCACGTAGTTGGAATATGCTACTAAAGCATAAATAATTAACGAACTTTAATTTTTGCAATTTTCGGAATATTTATAAAAATTACGATATATTCAAACATTCGATAAAATAAATATGATCATTCCTGCAGCTCTAATTGTGAAAGTTAGTGATACAATATTTATAAATTGAATAATTACTGTAATTATTTTCGCGGATAATATTTTATCGTTGAAAATCACATCGTAATCGTAGCAACTGATATAGCAGTTCTAAGTAAAGCAGTATTTCTGTTGACGACATTGAAAGAAAGAAAGAAAACAAGTAGGAAAAGCACAGGCGTGCTCGTTGTATTTCTTCTCTCCTGTCCCTTTCTTTCCAGGGTTTCTTTTTCCAGGGTTGGCCGCGCGCAATGCGGCCGGTAGCTTCAGAGATTATGCGTAGCAACAGTTCGTTTTTCAGGGTAATGTGACCCTGAGTCGTTTACGTGTTAGGCAAACGCGATAATAGAATCAGTGTTTGTTGCGCAGTTTTAAATTATTTCCAGAGCATCGTGGCTCTCCTTGTTTTCTGAATCGCGAGAATAGAGTCATTTATTCGCCGATTTCAATCTTCGGTCGCGTTAATGTAATTTAATATCTAATAAATTTGATTATTTTTTTCAATTTGAAATTTAAACTCCTCGTTACCGGAATTAGAGTCAGTGCATCACCGAAGAGGATTATTTGGCGGTGCTCCACGAGCAAACAATGTAAGTATAAATTTATACTTTGAAATTTTTAATTAAAAATTTCTACAGCTTTAACAATAGATTCTAATTGTTTTCTTACAGTTTTCTTACAGTCTCTGAAAAGCAGCAGCAGTACCCGGGGGGTATCCGGCGGTGGACCATGAGCGAACAACGTAAGTATAAATTTATACTTTGAAATTTGTTAATTAAAAATCTCTATAATTTTAACAATAGATTCTAATTGTTTTCTTGCATTTTTGTTACAGTCTCTGGACTTGAATCTAACCAGCAGGACCATGCTGACTGATGGATGACTGATGGATGACTTCGAGGACTTCAAGCCATCATTGGTAAGTCGCATGCTATTTTGTTTCCTCTGGTCCCCAACCATGTTGTAGGATGAAAGATCCGAATCAACACGGGTGACCAGTTGTATACTTGCTATTTTTGACGAGTTAAGTGAATAGTAACATCAACTGTTATATATTTTAGAGCAGGTTTTAGGGTGTTCTTGCACTCGCGTTTCTTAATGTTACAAATGAATAGCACACATTATGATTATTATAAAATTTTTACAAATATACAATCTTTATAGAATATATGAAATATTTTTCTTAACTTTATACGAGTTGTATGATCGAATAGAAAATGAATTAATATAATGTGCAAACATTATATTTATCATGCGATTTAACGTGCAAGAAGGCATTTCGCGAGAGGTCGATTTTTGAGTCAAAGTAACATGCATTTTATACTAGTTTCATCTTTTAAAAAGTTTACTTTGACGACAGAATCGATCAAGGATAATTGAATATTTTGATTGACAATTTAATGAATACATTTCAATTTTTAAAGTAAATTCTTTTATCATGAAATCTCAAGTAGAGTCTTTCATTTTAAATAATTCAATTTCAATTATAATAGTTTTATCGAACAGTGGTATTTTTCAATGTTAACGTATTTTGTTATTGATATATTGCATATAACAAGTCGAGTCATTTTACCTAAAAATTAGATACGAAATACCGTTTAGCTATTAACCAGTTTTTCTAGTCAGGATTTTCAGAGTAATTTTTCCGTGTTCGTTGCCTAAGTTCATGCACATGCCCAGGTGCTATTTGCATGAGCGAAGGCAACGGGGCACGATGAATTTATTTATAACAATTCAACGACATATTGAGGACTGACATTGGCTAGTGAATCGTGCGCGACGTACTGTCCACATATGTGTGTGTGTGGTTAGGTTGTGGAAGTGCGTCGTTTCAGATGTTTTATGATTGCAATTTACATACAGAATGTTATAACTTTAGATTTTTATCAATAATAATATCAAATTTCAATTTATCATTTATTTGAATACTGTTGATCTTAATGGATTTGAATCTTAATATTTTTCAATCTTGAATGATACATCCATACAATAGATTTTATTAAAGACTATATTCCATATAGTGAAACGTTCTATACAAACGTTTATTTATATAATATAAGAACGCAAATATCACTAGCCCTTGTCAGTCCCAGAAACTAGTAAGTCCACTATTAGAGTGTGAATGTTAGTTATGTCCGGGTGTCGGAGGAACCCCGGGGAGTCCTCTCTAGTTTAGGTCGCGCCCGGACATAGAGAATGAGAACCGTGGAGTGTTTGTTTGGATGATTGAGTTTTGCAATTTTTTAAATATAGGGTTA